TTCCACTGGATAATTTTTTTGGATGATGAAATAATATTTAAGTTAAGGGGAAGTGATATCTGCTGAAGGAAATACAAACATAAGAATTAATATTAAGTTAAAGTTGATTATTTGTTTCATGGCTCTTTGTGGGACTTTGATATATACAAAATGGTTGCAGCATTTGCCTGCAAGTAAATCGTCACTGCATTTTACAGTAAATCCTGGGAAGTGCTAAGGCTTTGTATCAAACACAAGGATTATTATTAATAATTAGTTAGAGCTTCTGTTCTTCCAGATGGCTATAAATGGCATTGCTCTTTTTCAGTTTTTCTGGAAGCATATACCCATTTTACACTTTAGTGTCCATTAAGAATCACAAACAATAACACTCAAAATTCATTTGATTGATGGTTAACTTTGGTTCTCCATATCTATTTATTTTTGGCTGTTTTCTATATGTGTTGATTATTATTTTTTATTTCGCTCAGATAGCCCAAAACCAAACTAATAAACCTCCTTTGCTGAAACAACTATAAGTGCCCTGAATAATGCAGTGCATCTGTGGATAATGAATATTTCATTGGATTGGATCAAATCTTGCAATGTACTGAGTTTATTATATCTGTCTGCCACATATCCTTGCCACCTGTTTGCAAATGATGATCCTGATAACAAACATGGACTTCCAAACCTATGTTCCATTTGATGATGGAAAAACAAAGTGTACAGGCCAATAAGAGATACTTTAAATCCCATTATGAATGAAAATGCTAAATATTTAATGATATTTAAAAAAAAATCTATTTTTTCAAAAATAGTTACAGGTATAGTAGTTGTAAATTTACACCCTAACAAAAAGAACTGCTTTAATATCTACCAGAAATATACAAAAAAAGATTGGTTAATTTAAATGAGCAGGAATGATATGAATTATTATTCAATTAAAAAAACCTTTCATATAAAATCTACACCATCCTCATACATCGCCTCTTCTGTTTATGTAATCTTCGTGGACTTGCCCCTCCTTGGTTCGATTCCTTTCTCTCTCACCGTCTCCACTTTGTTGCCTCTAATGGTTTCTCCTCCAGCCCCCGCACTGTCAGGTCTGGTGTCCCCAGGGCTCTGTCCTTAGCCCTCTCCTCTTTAATATCTATATTCTCCCCCTTGTTGACATCATCCGCAGACATGGGGTCAACTTACATATGTATACAGATGACACCCAACTCTATCTTTCTGCCTCCACCCTCAACTCCAGGACCACTGCTGTCCTGACAGACTGCCTGTCAGACATCAAGTCCTGGATGAGGTCAAATTTCCTACAGTTGAATGTGAACAAGACTGAGCTCTTCCTGATTGCCTCACGCCAGCGCCTCTGCACCTCAGGCTCTGGCAGCATCAACCTCCACGGTTGCACACTTCAATTCACCAAGCCAGTCAGGAACCTAGGTGTCTTGTTCGACCCTCAACTGTCTTTTCTTCCCCACATCCAAGCCATGTCCCGCTCTGCCTTCCCTCACCTCCGTAACATCACCCGACTCTGCCATTACCTCACCCCTCAGGCCACTGAAACTCTTGTTCATGCCTTCATCACCTCCAGGCTTGACTATGCAAACGCCCTGCTTGTCGGCCTTCCCAACTCCTCCGTCCACAGGCTGCAGATAATCCAGAACTCTACAGCCCATGTACTCTCCCGCACCAAACCCTGTGACCCCATCTCCCCCACTCTCGCCCAACTCCATTGGCTCCCTATCCTTCAAAGGATCCAGTTCAAGATCCTGGTCCTCAAAGTCCTACAAAGTCCTCCATGGCCTCGCCCCACCCTACCTCTGTGACCTCCTAACCCGCTACCAACTCGCCCGCTCCCTCCGCTCAGCCGGCTCCAGCCTGCTCCACGTCCCCCGACCCATCCGCCCCACCATTGGTGGGAGAGTCTTCAGCCACTCTGCCCCCAACCTCTGGAATTCCATCCCCCAGTCACTCCGCCTCGCCCCCTCCTTAGCCTCCTCCAAGTCCTGCCTCAAAACCCTTCTCTTCGACCATGCCATCGGCCACCCCCCTTCCCCTCCTGTCTCTTCTCTCCACCAGACTGCAGCTCGGGTCTGAAATGTCCAGCGCCTTGGGCCGTCCTCCCGATCTGAAAGGCACTATACAAATGTAATCTTGTTGTTGTACTCATAGGTAATTACATGAACAGGCAATTCAATTCTCCCCCAATTAATCGATGTGTTTTAAAGGGTTAAAATTTCAATACTGAGGTATTTTAGTGCTCAGTACATGCATGAAATGCCACTGGGTTAAGGTTTGTAACCTTTAGTGCCTCCATTCATTGCTGACCTGGATTCAGACTTGTCTCTTCTGAGAATAAAGGCATGTTCAAAATTACAAGTCAAATAGGTTTTTACACCTCTCTATCAATAAACATTAAAAACTGACTCAGACCTAAAGTATGCACGTATGCACGCACGTATCCACGCACTTCTCATACACTGTTAGAGGAAGGGAATTTCTCATTTGTCAAATAGAAATGTCCCGCTAAACCGCATGAGTCACTTTCTCTCATACATCTTTATTTTTGGTCAGTAGATCTTTTCAGGGGTGTTTTCATAGTTGCACCTGTTGTTAGCACAGAACTAAATGTAAATGAAATGCTTCTATATTACCATTACACATGCTACAAGTTTCCATGAGCTAGAGTTCATTCCTCTTTACTACTGTATTTTCTATTGGATATGACTGACAGCAATATGTACTGGCTTAATGGTTTTCTTGCCGTGTTGCTTAATTTACAACTAATGCTTACCTGCAACAGTATACTGAAGGCTCCTTGAAATGGTTTTAATGCAGGAACTTAATTAAGTTTTTCATTGGTTTTAAAAAAATTGAAATAACACTGCAGTCAGAAAGAATTTGTTTCTAATTGCTCTAAAGTCCAGACACTAAAATGTGGACACAATTATGTCTTAAGGTATTGGTTTGCAAAGATATCATTACAACAATGTATATCACATATCAGTGTTAAAGTTTAAGTTAAGTTATTTGAGTTGTCTCCATGTCATTCAGAGTGAAGCCATGGCAAGTTAAATGTCTCAGTTGAAAATCCCCTGCTCATTGTGTAATTCAACCATCTAGATCAGGAAGATCCTGAGTTTGATTCCCAGTCTGTGCTTAGCTAGCTAATGTTTACCATGACAGATGTAGAAGCAATACAATAGTGGAGTGGAGGGCGGTAGGAAATTAGATAGGATTGCCTTTCTGATTCGCTATCCAGTGATCTCTGGAAGTACTTGTATATGTCTGTGAATACCAGTCAAGGACGGGATTAGGCTCAGCTGTGATGTCCTTCATAGTTAAGGCCATGTTTCAATGAGGAATGTACAGGATCGTGAGAGGGTAAATAGTGAAAGATTACTAGTTCTGATTAGTGAATTGGTAGCTGGTGGGGGCATACATAGGCTCACAACTGTCACTGTAAGAGTTGAAGGCAGGTTAGAAGAATTTTCTTTCACCCCAGAGTATTATTTAAAATTAGACTTTTGAGGCTGGCATCAACAACTTGCATTTACATAAAGAAAGGTGACCATACTTCCCCGATTTCTGGGGACAGTTCCCGGATGAGGTGTTGTGTCCTTGGCCAAATTTGCCATTTCTTGAGTTCAGCAACAAACTGAATCAGAACAATAAAATTCTAAAACCGATATACTCATCAGAGAAATACAGCCATTGATCCAACGAGCTTCTCCAGTATCGCCAGCATCAGCAATTGTGGTGAGTTAATTTTTTTTCACACGTGTCCCTGGATTTAATCTAAAATATGTTCACACTACGATATAGAGCACGCCTTTTGTGGTGTAGCGCCTCGGAGCTCTGAGGCTAAGGCTGTAACGACATTTGGAAAGGTAATTTTAAGAGGAACGATGCAATGTTTCACCAACAAAATACCAGTCACTACACTTTACCTGTGAAACGGTTTGAGACAGTGTGACAAGGGCCCGATATCAAATGCAAGGATTAATATTATTATTATTATTATTATAAGAGTTGCAGTTGAAAAACAACTACAACTTGCAGCTCTATAGCTTCCCTTCACATGGGGCAACGTGTCAAGAGCGCAGTGGCGGAACCTGATGCGGAGCCGGGGAGAGTGGGGGTGGGGGTGGGGGGGTGGGAAGCAGGGGACCTTGAGCATGGTCGGAGAGGAAGGTCTTCAGTCGCGATCTAAAAGAGGGTTAGGAGGTGGGAGGTGGGCGAGGGCGAGGGCGAGGCGGAGGGATAGGGGAAGAGGTTCCAAAGGTCTCTTGACAAAAAAAAATTGGTAAAGAGAATTGGCCATCAGTGCGGCCTGGTCAGGGGCAACCAGGATAATAATAATAAAAATAATAATAATAATAATAATCCTTGCATTTGATACAGCGCCTTATCGCGTCTTCGAGACGTGTCAAACGGGGCTTTGCGGAATACACCGGAAAGCGAATTGACTGCACATTTTGTGGGGCCACACCCGGCGGCCGCGCCGCGCGTCACCCCGGCCTCTCCCGCAAACAGCCGTGGGTCGAGGCGACCAAATCATTGCCGCGATTACCTTTGAAGGAATTGTCACTCCCCCACCCCCCCCCCTCATGTGAGGAGGTAAGTAGGGGAAGCAGTGTGCCAGAGCGCGCAGGCGCACTGCGTGCAGGGCAGAGGGGGAGCGGGGAAGGGGGGAGGTGGGGCGGGGGGTGCGAGTTGGTGACGTAGGCCGCTGGGGCGGAGGAGGAGGAGTTGGAGGGGCGGGGGCGCGCGACGTGTGGGCGGAGCGAGGGAGGCTCGCTGACGTCAGTCATTGGCCGAGGCCGGGGATAATTAAGCGCGTTTGCGCGCGGGGGGGAGCAGGTGAGGGAGGGCGCGAGGTGTCGCGGCTCGAGCGCCGGCGGTTGGTTTGCTTCTGGACACAAAAGCGGGGAGAGGCCGAGGCGCATGCACACTGGCCCGCTCTGCCCGCCCGGCCCTCTCCCCCCCCCCACCCCTCCCTCCTCCTCTCTCTTCCTCTCTCTCTCTCTCTCTCTTCCTCTCCGCCGAAGCAGAAGAGAATTTAGTGGAAGAAAGGGTTCGCATTGACACGTACGGCTTGTTAGCCATTATTTTTTTTTAAAAAAAAGAGAAACACACGCAACGCCGCTTTTGGTTTGCATTTTTAGTGCAGGTAAGGATTCGTTTTAAGGTTTGGAGATGGTGGGGGTTTGATGGTGGTGGTGGGGGGGGAGGAGGAGGAGGAGATGGCGATGGGGGAGGAGGAGATGGCGATGGGGGAGGAGGAGGAGATGGTGGGGGGTTGGGGGGGGTGGGGGGGAAGGAGAGAGAGAGAGAGAGAATCGAAGTTGGAAGCAGCGAATGGATGATCTGTTGTCGAAGGAAGAAGGGGAAGCGGATGGCGAAGGAGCAGAAAAACATTGTTCTCAGGGCGACCGCGTCGCTGTGGGTGCACAGCAGCCTGAGCCGCGCATGACTCAGGCGACCCGCCGCCGCCGCCGCTACTCGGGTTTCTGACCTCGCCTCGATTCTCTTCACATTCCACCCCCGTCCCCCCCCCACCCACCCAACCATCACCATCACCCTCTCCCTCCCCCCCCACCCCCACACCCCTCCTCCTCCTCGCTCTGCGCGAAATCCTCTTCTCATCCCGTCACTTCAGAGACGCGGCCGCCATCCGTGTTTCTCGGGAGGTCGAGCGAGAGGCGGCGGACGAGAAAAAAAAAGGGTTCGTCCATCCGTTCGCCTTGTGTGTGTGTGTGTCTGTGTGTGTGTTTCTGGGCTGCTTGTCGGAAGGGAAGGCTGGCAGCCAGCATGGCGGCGGGGGCTCGTTAGCTAGGCCGCGGCCCTCCCGTTTCCTTTGTAAACAGCGGCTATGGCCGTTGTGAATCTGTTCTGTGCGGTGTGTGTGTGTGTGTATGTTGTGTCTCTTTTTGTCGCTGCAGTTTACGGGTGGAAGTCCCCGCCCGCCCGCCTAAACCCGACGGCGGGACTGACGTTGCACGTTGGGGCTTAAGCCCCGGCGGCCGAAATCTCGGGGTTGACGACCCTTTGGATTTTCAGACCAGTTGGTCGTGTCGTGTTCTCTCCCCGGATTCCCCCTTTTGTTTGTGTTACACACAACGTTCGTGAGCTGTTGCTGCCGGTTGTGGTCCCAGTGCATTGCGGTTCACACTCCGGCAGCTGAGGGCACACATCTTTGTTACTGGCGTATGTGTTTTTTGAATGTGTGAACAACTTCGCTTTTCATCGGATGCCTCAAAGAATGGGGATTTAACTCCTGTGAAATGTGGCTCTCATTGCTCGACGTTTCAACAAACATGTTTTGGATGGAGCACGTGTTAAATATTGCGTCCAAGGGACCAAACGTTAAAAGTTTCCATTAAACTAGTTTGTGGCTGGAGAGGCGTCAAGATTTGAGTTACCATGGCAATTAGTAAATTTTAATCAAGGACTTGAATTTCTGCAAATATCTTGCTCGTGTTGAGATAATTTTCAGTATGCACTTTGTTTTATTCAGGGGAGGGTAACGGTGAGGAAGGTCGATGGAGATTAAATATTGAAGATTGAACTTGAGACTGAAGTAGATTGAAGTGCTTAGCTCCAGAATTTATTGAGGTGCAGTAAAGATTTGATTTACTGGATGTGTCCACTTGGATACTGTGTTTACAATTGAAATAAGCAGCTATTTATTTTGTGATAAGATTATGTTTTTGGAATATTAATTCTAGTTATGGTTTGGAATTGATGTGAAATATGCATAAGTTGTGGGTTTTTGTGGGGCTTACTTCCTTTACTCCAAATTGCTGCATCCAATAGATTGATACTAGTAGCTGAACATATTATACTGCCATTTACATAGCCTGTTCCGCCATTCTATAAGATCATGGCTGATCTGTACCTCAACTCCAATTACCCTGTATCCTTGATTCCCTTGCCGAACAAATATCTGTCCATCTAAGTCTTGAAAATTTGAATGGAACTCTATCCTCCAAAAGCATCCACAGGCTTTTAGAGGATAGAGTTCCAGATTTCCACTACACTTTGGGTGTAAAGCTGCCTCTTGATTTCACTCCTAAGTGGCCTAGCTCTAATTTTAAGATTATGCCCCCTTATTCTGGATTCCCCCACCAGTGGACATTTGTAGGCTTTGGTCCTCAATATGCCTCTAGGCCTCCATTGATGTATGACCTTCCCGGTTGAGAGGTTGAAACTGGGATTTAATATTGTTCCTTCTCCAGCAAATGCAAAGCTATCCCAGTTCCAGTGAAGAGTCTTAGTAGTAGCTTGATTGTATTTCAATGCGAAAGTGTCTGATTTGACAACTGCAATGATTGTAGAAATTCAAAGCTGACTATAAGTTACAGATATAGATTTTGCAGGTGCAAGCTTTCATCCAATCACCATAAGTGCAGGTGATGCAGTATTTCTGAAAAATTGATAAACTTAAGTTTAGATGCCGAATAAATATTAACACTTAACTGACTTTAATGCTGCAAACTGATGGTAACAGAACCGAAGCAAAAAAGTGAACTATTTTACTTGCTAATGCTATGATTGTCAGCCCTTCAGATTGCTTTGCTCTTGAATTTAGTCTTGCAATGAAAAATGAAAGATCTGCTACAAGTAGTATCTTGCTGTATTTCTTTGGACGTAATTTATTTGCCTGAAAATGGCTGCTGCATCAATTCATTCCAATAATTCTGCGGCTGGCTAATATCCCTATAATTTAATGTTTTGAAACTTAATATGGAGAAAACATTTTGCTCCGTTAATTACTCTGCTACCTACTTGTGAGAATTGCTGGATTCTGCCTTGCCTTTGATGATTAAGTAATCCCTTTGATATCTTTCTGACTTTATCTTGCAATTAATTTTGATATGACATGTATTCTCAGCTGGTATTGGTATAGTAACATTTTGGCTCTTACAGCTTGTTTCTACTTTTTTTTAAAAAGAAAGTAGCAGTTTGGTTTTATATACCTTATGGAATTTCATTTTTTTTGTCCTTTTGATTTGGTGACGTAGTGGATTAGTGATTGAAGTTCTCATGGTAGGAAAGGCTAAAAGAGGATTGTCATTTATCTGTAGTTGTGTGCCTCAGTGGCAGATGCAATCTCTAGTCCTCTTTTTGATTGCCAGACCCACAAATGGCAGCATCTTCAACGTAGCATGTGTGGGAAAGAATACTCTAGAAGAGTGATTCATTGGTCAGCATCAATGTATTGGATCCTCCCAGGATCACAAGGCATAAGATAAGTTTAATGCAAGAGTGTGTATGTGTTGTGGGGGGGATGGGTACCATATGTTTATGTGAAAGGTTTTACACCCCCATTGAAAAGTGTACTTTTTTCTTTCAAAACACTAATTTGCACACTGAGAATTTTATTTCAGTTTTATCACTCTTATCTATTTTAATAATTTGGTCACTCAATCAAAGACTGTTTATGGGACACTGTTGTGCACAATTGTCTGCCGTGTTTTCCCCACAAATATGCAGTATATTCTATGGCATGCTTTGAGACGTCTCAACAACGTGATAAGATTATATATCAATATTATTATTACTGAGCTGAATTTGGGGCTCAGTTTAACTGCTGCAGCCCCAAATGTTAGTTATTTGGGATAGTTTTTCAACATTTTCCCCCCATTTTTGACTATGGACAGCTGAGGCCTAATCCCTACAACGATTCACTTTTATTACATGGCTCTTTTATGCTACTTGTTCACTAACTAAATTTGCTGAAGTGATGCCTGATCTATTGAAATGGCTGGCTGAAATAGTCTTGAATTTCATAAATGCTAGATTTGCTTTCACCTTGTACATTGTGATGAAACACTAATTGCAGTGAAAAACTACTTTATTGAACTTTAAAAAATTCCCTTCTCTCTCCCTCTTTCCACCCTGCCCCCCCATTTGCCAATATATTTCATCAAACTACCTACTTTTACCACTTGCAGTGCATAACTCTAGAACAAAGTACATATAAATTCATAAGGGTAAATGTTTTGCCTGGTCCATAACTGCAAAACCAAAATTTGACCATGATACAACTCCAAAATTATTCTGTTTGAACAATTTGTTTAGTTAGTGTGCCCTCTAGTGACAAGTGGGATTGGATACTTTCATTGGAGCAGAATAGCAACTTTCAGTGGTACAAAGGTTTACTACACCCAGCAGAATTATAATAAAATGTTATGAAGACTTCAATATGCTGAAGTTTTTTAAAAAAATGCAAAATCAAATGTACATTACATTTAGGTCAAAGAAAGTTTGCTTGAGATCTAACCATTGATCAGTAAATATTTCCCTTTCCCAACATTGGAATATTGAATAAACTGTGCATTTTGCTACTCTGTAGCCCTTTATTAGATTACTTAAACTGTACCACCTGTCAAAATCTGATTTCTATTATATTTTCAGGTAGTTCGTCATTGATCTCTCAATCAAACAACACATGGAAACTCTTTAAATAGTACTAAACTTTTGGGAGAGACACAGTATCCAGCAATGAGCAAACTGGCTCTATTACTACTTTTTTATGGCTGTTTAGAGCACACTCCCAACATCGACAAAGCCAAATTTCTACTACATGTTTTTTTTTTGCTGTTTGATTTCCTGAAATGTATATTGTCCTGAAAATAAAGAATTGATATCTGCTTATTTGGTATGGGGACGTGCAGCTGCATTAGCTGAGTGGGGTAGAAGTGTGTCAGACCTCTGAATAAGTCTTCAATGTAGCACCTTTAATCAAGAAAAATAGAATGCAGTGGTATGCATCTTGTGTGTAATAAGCCCTCCGGGACGCTACCCTGCAGAAAGGGTGCTATACAAATGCAAGTTGTTGTTAATACTTTAGCATCAGTTGCAATCTTATAATTTAGAAATGGATTTGAATTGAGACTCTTAATTGCAACTATAGCTAACATTTGTAATTACCTGATAACACTATAGATGTGACAGGCAAAATTGTTTTTGGTCCAAATTCAATCTTTGGTAAGATGGTTATGGATATTGTACTTGCAATAGATCTGGCTATCTGCATTAATTGGGACTAGATCATCAGTTTAGATAATTGGGTATCATGAAATACAAACTAGCTGCAGCGCAAAATAAAAGTGGTCTGTCAGGAGTTGTACAGTAAAACTTAGAAACCTTAACTTTATAAATTGTATAATTGCCAAAGGCGCAAGTCCGAAACACTATGTCCAGCGCCTTGGGATATCCTCCTGACATGAAAGGCTCTATACAAATGTAATTTTGTTGTTGTTATGCACCCGGGTTCCATTCAGTTTCCTAACCAAACAAAAGTTGGATTTCTTTGTACTGGTTGTATAGATGTATCTCAAATGCATCTTAAATACTATGTAAATCATCTGTAACTCTTAATAAAATCTTCCTCTTGAACTGTGATTTCAAATACCCCCCCCACCCTCTACAACCACTTGCTTTGTTATGCTGTGGCTTTCTGTTCAACTCTGTCTCTTTCCTTTCTCTGAATTTATTGTTATAAAATATATAATATATGCCAATATATTCAGTGAGTTAATTAGGCCCTCGATTTACTTCATGTCCTTAGTAACGTCATGCTCAAATTGGAATATGTACAGCTGGATTAATTTTGCTGGTATATCAAGCCCCATGTCTACTTTTGCATTGGAGCCTATAGCAGATAAAGGAAATGCAGATATTTGGCTTGCAGATAAAGGAACCTTTATGAACATTTGCATGCATTTTTTTGTCAGAAAATACTGGAGTGGCAATATTTGCTAACCACTTTTACTCTCTTTGCAGAAATGAGTCGTCAGACAGCCACAGCGCTCCCTACAGGTACATCAAAGTGCACACCCTCGCAAAGAGTTCCTGCATTGACTGGAACTACAGCCTCCAATAGTGACCTAGCCAGTCTTTTTGAATGTCCAGTGTGCTTTGACTATGTGTTGCCACCAATTCTTCAGTGCCAGAGTGGCCATCTCGTCTGCAGCAATTGTCGTCCTAAGCTTACATGTTGTCCCACTTGTCGGGGCCCATTGGGTTCCATTCGTAATTTGGCTATGGAAAAAGTGGCCAACTCTGTACTGTTCCCATGTAAATATGCCTCTTCAGGTTGTGAAATCACACTACCACATACTGAGAAAGCAGATCATGAGGAACTTTGCGAGTTCAGACCATACTCGTGTCCTTGTCCTGGTGCTTCATGTAAATGGCAGGGATCTCTGGATGCTGTAATGCCACACCTAATGCATCAACACAAATCAATCACAACCTTGCAGGGTGAGGACATAGTCTTTCTGGCAACAGACATCAACCTCCCAGGTGCTGTAGATTGGGTCATGATGCAATCGTGTTTTGGCTTCCACTTTATGTTGGTCTTAGAAAAACAGGAAAAATATGATGGTCATCAACAGTTCTTTGCCATAGTACAGCTAATTGGAACACGCAAGCAAGCTGAAAACTTTGCTTATCGACTTGAACTCAATGGGCACAGACGGCGACTGACTTGGGAAGCAACTCCTCGATCCATTCATGAGGGTATTGCCACAGCAATTATGAATAGTGACTGTCTAGTCTTTGACACTAGCATTGCACAGCTGTTTGCAGAAAATGGCAATCTGGGAATCAATGTAACCATCTCCATGTGTTGAAGCTGACAGTTTACAGTTCACTTGTCAGGCCAGTGTTGGGGCAGTTAACATTTAAACATTGGAGGTGATGTACAAGATTTTGCTGCCAGGCATTTATCAATATGGCTTCTTGGATGAGGTCTGTCATGATAGCTACATACAAAACTGGCTTACAGTAAAATAGTTGTATATGTTTAACACTAACCATAAACCACTGAACAGAAACCTGTACTGGGCTTTTTGTAGAAAATAGTGCTATGAGCCTAATGGAAAATGGAAAGGGGTAAAGTTAAAAATGTAAGTTCTGCAATCTTGTGTTGAAGTTCCTATTGATTGTACTGTTAGCAAATCCAACTTTTTTGTTTTCTTTCCTTGACTGGCAAGCTATCGGGCAGTATTACGTCACTGCTTTTTTTTGTAATTGTCACTACATAGAATTGCTGCTGTTTGTGTAAATTCTTTGTATGGCTTTTTTTATTATAAACTTGCTAGTTCAAATTTCCCTTTTTATATAATGTCCCTTATTTCTTGTGTGAATATTCAACTTGCAAATTAGTTATACTGTACACTTGAGTCATTTTAAAATGTCTTCTAGAATAAATCTACTGTTAACTACCAAACCCAAGTTGGAATGTCAATTACTATTTCACTACAAATTCTGTTCTGAATTACTAAAATCTAATTAGTTTCTACACAAGATATTTGGAAACAACATTATTGCACTCTTATTATTTGAACATCCCATTGAGAAATGTAATCCTTATTCAATCTATTTAAAAGGAGCTATATTTTCTTACTGCAGATTGAAGGTTTTCCAAGTTTTTGGAGCAAGCCTAATGTGCCCATCGTAGGATTCTTTGCCTTTTTTATTTTACTGTCCCCAGTTTGTTTTTGGGAGAATAAGCCTTTTTTTGAAGGTCATAGTAATGTCTAAGATTTGAGCATGTTTCTCTCCCCCCCCGCCCCCATTAAGGAAGTTGGCTGGAGTGCTACAAATGTTTGTTTTTGAAAGTCTGGATAAAGTTTCAGAGCCTGTTCCTAAACCTTTTCTTTCTTGTATTCAGAAAGTTTAATTGGATGGGAGTAATTGATTTCAGAATTGCCAAGCCAAACTTATTTTGTCTTCCCTGAATTCTAGAACTGTCTAGTTTAGGATTGTTAGTTTAATACAACTAAGTTGTGAACCAGTATAATAAACTATCTGAAAATATTTTTCCACTTAAGAATTTTACTTTAATGTTCCAATGCTTTACTAAAGGTTTCATTTATAGACCGTGCAAATGATCATCCGGTCCTATACTTGCACAGACAAATTGAATATTGGATTAAAATTAGTCTAACTGCAACTTTTGTAGGCAAAGTAGCTTCCAGTAAATGGAACTGGCAGTGTACTTGAGGATGGAAAATGTTCTAAAATCCACCATAAAATTTCCATTAAGAGTTGATTTGACTTTTTTTGCAACTGTTAATGTTTACATTCATTGCCAGATTTGAGAATATCAGTGCTTTTAAGTTGTATATTGAGTGGTTAATGCAACCTTGAGTCCAACTAAGGAAAATGTTTGGCAACATTGTTGTTCCTTTTTGTTATGCTTTCAAACAGATTTTGGCTGGAGCAAATTTGCAATGCTATTTTATTCGATTACTTCCCTCTAACCAGCAGTTTAGCATACCTCCATCAGTTGTATACAAAATTATATGGATGGGATTTTTTTTTAAAAAAAGCCTTATACTTGTAACATGTTGCAACAATGCATATTGTAAACAGTAATTCTGTGGTAAGATTAGGTTTGTAAATACATATTAATGAAAGCTGTAAATGTGCATTAAAGGGAGTTAACTTTAGGTTGCATTAAACAGATGACCTGTTAAAAGGTCTGAAACTGCGTAAATGTTTTTTGCAGTTGCTCTCATAGGTTATATCTATACAATGTAGTGAAATCAACACCTTAAAGCTGCTTTGGATAATATTTTCCCCTTTCCCTATCCTTTTAACTTCCACCACCAAAACTCGAAAGCCCATTTCATTTGATTATAGCAAATCTTCTCTAACCAAGGACAGTTTTACAACCATAATACAGATAATTGTTTCTAGATCAGATTTAAATATGCCAGCTTTAAGTGGCTTGGTAAAAAACTGTCTTAAGTTCTCTTCCCTCCTGCAATTGACTACAAAGGTTTGTTTGTTCCAATATACATTTTTAGTGTGATAAAACACAAGTCTACTAGTATTAATAGTGAACCTTGATTACAGTTTTAAAACTATACTGTAACATGCTTTCCTCATGTTAGCCCTATGGATTAACACATGGTGTCATATGACAGTGGACTGACTTGTAAGCCAGTCACACATAACATTAAAATGTGTAGTATGTGGAATTTGGCCACTTGTGCAATATACTGATCCTTATTTACATTACATTAATATTTTTCAGTTAATTTAAAACTTTTCCTACCAAGGCCATTTTTCTATTTGACTTTCTTTCGTGGTAGGTCCATTTCCTTAATGCTTCGCACTATGCTGTTGTACAGTAAATGATGCAGTGTAAGGGATTATGTTTATAATACTGTTTTGCCTGCAACTTGATTTATTGTGTTGAGCTTTATTCACATTTTAAACTCAAATAAAAGTTGGATACCATTTCTTGTTTGATTTGGCTTTTTAAAAAAAACTTTTGTAGAACCTCTGATTTGGGAATCAAACTGCTGTTATCACCTGTATATGATGCAAAAGCTAAATAGATAATCATACACCACAACAAGAATTGAACTTTATATTTATAGTCAGTTTATTTTTCTAAATTAATTTATTTTATATACCATACAACACATTTTGAAGAAAATTTATGTGGAATAAGAAAAAACATTTGGCTTGTCCGTTGGTATGGGGTGAATTAAACCTTTTATATTGCATGTATAACAACAATGGTGCCTGAAATCTAAAATCTCATTATTACAATTATTTTATTGTTACTGTATAACTAAAGCCTTGATTGTTCCATCTTAGAAGACCTGACAATGCCTATGAAATGTGACCTGAAATTAATGCAGCTCTAGTCAAATCTATTGTACTGTTATTGCAATATAGCACTGAACATTTGTCCACTCATACAAAGTTTGAAACCAGTTTTGTGACAGATTTAACCAATTTTTTTGTCCAAGATAAAGCAGCCCAACCTCATCCCAGCACCCTGGCCACAAGATGAACATGGGAGACTAGGAAAATTTTCCCTCCTCCAAGAAAGTGCATCATCCACCTTTTATGGGATAAAGCAAATTAATAATTTCAAATGTTCATTTTTAGCTTAATAGAAATTGATCCAACTCACAAACCATTACAGTTTACTGTTCAAAATATCACATCTGGAGTCTGCTGGAAATCCGCCATCAAATGCAGCATTGAGGACATCATCTAAATAAACAGCTGGTACAAAATCAAGATTCTCTCTCATGTTGGCTGGGATGTCATCTAGATCCTTCTCATTTTGTTTTGGGATAATAACTCTCTTCAGCCCAGCTCTGTGTGCAGCTAAAACTTTGTCCTTTATGCCACCAACCTATCAGAAAATTAAAAAAATATCAGTATACATTCAAAGAAGGTGCACTGCCTGCATTGCTGGTAAGAAAAAAAAAGTAATTGATCTATTCAATGACCCATTGCTCAGTATTTTAAATGAAGAATCCAGGTTTAACTGCTATAAAGCTATTAAAAAAGGAAAAATTATATAGGTGTTGACTTAATTTTCTCAAAATGATATAGGCATCTATCTGATTTGTAATTGCAGTGATTTACTTGTACCAGTCAATCATGTATATTAAAAAAAGTACTTTTAGGTACTGAAAAAATATTACTTCATGGAAAAACTAAAGTAAAATGCACAAGAGGAGGAACACTTACAGATGTAACATGTATATCCAAAGATCTTACTTGCATAAAAACAATTACAATTTATGTGAAAGAAAATGTAATGAATACATTTTCAGTCACACCACATTACCCCAACGCTTGTCAAACTTGAATTGAATATTCTGCCAAAAGGTTTGTCATTCTTTCATAGCAAGTAATGTGTGTAATATTTTCCACCCCACACCTCATTTCCTCCCAACTTTTTGTATTCAGCTAAATGTGCAAAATTTGGGAAATAAAAAATGGAACAGCAAACATCTGGTTTGAGCTTCAGTCAACCAACAGCTTCATAATCTCCCAGCATCTTGGCCAACAACCCCCAATACAATTGGTCATTCACATCTTGGCTCTTTCTGGAATTCTGCTGGGCACAACCTTGTGGCTGCATTTGCCCACAAAACACGCAATCGGGACACTTTACAGTATATCCTGTGAAGCACTTTGGGTCGTGCAGCTGATTGGCCACCTTATTGGCTGGTCTTCACTGAAAATGTACTACTTTGCCTTTGCTTTTCAGGTGAAATAACAATCGGGTAAAAACTAATGAAACACTTAGTTACCTGAAAATCACTAACCATATTTTATACTCCACAGGAGCCCCCACCCCTACTATTCTCCAACCAGATGTGCTAAGGCACTATATCAAATGCAAGGATTATTAAGTTTAGCTGGAAGAGTGCTGGCCAGAAGCTCTCTTTTCAAATTGTGACATTTGCCCTCCCTATATTTTCAGTGAACTTGCTCAATGGTTAGAATGGTATTTTCAACCAAAATAAATTTTCGTGATCGAATATTTTTTGATTTATACCATAAAACAATCGAGACAAAACTGAAAATGTACTACCGATTAAACTTCGAGTTACCTAGACTCATGCGAGTGTTCGGGGGGGTATGCTTCTTGATAGTCCCGTGGGCCACAGGTTGACCACTACTGTTCTAAAATATCTGCCTTCTCTACCTAAATGTGCTTTAACCATAATCTCAAAAGATGACCCTTATTGCGTAACATTTCTATTGCCCACACGACTCATCACCTCACCTCTCTTGTGTAGATAGATAACATTTTGCAAAATGAAATCTTCTGTTGTAGCTTCCCTCTGCCCCTCCAGAAATGGTCTTAGGCTACTGAAACTCATTTCAATCAAGATTCTAACAGCCAGATCAGTGTCCCCTCAATCTCGGCAGGTTTGAAAGCCAGGTCCCAGAGGTAAAATATGTGCACCAGGCTACTATAATTAAACACTTTTTACAGACATAGAAATGGATCTACAATTTCAAAGTTACATCTGTTTGATGAGGGAGAATACTCAATCAATTAGATTAAAGCCTGGTATTTTAAAGCTATTGATGAAGGGTTTGTGGAAAAAGAAGGCAGATATCGCAGTACCAAAACACTCAAGCATATTTGAAAAGTTCTTTGATGCAAACAAAAAATTTAAACATGAAGATACACACAGTAAAATGTGGTCAACTAACCATGAATTGAGATAAATGTTAGCCAAGAATATGAACAAAGAAAATTAATAGAAATAATTAAAATGTCCCTCAGTAAGAACTAGCTGAATTGCCTCCTCCTGTTCCCGTATTTGTATGTGCCTAATAAAACCCAAAGATGCTGGAGTAATGTTCCAATCCATACGAATTGAAAGGCTAGTTTTCATTGCAATGATTCACACAGCAGTTATTCACAAGAAAAAAAAGCTGCAATAAAACGGTTGAGAATGGAATGGAACCATGAAGAATCGCATTAACATAATCACTGATATCAGAATACAGGAACACATAGCAAGATCTGTCCAATCTAGCTTGAACTTGTGTTATCGGTGATTCAAAGAAGAATCTTTCACAAGAAATTTTAAAAAATACTTACTGGTAGAACGAGGCCTCGCAGTGTTATTTCACCTGTCATGCCTACATCAGATCGTACCAGACGGCCACTAAACAGAGAGGCGAGGCAGGTTACTATAGTAACACCAGCAGATGGTCCATCTTTTGTGACAGCTCCAGCTGGGAAGTGCAGATGTATGTCTGTGTTGTCAAGCAGATCAAAGCTTCCAGCAGCTAAATCAAAGGCAAGAAAAGTTTTGTCCATTAAAATTACAAAAACTGCAACAGAGTATTGTATGCCACAGTAATTAATGAACTGAAACAAAGGCTCTCTTCTAGAAAATTTTACATTTACACAGAGAACAAGCAGATGTCAAAATATAACCTTCAAACATTGAAAATCAATCCTCTCACAAAATAAATACATGCGTTACTTTTCTGAGTTCTTGAATCTGCAACTAAAATAGTTATTTTTATTATTATAATTAATATTTTTAGTAGGCATTTTATTTCATCCAACCCAATTTCACTTGAAAGGAATAGATAGCCTTACTGGAGAGAGTTAAAGGTCTGCATCATTGATGATATTCCAGAAATATTTTAAGGTTGCTAACAACTACAGACTGAAAAAGAGCATTACAACAACAACTCGTATTTATATAGCGCCCTTCACGCAGGGTAGCGTCCCGGAGCGCTTGACAGTGGCGGAGTCTGACACTGAGGAGAGGGGAGATGACCATAAGCATGATCAAAAAGGAAGGCCTTTAGGGCAGGATTTGAAAGTGGGGAAAGAGGGAGCAAGGAGGAGCGATTGAGGAAGTGTTCCAGAGTTTTGGGATGTAGTGGCTGAAGGCACGGCACCAATGGTGGAGCGGAGGGCATGAGGGAGAAACAGGAGGCTTGCATTTGATATAGCACCCAATCGTGCGGAAACTCCTCAAAGCAATTTACACAAGAAATTACTCTGATGTATAGTTAATGCTGTTATCTCGACTAATGTAGCAACTAAATTGCTCCAGCAATGTCCTACAAACAGCAAAGAGATGAATGACTAATTACTCTGTTGACAATTCAATTTTCCTAGATTTACAATTAAAAAGAAAAACATTCTACGCATCTATTCACATTTATGAAGGAACAATTTTAAAACGGTGCTACCATTGCATAAGACATGAATATAATTTCCTATTTGGGTTTGATTGCAAATACATAAATTGTCCTGACTCATCATGAATATAAATAATGCAATGGATTATTGTACTTCCAATTCATTTGTACTGGGATTTAGCAACCAAATAACATCCCAGTGATCAGTTTTGTTATGTCCACAACCACAAAGGTGCATGCGCTTGCTACCGGAAACAGCTCACCCAGGTTTTTAAATATTAAATATTATTAGTCGCAAAAGGAACTGTATGAGAGATGTAATGGTAGCACGTTGGACTCTCAAGCATACAGTTCAAATTCTGACATTGAGAATCAAGCTTTCCTTGTTTCTATCAGTTTATTAAATAGAGTACCTTACTACACCAGACCCATTAACAAATGTGTTCGTATTGGTTTTAATCAAAATTGACCTGGTTATCTCTATGATGGCCTTATCAATCTTGAGTTGTTCAGATTTCTATTGATTCGAAAATCACTGTGTCAACAAGGTTATAAGTCAAAGTTTTTTGTTGAACAAAACAGATGTTCCAACTCCCAAAACGTTTGGGAGGAGCAAAGAGGAAGACACATGATACGTATTCAAGTGAGGACAGAATATTAGCAATTACGTAGAAAAAGAATAACATTTAACAGTTAAATGAAAGATGGAAAATTGGGAAGATAAACAAAAGGGAAAATAGAGACCGAGCTTGCCACAAAATTTCTGGAGAAATATTTCACAAAAAACATTGCCATTAAGGAATTACTTTAATTTCCTTCTCGTAACAACCTCATAACACCGTCTGCTTCTTCTACATACATACCATTAGTTAAATGATATTTCTTGGCATTGCTGCGAAGCCAACTTATTGCAAGATGTGCTGATTCCTTCAGCACGTCTCCCAGCTGTCCAGTTAGAGTCAGCTGACCCTCTCCCTCCATTTGGCTTGCCTCTACAAACAGAATCTCACTACCAAAATTTGTCCTCCCCAGACCTATTGCCACTCCAGGTTGATTCAGACGATGGAATACCTGGGCAGCAAACAAGAAACAAATGCTACATTTTATTAAACATATTTATAAATGACAACTTCTTAGTGAAAGTGGGAAATTTAGCTTTCCTGGTTAAGGCATCCAATTATTATCATCTAGTACTCCAGGTATTATCTATCAGTACAGATAAAATCCAAACCATCTCTCCTCTTCACAAATCAAATAGGACTTTTAGGCAAAGAACTGGTGATCGAGATTAGCAAGACAGACCCAATAATAGCTTATAATGTATTCAGATTTTAATAATTTTCTCACACTACTCCCTGAAAAAAACTCCCTTGAATCCTACAGTCTGTGAACCCAAATGCAGATGATCGTACTTTTTAAAGCCACAACATAAACCTGATTTCTGCCTTCAGAATTCAGCATTATAGGGGTATTAGCAGTGCAGTCAAAATTTAAGATGTCAATGTGCTGCACTGTTGGGTAAAATGTGAATGCAATTCTTTGATACATTACCAGAATTAATAAAGGGCATTAGTGTTTATAAAATATAACAGTGCAGTATTGTGTCATTTGTAGTATTGTGACCCAATTTGTTTAGTATGTAAAAAATCTGTAAAATAAATGTAACCACATTATACAAAATGTGGCAACATATCTAAATGCTCTGATACATTTTACACATTATTTCCTTTAGAAGTACTTTCTGAAACCTGTTAAAGTAACAAAACTAGGAGATCAATCTTGCCTCCACTTCATAGATAGGACGTCCCAGAATGTCTTTCAAGGCGTGACAATCAATTACAATAGGCATTTCGGGAGGCAGTGCAAGGTCAGTCGTGTCAGTGATGGATTCATCTTTGGTCTCTTCGGGGACTCTCGCTTTTCCTTAAACAAAGAAAAAAAATTAAGTTAGGTTCCATATAAAGTTATCAGCTTGAACAACTTCACATTAATATGCATTTGTATAGCTGCGCAGAAAGAGGCATATGTTTAACTACTTTCAAAGATTTTGCGAGGCTGGCAGATTGCTGGGGGAAAGGGAACTACAAAGCACTGAAGCGTGTCATAAAGGATAATGTTTCAGTGGACCTCAGTTAATAGGAACAATCACAATGTAAAGTATTCTCTATATCTTGTTGTGCCTTTTAAGGAAATATTTTAGAATATTTTGAGAAGTAATTCATGCCTGTGCCATTTTTCTTTTTAAGTGAATATTTTTATTAATAAGTGGATATCGCAGATCCAAAACCAGCTTCCATTAAATACGAAGGTTAAATATTATAAACCTCTTTCATTAGAGGTGAAACACAACACTCAACAACAACAGCTTCCATTTATATAGTGCCTTTATATAGGAGTGTAGGGTGGGGGCTGTGGTAGGCGGCGTGGCGGAAGGAGAGGGTGTTATTGAAGGCATGGTGGGGGGAGAGGAGGCAGCCAGGTGGATGTTATCTATCTTTGATACAATGAAGTCTACTTGGCATTGGAAGTGAGGAGCGAGGGTGCTTGAGGGGGGACGGGACAGGGATGTAGGAGGTGATGAACAGCACTTTAGGGTTATTTTTAGCCTCCAGAATGGGTTGGGATTAGTTATCATCTATGATAGCTGATCGCAAGTGAATCTGGGATATATTATTCATACAATGAAAAGGATATTAATTATAATCCTTGTATTTGATATCGCACCTAATCATGTCTTCGAGACATCTCAAACCACTTCACAGAATATACTATAAACTGTAGTGACTGTTTTATGGGTGAAACAAAAAAGGATATAAAAGGTCAAGAGTTATGTAAATTTAGTGTCCCCTGATTTTTTTGTGAAAATTTATGTTATTTTGGGGAGCTTTCAATTCCACGGAAGCAGAGCAATATTTGACAGTCTTGAGGCAATCTAACAGATGTAGTTGCTATGGTGGGTTGCTAAGATTCTTTATAGTCCTGTGAGATGCATCACAGAGGAAGCAACACAGCATTCACGAGGTCCTCTCCATTGTATAAAATGTCAATGGCATATTGCAAAACTCAGTTGGTTTTTGAGAGCACTCTGGTCCCTAGCTCCAACATTTTAAAGTGCTTTAAATAATCTAATTGGAGATGAAAAGGTCAAATAAAACTGTAATAATCTGAAAAGTATAAAGCATGCACTTATCTAATGAAGCACCATTACAGCTGCATCACACTCAGCACATTGTTTTACAGAGCAATTCAACCTCACTATATCTATATATACACACACACACACGTACATTACCCTTCATCATGTCCATATAAGAAACAATTCTATTATTCAGTTTGGTTATTTTCTACATACAAAACAGCATTTTGAGGAAATAATCTGAAACTGTACTGTACCAGAGATAATTTAGCCTATCTAGAGAAAAATGGTGTCTTTTAGGTCAGCATATTATAAATTATCAGAACAGCTTACTTTTCTTAAGCTATATAAAATTATCATGGCCCTTTTTTTCCAATTTTGTCTTGTAACTCATTTGGAAATTCTGTTGTGTAAAATTATGCTGTAATGTATAAAAGCAAAGTCACACAAAGAAAATACCAAGGACGTTCCTTCATAAAATAACAGCTTGAAACCTTTGCAAGTGTATGCTGAAATAACACAATTTTCATAAACAGCCCTGTTGTCTCAACAACGTGAGACAATATAATAAGCCGCTATATCAAATGCAAGGATTATTATTATCACATGAAACAAATTGCATAAAGATGGAGACATTTTACAGTAAATTGTTTTGTTTCCCATCTCTAGGTTTCCCACCGCACACTATTTCTGATCAAATAAATGATCAAAGCAATCAGGAATGATGATGCTTTCTAGCTGGCTGCTGGGAGACTACTGAAAATAGGTCACGGAGATCGGTCAACAGAATTTTCTGCATAGATTCTGCTCACTGACTCCCCCAATGCGCCATGCAGAGACTCACAGCTGCAACCCATTCAACAGCAACTTGGCTCAAGGGTGCCTGAGGTCACGTGGCAACTTTTAACTATTTTAACAAGCTAATGCTCCTTTAGCCTATAAGTAATTCATTGCTGTTAGGTCTCTCCTGAATAACCTTTGCCATTTTATAGCATGTTTTATTGCAGAACCCCCTTCAGGAAGAGGTTCTGGGTCCCAGTGCTATGTCTGCAGTCAAATATCTCAAACAGAAAAAACAGGGCAATTTACAATGGTACAAAATGGAAAACTATGCATTTAATAGATTAAAATCACCTCCTGGTTTAAGAGTTTTGAAAAGAATGATTTTAATAAAAATGTGCCACGCTTGCTCGAAGATTTTCAATCTACTCTAATTCTATGTTCAGACTCTTGTTAATCAATTTCTGGTGTATAGCTAATCCTATCAGCAGGGTGCACCTTCTGTTTCACACTCTTACCAATTGAATTTTCAATTGATTTTTTTCTTGATTTCTCCCCTAAGCCTTCTAAAGCACCATTAAGCTTAACCATCATATCCTACTGTGAAATATATCATAACCTTTCCTGATGTATAAAAATAAACACTGTAGAAACAAAAAGAAAATATAACAAGCTGTTTTCTTTAGAAAAATAACAACAAATCTTCACAGCCTTTCAATTTAGAGTTCTATCCACAGATTTACAATTAGACTTTTTGGCATTGTGAATGCAGTTTCTTATAACCACAAACACTATTATTATTATTATTGCCTGCATTACTTAAGGAAGGATGTTTAAAAGTAAAGCGCATGGAAAAAAATTACCAAACTCATAAAAGAATAAAAGTTTATTTTCCCTATGTAATTGGCTATTTCAAATGAAATGGAAAATAGCTTAAATTAAATTGGACATGCAAGAGGCCTTGGAGAGTTGAGGAATTTATGAATAACAATCATCAAAAAAATTTATTCATAACCTATTTGCTTATTTTATCAACATATAACAAGTATTTAGATTCCCTAATTAATAAAAAGCTAACCTAATCTTTCCCAGTGACAAACAATAAATCCTAAAATTAATTGTATAATTACTGTTCATATTAGTCATGTTCTGCATACTTTCAATCAAAATAATAATCATTGCATTTGATAAAGCATTTTTCATTGCAGGAGGATGACTTAAAGTGCTTCACAGAATTCACTGTAAATTATAACAACTGCATTTTGTCGGCAAACCATAAACAAATAGTATAAATAACAGATACCAATAGGACAACATTGAAAGGTATTTCATATTTGTAGCTATCTTGTTTTGTTAGATACCTGAACATCTAACAAAACTGACTGATGATTAAATACTCTGCACAGAACAGGTTCGCTGTGTGTAATGTATCTACATAGTTAATCATTTTCCATCCAAAATGAGAATAAAGTACATTGGCTCAGATTATGACCCAAATTCCAGCCATGGTAATTCACATGATGAAAATAGTTTCAGAACCATTAATCTGATCTACACCAGCAGGGTCTTAGCACAATCATTACTGGCTTCAAGTTCAAAACAAATATGAAAAACTAATGTAGTGTACGATTTCTAAAACAACTCGACACAAGTTGAAATCTGACCTCTTTTTGCTAACATTGGTATTTAGTGCCCTGACAAATATTATTTTCTTGTCCATCATTCTTGCTGCTTGAGGAATATCCTGTGAACTGGAATAACAAACACTACAAATCACAATGAACAAGAATATTTTTCAAATGAATAGGAGTTACTATCCCATGTGCCATTTAGGGGAGGAATGTTTCCCAAGAGGCAAATAATTTAACAGCACTAAACTGATTATACATAATTACAGAGTTTGGTTAGCAATGCCTAAAACTCCCAACAACCAGAGTTACTGTAAACAATTTGTTTGCTTTAACTTTTAATGGGTTTTAATCTTAGCTAGCACGTTATAACTCATTTGGGATACTTCTGTCTGTACATGCAACAAATGTTTAATTATAAAATTGAGTTGGAATTTGGGTCATGATGTTAGATAATTGCAAAATCATTTTGATAGTGATTCAATGAGTTTCTTTCAATATTAATTCCCAGCTTCATTCATGATTTTGTTCCTAGCCTTTAATAATTCCAACTGCATGAGCTGAACAATTAAGGGATTTACTGTAAAGCTTAGTTCCTGTGTATTTGATAGGCAAGTGTGGACAACAACCAATGTTAGCGGCAACCACTTGTTCCAGAATCAGGACTGACAGATACAGTCAAAGCCAGTCACAGATCACAAATCTCCTATTAATCTTCAACATCAACAGTAACACAGCTCACCTTCTTCCCCAGGCACAGGAAGATGACTGGATTTTGCTGACCTATGTTGGCTTTCTGCCACTTTTACAGCTACAGCACGACAAATGGCTGCAATCTTCCGTTCGAGGGAGCGGACTCCTGCTTCCCTCGTGTACCTGAAAAGCACCACACACTGCGGATACTTGGATTGTTTTCAATCAGTGTATTCACACTTTTTTAATATTGCACCTATGGCACAAAGTCAAAAAGGCAAGTGACCCTGTAATCCCTTCCCCGTGTCAAAACCCATCTAAACAGACAGCCAAGAGGTGCGTAAGAGCTAGAATTAAAAAGCATCTTGCTTAATCTTCCCTCACTGAAAACAACTCTCAAAATGTCACAAGGTCGCCTAACATAACATTATAAACTAGCTAATTGTACAGCAGTTTGATTATTGAAACAGTACCGTTGTCACTGTATTTTAAGAGCTTTCATTTATTCTGGAATCCAAGATCAGAAAAAGTCGGTAATGATAGAACAACGCATTTTGGAAGACAAGCTTTTAATTCAGAAATGTCTGACCTGCTGATGATATCTTCAGTGGTCTCTTGTGGAATCTGTAAATGATGAGGTGTCAGTCCGTGAAGGTCTAACTGCTTTGGGATCAGGTGTCTAAGAGCAATTTCAACCTTATCTTCCTGCATATAACCTAACGTTTGAAGAATCACAATTAAAAATATAAATGAACATTATAGTAAATGCAAGAGAAGGTAATATACATTTATGCATGATAAATAATTGTATCCTTTTTCCTTTAACTGATTTCCCAGAGAATTTCTCCTAAGGCATAGATCCATTCCCCACCTTCCCCCCCATACATACACAATTCAGCCCCTCCATGTAATGAAGTCTTAGCTAATCTGTAACTAGGACCATAATGTGGTTAATCAATTACCAAGGGAATAACATTCCTCTAAAGTTTCCAGAATCATACTATGAGGCGAGGGGGGGAAAAAAAAGGGTTTAACCTCAAAGCTAAATGTATTTCAAAACCAATCTTAGAACAACTTCGCACATGTCACAGAAAGCTGTCACTAATGGTTTCTGGGCCTCATTTTACTCTTGATTGCAGGAGTGAACATCTTACATTACCTTACGCCTGGTATGAATGAGAGATCATTCCACAGAATCAATGCAACAAATAGGAATTTGAATTGAACTCAGGAGGTCGAGCAGTCCAATGATTTTTAACACGATGCTCTTCCGCCTCTGGGATCTAAGTTTCCTTCAGGATCCAAGTTCAAATCCAAGCCAGACTGATTTATTCAAAGGCTCTTCTAAAGTGGAATTTTTAGACCTACAATAAAGGCTCAACGTCACACTCACCAAAGAGTAATTAAACGTTGTCATTCACCTCGCTGTAATTTGTTGGTTATTACTAGCATAAATTAGCTGCTGTGTTTGCCTCCATGCCAGTCACTACACTTCAAAGGAACTCACTATGTGAAGTTCTTTGTGATGTTTTGACCTAAGATGCTATGTAAAATCCAAGCATAATTGCAATTCTTACAACATAACTGACTTAACTGTGTATTTATCAGGTTATGTTCCACCCACTTACTGAACACAATGTCATCACAATGTAAATTTAAGTTTTACAATAGTTTAAAGCAGCATCTGTGAAACATTCCCCCTCCTCCAGTTTCGACATGTGGGAGAACCATTGTTGATAAGCACAGATAACTGTAAATTCCTAATCTTACACACCATTACACAAAGCAGTGTCATTATGTTCCTCATTAGGAATTAAATCAAAAGCATTGCATAGCACAGCTTCAGTAGACGACTGACGCTGGTGGGGGGTGATGGGAAAGAAGTCATCACAAGCTGAATTGGACAGCTCCTTATTAAAAACAAAAACATCATGAAAGTTTTAACAGTGTAGAGATTAATGTATATGATCAGCATTTCTGTAGCTGAGCTCAAAACACTTGGGAGGGAATTGAACAAAGTAACATTTGTTTTAAAGGAAGATAGATACTTGCGAAATAAGAATAATAAGGAATATGAAGAAAACGTGAGAAAATGCCATTAAAAGATCTACCATGTTCTAATAAACTGGTGGAACAGGTTCAACCGAGTGAATGGTTTCTTCATGTTCCTATGATGCAGCAAATTTATAATTGTAATGCAGTTTGCAGCAAAATAATCAGGACCCAATAAGGAAAAGTAGCCATGTTCTTTACCATACTTAGGCAAATGTCCTGCCAACCACCGGCTCCTACCTTCTCTTGGAAATTCAGGTTACTTTTCAAAAGTTTGTATCTCTGTCTCAACGATGCTTAACACTTTCGCATTTACCTGCCACTTGGATGAGCTCCATCCTATCAAGCAGGGCTGGAGGAATGGTAGCAGTAGTGTTGGCTGTAGCTATGAAAAGCACTTGGGACAGGTCAAAGGAGACATTTAAGTAGTGGTCAGTGAAGCTGTGGTTCTGTTCTGGATCCAATACCTTAAAACAATTAGGAAACCAAATTCTGATCAATTGAATTAATATTTTGCAGAGAAATTGAATAAATCATCCAAGTTAGTTAAACTGGAAGAGGAAATGCTTAATATTTCAGATATGGACATATTTGACTGTTCAAGATTCAGACTTGAAATTTTCATCAGCATTTGCATTTAAGTTTAGTAATAATCTCAATCTACATTAGAAGAGGGGCGCTATATGAAAGAAACAATGTTAATTCCCTATAATGATATGGCAAGAGTATTCTATACAAACTAAAAGAAACAAGAGGCCAGTGCCTTAGTGTTCCACTGAACAAGGCAGGAGTTGGAAACAATTTGGAATCTTTCAAGAGGAAAAGTTTGATCAGTAATTTCCAGTTGGCTACACACTGCATTAAACAAGTTTTTTGATAAGCTGTTTTAAGAGTCATAAATGACTGGTTGTTGGCAAGAGCACTGGGCTACCCAGTTCAACACACAGGCTCTTCTATATCAACTTTAACGTAACTCAATTGCTCATGAACGCAAAAAGAAAAACTTACAAGAGCCTCTTGGCAAACAGTATAATTCTTACTAATAATAATTTTGATTCCAGCATTAAATCAAGCTATATTCCTCTAATTTGACTGTAGTGTAACTTAAATTCCAGAATATGTTACTGTAATAGTAATAATCATAATACTATATACCTCCAAAAGAGCAGCAGCAGGATCCCCCTGAAGACCCCGGCCCATTTTGTCAATTTCATCCAATAGGAAGACAGGATTATTTACTCCAACGCTTTTTAAACCATTGATGATTCTACCAGGCATGCTACCCACATATGTACGTCTGTAGGACACAACATTCAAAGGGCTTAGAAAATTGGGTTTACAGCAACGGCTCTTTGTAATGATTAGATAAAAACATTCCCCAAAAAACCTACTCCTCTACCCATTGTTATCCTGGGGAAGAACTCTAAACGCACAGACTAAACATCTTGTTGCTCTCTTTGCCGCAAATATAAACCAAGATCTTTTTGCACTCTTTGGGCAACCGAACAAAAACGTAGTTTAGTTTCAGTAAAAAAAACTGAGATAAAATGTCTGAAGGAACGTGAATGCAGTGTCACACCTCCCACACCCAGGAGAAGAATGGTCTAGCTTTAAAAATCATCTTTTAAAAAATATATATACAGCAAAAGGATGTGCTAGCATTTCAAAATGTACTAAAAATGCTTGAATACATTACCATTGTAATTTCACAGCAAATTAATAACTATCATCCTCTTACCTAGAACTTTATCAGAAGAATTAACAAATGTACCACAATTTTTCCAACATGTTGTAAAGTCTCTGAATCCAATATTTTGCTCAGTCATTACTGTACAGTACCTGTGGCCACGAATATAAGACTGATCACTAACTCCACCTAATGATATCCTGTGGAACTCTCTGCCCAGGGTCTTTGCAATCGATCTGCCCACGCTGGTCTTGCCAACACCAGGAGGTCCCACAAAGCAAAGGATTGGTCCCTTCAGGTTGTTTTTAAGTTGCCGCACTGCAAGGTACTCCAACACCCTCTTTTTGAGCTCCTGCATTGCATAATGGTCATTGTCAAGTAAAACTCGTGCAGCATGAAGATCTAGACGATCTGTAAACAATTATAAATGACAAATTACACATGTTTTCAAAAAGTAATGCATTTCGACATACTGGATCAGGAGCTGTTTTCTGTCATAAGAATGAAAACTGCTCCCCCTAAAGGAAACATTGCATGAAAGGAGCTAGCAGGGAAAACAAAACTGAGCATACTGCCAAATTGAGCACCATTTTTAGGCACTAACAAGGATTATAATCTACTGTTTTTGTGTCAAGACCTATAATCTAACATAGTTAGCCCAGGTTATCATCTTTTCCTTTACATTCTATACTACGATGGAAACATTAGTAACAAATTTTATTCCAAAACAAACTGATTACTATAATGCAGACATTTTAAATCATTTACTAAAAACTGCAGCTGGTGTATCCTGCAGTTTGAGTTTAAATCATCTGAATGCATTCCAATGTGGAGCAACAACTCAGTGCAGTTTTTCAATCCATTAATAAACTCAAACTTATAACCCAGATAATTTCACATAACATGTGTGACACTTGCTGATGAATTCCTCTCCCCACAGTTATTTAAGGCATGCAAACCTATTTTCTTTTATTTGCATATGGCATGTCTAATGCAGGTACTGTAGCTTCTTACCAGATGTGCTTTTCTTCCATGGCAGTTCTACCATTAGCTCCAGATAATTCCTGGTCAATACAAACTCTGGCATTGACTGAGGCATGTTCTTTAACCTGACAGTGATAAAAGTTCCAATGAAGACTTGTAGAGTTTCAGATCAGCATTTTCTCACAATGTTTAATTATAAAGTTTGTAGTGTTTATGACAATTCTAGATTTCATTCTACAACTGAGGTTAAGGGTGATCTGATTAAGGAGTTTAAAATAATTAAGAGTATTGGGGAATTGGATAGGGAACAAATCTTCTCTTATGAATATAACATTGAAATGTCTCAAAATACTTCACAGAAAATACTTTTCATGGTGGACCTGTGCATTAGACTGGACTGTAAGCTCAAAATCCCAACGTATGGCTCAAATCCACAACCTTCTGACCCAGAGGCAAAAATGCTATCAACTGAGCCAAACTGATGTCTTTGTGGAAAGCAAGGTCATTAAAGAAGAGTATGAACGGGGAAAATTAAATTATAAAGCACAGTTAATAAAATGGCAGAGTAAGCTCGACTAGTCAAATGCTTATTTCTATTGCCATTTATTGTTTAAAAAAGTATGTTTACAAAATAAAATAAACCTTCAAAAGAGTAGCAACAACAGAAAATATTCAACCACAGCATATAATAATCCTTGAATTTGATATAGCCTAATCATGTTGCTTAGATGTCTCAAAGTGCTTCACAGAATATACTGCAAAGTGGATTGACGTGGCAGCCAATTGCGCAAGGCAGTGTCCCACAAACAGTCGTGGATCAAGTGAGCAAATTATTATTATTTATTTTCTTGCTTTGTATCACTTAGCTAATCTTGTTGAATGATGTCACAGGTTAGACTGTCCAGATTTACAAGAATAATAAAATATTGGAACGTTTTTCATGGCCCAAACCTGATATTACTTAAGGCTTTGTTGGCTTTTACGTACAAAAGCTCCTTTATTACACTGTTTATTTTAAAGATGCGTTTTACAATCAGCACACATATTTTGTTCTGCAACTAAAAATAAAACAGTTTTTTTTACTATTAATCAGTTATTTAGTCCATGTACCTTTTGATCTCCTTCATGCAAACTTTCAGGGCTTGCTCTGGTATATTTGCGTTTCTGATCTTCTTCTCTAGCATGATAATATCGTCAACATCATCATCTTCCTCTTCTTCAGCTGTGTCCAAAGGAAAACGTTTTCCTGAAATCGAGTTGTTTCTCCGAATGGGTCGGATAGTCACAACCTAGCAGATGTACAAGTGAAAGTTAAGTGTAACTTTCTTTCCTACATTTAGTTTTAATGTTCACATTAACAAAATGAGCAAATATTTAACAAATTTAAAAGAAGACTGCTGTATAGGGGTGAAAATGGTTAACCCATTAATCAATAGTTTTTCTTTTGCCGTTGTTTTACAAAACCTTGCTATGAAATAATTGTGTTTGACGACACAATTCAGCCATAAACAATTGTATATAATACTCTTACTGTATGGATGAGTCAAATACTCTTACCCTCTTTTCATCATCCAATTTGAGTTTTCGAGTCTTTTTAAGTAACTTTAAACCTTCAATTTGCCGAACAAGCAGTGGAATTGTCTTCTTAAATCTCTCTTCCAAACCAACAGCATCCAATACCTGTATGCCTCAGTCAAGATCACAATTGTTAGACATACTGATCCTAAAACAGGTTTTCAAGCAGTCATGTCCAGGGACTGCAGGAGTTAAAAGAAACAATGTTCTCTGTCCCACAGGTTAAGTTTAACTTTGTTCTTATGTCTAGTCGTAACGTTCACATTAACAAATTTAACAAGTGTTAAATGCAGCAGAGTGCCAGATGACATTGTAATTGAAAGAAGCATTTCTGGTGACGTATCATGTTATAGAAATATACAATTTAGAATTGGGGGGGAAAAAAATCTAAATATTTACAATTTAATCCTGAATAATGGCAGTTGAATTGTTGTTATTATTGTCTTGAGGTTGAAATATTTTCTCCCAAAATTAAATGAGATAAATTCATAAAATTTCAGCCAGATTTCCAGGTATAATTGGATACAATCAACCTTTCAATGGACAGTTTTATAACTTTAAAGCCTGTGTGACAAAATCTTTTTTTAAAAAAAAAGGTATTCTTGCGGGTTTTTTCTTTCAAATAAATAACTCATATGATCAGGCATACCTGCAGCTTTTCATTGGCACTTGTGCGGATAATTGATGCCAGAATGTCAGGTAATGTTTCTTTCGGTAAGCTATCCAGCATTCGTCTCAGTTTAGCAACGACTGGCACAGACATGTCCAGCAGCTCCACCAACTACAAACATAAAGGAATCATACAAACACCGTCATTGTGCACAGCTGTAATACGTGCTCTGTGAAATACCACACATACAAACTTTGGAACATTGAAGATGCTTTCTGTACCTCGAAGATAATCAAGCATAAATTGCAAAATATTCATCTGCTACTTAATTAATACACTGTGTGTAAAAAAAAGCAACATCCTGACTAAGACTCTTTGAAATATTTATTTTCCTCTTGAAACTTGCTACTGTTTTCCAGTCAGCAAATGGTTAATAGTTTTGCTTCTTGCATTTAACCTTTTATGAAGAGCTGAAATTTTTACTGTTGTGGTAAAAGAGTGAAATTTGCTTCTTGACATTACAGTTGGTAAAATATGGAATGAACTGTGCGTAACCAAATTTAAAGGCAATTCAAGAAAAACGATGCAGAGCTTTTAGAAATAAACATAAATCATCATGCACAAACCTGTATTGCATACTCGTAGAACTGCTCTGAAAGTACATTTAACTCTCCAGCAGCATCAGATCCATTTGTGTATTGCTCTAGTCGGTCAAGTTGTTCTACCTCTGCCACTGGATAAGGCTTCTCCTTCAGCACCTCAAGTATGTGGAACCGGCAGAGGCCTGTGATTAACAGCGTATAATGCGGTTTAGGCCAGTTGCTTCCCACCACTTGTACCGCAATACCCGCCGTGCCAATCCTGCAAATTAAAATGAACACAAGTGAGCGTACAGGATAAAGCAAGGATTGGAATCTCATCGGAGAAAGGCGACGAGTGTTTGCGAAATAAACACTTTCCGTGTTTGGAGCAGTTTTAGTGTCAAATATTTCCCAGGTCGTGGAATTAATAATCCCATTAATAGCTTCCTCTAAAGTGTCCACTGTCCCAGATTCAGAGATGGATCAGTTGAGGTCGTTGCAACCAACCACCCACTCACCCACCCACAGCCCCTGCCCTGCGGTGAGATTATCCAATTCAAGTCACTTATGTGCCTGTGATCTAAGACGGCTTCTCTGGGCTTAAGGTCGGGGGGAACAAAAAAAACCCAGACAAACTCACAGTGTTCTAAGCAGAAGTCACCAAGTTCATAATCAACGGGAATTCTCCCTCAGATTAAACCTTAGCAGTTAATACTTTACTCCCGTTAACAGTGAAGTCGGGGTCGGGGGGAAAGAGGCCGCGGGATGGGCGCAAACATCCAATACAAGAATTATCATCACAATTATGATGATGATTATTATTGTTATTCAAACTGTGATAATAATAATAATAATAATCCTTGCATTTGATGGGGGAGGAGGAAGGGGGGGGAGGAGGGAGAGGGCGAGGGGGGGGGAAGGGAAGAGGGGAGGGAAGGGAAGAGGGGGGGAAGAGAAGAGGGGGGAAGAGAAGAGGGGGGGAAGGGAAGGGGGGAAGAGAAGAGGGGGGAAAGGGAAGAGGGGGAAGGGAAGGGGGGAAAAGAGGGGGGAGGGAAGAGGGGGGGAAGAGAAGAGGGGGAGAGGGAAGAAGGGGGGAAGGGAAGAAGGGGAAGAGAAGAGGGGAAGAGAAGAGGGGAAGAGGGAAGAAGGGGGGGAAGGGAAGAAGGGGGGAAGGGAAGAAGGGGGGGAGGGAAGAGGGGGAGAGGGAAGAGGGGGAGAGGGAAGAGGGGGAGAGGGAAGAAGGGGGGAAGAGAAGAGGGGGAGAGGGAAGAAGGGGGGGAAGAGAAGGGGGGGCCTACCCACCCACCTACCTGTGCAAACGGGGCAGCTCCTGCGCCTCCGTGTCCGGATCCCTGGTGTTGGGGACGACCCCGATGATCGTGCTCCTCAGGGACGTGCCCCTCAGCAGGCGGCTCCTGACCAGCTGCAGGTTTCTGGAAGTTTCCACCACCGCGCGCACGGAGGAGCCGGGCAGCAAGACGCCCTCGTTGACCAGGAGCAGGGGCAGCCGGGAGGGGATCTGGATGGCGCTCGAGTCCATGGTTCGAGGTGGGATGGGCTCAGCCGAGCGGTTTCCAGCCCGGGGTCGGGGCTCTCTCTCTGGTTGTCCGCGGTTCTTCCTCCCTCTCTCTCTCTCTCTCTCTCTCGCTCCGTCTCCGTCGTCGTCCGTCGTCGCCGCCGCCTCCCGACACCGCGGAGCCGCTGCACGTGACCGTCCCGCCAGCTACGGCGGCTCGGCTCGGACACGGAGCCACCGTTACGCGCATGCGCTCAGCGGCCCCGCCCCCAACCCCGAAGGCCCCGCCCCTCCCCCGGGAGCCTCGGCCTTCGCCGCTGTGGGTTAATTCGCCGCGTCGCCGGGGGTCCGGTCGCTGAAACTGTGGCTTCTCGCCACTGCCGCCCAGGCCTCGCTGCTGAGACGTCTGCGTCTCTCTCGTGTGTGTGTGTGTGTGAGAGAGAGAGAGAGAGAGAGTGTCTGTGTGAGTGTGTGTCTCCTCTATCTGTGTCTGTGAGTGTGTCTCTCTCCTCTGTATCTCTGTGTGAGGGTGTCTCTATGTGTGTGTGTGAGGGTGTCTCTATGTGTGTGTGTGTGAGGGTGTCTGTGTGTGTGTGTGTGTGTGAGGGTGTCTCTATGTGTGTGTGTGAGGGTGTCTCTATGTGTGTGTGTGTGTGAGGGTGTCTCTGTGTGTGTGTGAGGGTGTCTCTATGTGTGTGTGTGAGGGTGTCTCTATGTGTGTGTGTGTGTGAGGGTGTCTCTGTGTGTGTGTGAGGGTGTCTCTATGTGTGTGTGTGAGGGTGTCTCTATGTGTGTGTGTGAGGGTGTCTCTATGTGTGTGTGTGTGTGTGTGTGAGGGTGTCTCTGTGTGTGTGTGAGGGTGAGGGTGTCTCTGTGTGTGTGTGAGGGTGTCTATGTGTGTGTGAGGGTGTCTCTATGTGTGTGAGGGTGTCTATGTGTGTGTGTGTGTGTGTCTCTGTGTGTGTGTGAGGGTGAGGGTGTCTCTCTGTGTGTGTGAGGGTGTCTCTATGTGTGTGTGAGGGTGTCTCTATGTGTGTGAGGGTGTCTCTATGTGTGTGTGTGAGGGTGTCTCCTCTATCTGTGTGTGTGAGTGTGTCTGTGTGAGTGTGTCTCTCCTCTGTATCTCTGTGTGAGTGTGTCTCTCTCCTCTGTATCTCTGTGTGAGGGTGTCTCTCTCCTCTTATCTGTGTGTGTGTGTGTGTGTCTCTTTCCTCTATCTGTGTGAGGGTGTCTCTCTCCTGTGTGTGTGAGGGTGTCTCTCTCTTCTGTTTCTGTGTGAGTGTGTCTGTTCTCTATGTGTGTTTGAGTGTCTCTGTGTGTGGATGTGTTTATGTTTCTTTGTGTCTATGTGTGTGTGTCTGTCTCCCTCTCTCTCTCTCTGAGAATGTGTGTCTCTCTCTCTGTGTCTCTCTGAATGTGTGGCTTTTGTTAAAGCAGAAATTAATAAAAATGTGCCGCAGCAATCTAATATGTGTTATTCCCTCATGTTTAGCTGTTATCAATAAAGTGAAAACATATAAGTTGGCAGTAAAATGTACCTCAATAGCACCAATCAAAACCCTACAATTTTCTGCAATTTTTTAAAGTTTCCTCTGTGGGCAAAGAAAACCTTCCTGGTGCCTATCCTGATATTGCCCTTTGCATTTCCAAACGCATCTCCTCTTATTCTCATGTCTTGGCGCACAGGGAGAGTTTGAGTCAATAATAATGCTAATAACTATCCTTACATTTGATGTAGCACCTGAAACGTTCCCAAGTGCCTCGCAAATAATCGCTGTCAAGTATCAGTCATTGTCATAGTTGCTATCCTTCAGATGAGAAGTTAATCCAGGATCCTGGCTCCTTCATCCCAATGGTCTTCCAGACAAATTAGCCATTCATCTGATGGCTGTTTGTGAGACCTTGCAGTGTATAAAATGCCTCTAATGTTTTCATATAGAAAATTCATCACTTTACAATATTTACTGTAAAGTGCTTTGAGATGTTTCGATATATAGGGACTCTTCACTGATATTTGACACTCTACACTAAATTTTGCTGCTACCTGAAACTAATGATGTTTCAGTGTTAAATTCTGGGATGTCCTGCTGAGTGCTAATATAAAACTTCTGTGCTGCTGATTTGTAAGACCTGCAAATTAAACAATCAGCATGGTCCTGTTCTCCTTGCCAAAAGAGCAAGCTAAGATTTCCTTCGCAAGTTGACCACATAAGGTATGCAACATTATTTAGAAACACTAACCTATTGCTTCCAATTACTGTATTGTGATAAAAATTAGATCAGTTCCAGAACAATCTTTAACTCCACTTTAGAGATTCAGTTACAGATAACAGGACATTGCGAAAGTTTTACTTAGGCAATTCAAGGTCATCGTATCACATGTAGTCATTAGGCAATGGTTCGCAGTCTAACCTGCTCTTTCCCCTGATTCCCTTTAGTCTAATTACTCCCTGCAAGCCATAAAAACAAGAATTGCTAGGCGAAAAAAAAGAGGTCCATCTAGTTCACCTTCACCTTCCTGACAGTTGCACGGACATACGTCCCAAACTACCTATGTACTATATCCCATAATGTTATTTCCTAAAAGAAAACTATGCAATCTGTGTTTGAAGGAAAAATATTAATAATAATAATATTCCTTACACTTTATAAAGCCATTTTTGATGGCTTCTAGATATCTCAAAGCGCCAGAATATACTGTAAAGTGAATTAACTGTAGATGTGTAAGACAACAGACAATTGTGCACAGTAGTGTCCCACAAACAGTCGTGGATTGAGTGACCAAATTATTATTATCATTTTTTTTGAGGAATCAACTTTTCCTGCTTCAACCATCTCCCTAGGAAGTTTGTTCCACAAGGTTACTATTCGACTGGGTTTACTAGTCATTTTACATTATTAAGGATTTCAAAGAGAACTACCTTTTGCTAGTATTTAAGAAGTACATATAATACATGTATTGATTATGTAGTTTGCCTTCTATACCTCTAACATACTGAGTCCCAGCTCCCAACTGGTTAGCTTATGTGATTTTCAGTTTATTTTACCTGACTTTCTTTCCTAATTGCTTGAGTAACAAAGTTGTAGCTTAAATTTATTGCTGCCATCTATTCACCTTGCTGAAGCAGTTTTAATTTAACTATATCTTTCGTCTTTTTTTTGGTACAGCACCTTTAATGTTGTATCTTTAACTATGGTGAAATAATGCTTTAAACCACAGGGTGACAGACGTGCTCCACTGTTCAGCTGGAAAACCAAGGAATTGAAGAATTGCCCATGACAATTTTCTGCCTTTTAATGAAGGATGTTGTAATAATGTGCACCAACAAGCAGCAGTGGAAAGGAAAAAGCCTTCCCAGACTTCAAGTGGGTTCTGATTTCTCATTCAGCACCTATGTATACTTTGAATTTGGATTTTATCCTCACTATTGCGACATAAAGTGAAGCTTAATGTTAACAACAGTTTTCCACGAACCTCACAGGTCTTCTGTACAACGTTTTCAGGGAATGTGTACTGTATATTGCAATAATAATAATAATCCTTGCATTTGATATAACGCCTTATCATGTTATTGAGGCATCTCAAAGCACTTCACAGAATATATTGCAAAGTGAATTGACTGTATATTTTTGTGGGTGAAACATACTGTAAGACCTTTAAAGCCTTGTATTAGTTCTAACTTTCAAAATAATGCCGCTCTCTAACACTAGAGAAGCTAATTTATATACAAACTGCTAAAACGTAAATAGCAGCTTGGCTGAACAGCAAAGTAACCAGATTGAAGATCCAGTAGAGTACTTTGCGGGAAAGAGCCTCATGAAGAGGTGCCCACCTTCAGAGAAGATATTCAACCAAGGTGCCTGTTCGGATGGATCCTATTAGTTCATGACAATCTTTGAAAAGAGATTTTCCCAGTGTCCTGGCCAACAGATCGATAATTAATACAAGTTTGAAACTGGCACAAAAGTCAACAAGTATTACAATGACCCTGGTGAAATTCTCTGATCAAATATTATTCTGAATCTGGAGTTTGAGCATTGCAATATCTTACATATAAACACCCTTGGTGCAATGATCACTTTATCTGGGAGATTATTGGCCAGGATACCAGGAGAATCTTTTTAATCTGGAAATTAATTCTACAACTAATAAACCTGTTTTGGTGTGTAGAATTTTAGTTGGGACATGAAGATCTTATCATGTTGTAAAATGACAGGAAGCGTGATATCACTGTTGTTTGTCAAAGGTTATTATGGTTTGTTGAATGTCATTCAACCTTGTATATACTTTATAGTAAATAATTAACTTTTTTCCTTCAGTTAGATTTTTTTTTACACGCGACACAAAATAACTACGTTTATGTAGCAAAATACTGTAGACATAAGACTTTTATAAAGTACTATTTTTATTGTTATCATCTAGAAGTTCACATCTTTTTACTGACAACGAGCTTGTATTCTTATAGCATTTTATCATGTCAAGACATCTTAATTCCATTTAATATCTTGTATCACAAATGAGTCCCCAATGAGTTATCCTTTTTCAATACTCTCAGTGCTTTGGGACGTCCTCCCGACTTGAAAGGCGCTCTATAAATGTAATTTTGTTGTTATTTTGTTGTTGTACTAATGTCTCTAATCATTCCTCATAGCTCTTTCCTATCTCATTGTGTCTCATTGCTATCCTCTAGGGCCTGGGCAGATAATTTATGTCTCAGCAACCAGAACTGTACGCAGCACTCCAAGAGTACTGTCCAGATCGAGCATCACTTCAGGGATCTGAAATAAACTGATGTTAAAAATCAAATTAGTAATCTTCATGCTTGAACTCCATTGATCCTCAGACGTTCTACTGTTACCTAACACAATGTTATTAGCTTGGCATCCAATCCCACCACTGTGCAGCACTCCGAGACACTATCCTGTGTGAAGGACGCTACATAAATTGTTGTTGTCATAGTCTTACCGTTGTAGGCATTGTTATAAAAATGTAAGGAAATTAAAGCGATTTGAAATTATACACAGGATGTGTCTGCTCTGTTCCCTTATCACCACTGGAAAGATGTCATGCAATCAACAACAACAACAAGATTCCATTTATTGAGCGCCTTTCACGTCGGGAGGACGTCCCAAGGCACTGTACAGTTGGGTCAGGACCCGAGCAGGGGGGAAATGGTCAGGGTGAGGGGAGGGAAGGGAGGGAGCGAGGAGGGGGTAGAGAGTCGAGAGGGGAGCTGAAGGCCCGGTCAAAGAGAAAGGTCTTGAGACCGGCCTTGAAGAAGGAAAGGGAGGAGGCGGCGAAGGCACTGGGGAATAGAGTTCCAGAGCCTCGGGGCTGAGAGGCTGAAGGCCCGGCCACCGATGGTAGGACGGTTGGGGCGGGGGATGTGGAGCAGACAGGAGCCAGAGGAACGGAGGGTACGGGCAGGTAGGTAGGGTGATAGTACGTTGGAGAGGTAGGAGGGAGCGAGGCCATGAATGGCCTTGTAGGTGAGGATAAGGATCTTGAATTCGATCCTCTGGGGGATGGGGAGCCAGTGGAGGCGAGCGAGGGTGGGAGTGATGTGGTCCCGAAGCCTGGTGCGGGACAGTACACGAGCGGCAGAGTTCTGAATGACCTGCAGCTTGTGGAGGGAGGTGCCGGGAAGGCCGGCGAGGAGAGAGTTCCCATAGTCCAGCCTTGAGGTGATAAAGGCGTGGACCAGAGTTTCAGCCGCGTGAGGGGTGAGGTAGTGCCGTAGTCTGGCGACATTCCGGAGGTGATGGAAGGCGGTGCCAGTTGTTGCGCGGATATGAGGGAGAAAGGACAGCTCAGGGTCGAACAGAATCCCGAGGTTCCTGACCGGCTTTGAGAGGTGGAGAGTGCAGCCTTGGATGCTGATGCTGTCAGCGCCTGTCATGCATGTGTTTTTAAATATATTTGGCTATACAATACTACTTTGGGCTAAAGTTTCAAAGCGTTTACCTCTGAAAGATTTTGAAAATTGATTCTTTGCTATTTCAGTGGCTCGTACAATAATATGAAAATAATGCAAATATATAATTCACAGAATTTAAATGTCACTGAATGAAAAAGTGGCAGATGGAAAGAAGCCAGTAAAGAGGTCCAATACCAAAGCTTTCATACTGTATCAAAGTTCAGCACCACAAACATGGCTTACTATAAAAATAGCAGCAGAAATGCAGCAAAGGTTCTAAGATTAAACCTCTTCAGGCAAATTTTAAATTTTATACATATATGGTGTTTTTTTGAGAGACAGACCTCTTTCAGATGGTATACAATTTACACTCTTAAGTTTAAACTCTGACTCTAATTTCCATCGAAGCTTACATTGTAAGATTTTATCTTGCAATTCAAAATCATTTAGAATTCCTAAATTTTTAAAGGCTTAATTTGGAAGCTGCTTTGGAATCAAGTTCTTAAAAACATTGGCTTCCAGATTAAGACTGGATTTCAGAATTTTCCACAATACTGCGCAGGATTAAAATTTAACACAAAGTGGTGTTACAAGCCAATACAGAATACTAAGTGAAATTTCGAGCTTTTAAATCTTTGGTTTTCCACTGCCAGGTCCTCATTTGCGAGGTGAGTGCAGTGGCCTCTGATCTCTGTTAAACAGGCTGCGCTGGGATCACTGTTGTTTACCCTCCATGAAAGGTAGTTCATAACTACTGATCTAGATGAGGACATTGAATGTAATGTATCTAAATTCGCGGATGACACTAAACTAGGTGGGAGAGTAAGCTCTGAGGATGATGCAAAAAGATTGCAACGGGATATAGATAGGCTAGGGGAGAGGGCGAGTAGGTGGCAGATGGAATTTAATGTGGGGAAGTGTGAAGTTATTCACCTAGGTAGAAAAAATAGAAAAACAGATTATTTTCTAGAGGGGGAGAGATTAGATAGTGTTAGTGTTCAGAGGGGTGTCCTTGTACACCAGTCTCAAAAAGTTAGTTTGCAGGTGCAGCAAGCAACTAAGAAGGTGAACGGCATGTTAGCGTTCATTGCAAAAGGTTTAGAGTACAAGAGTAGGGAAGTCTTGCTGCAACTGTATAGGGCCCTGGTGAGATCGCACCTAGAGTATTGTGTGCAGTTTTGGTCTCCTTATTTAAAAAAGGACATACTTGCCCTAGAGGGGGTGCAGTGTAGATTCACTCGGTTAGTTCCTGGGATGAGGGGACTGACCTATGAGGATAGGCTGAATAAACTAGGGCTGTATTCTGCAGAGTACAGAAGAATTAGGGGAGATCTTATTGAACCATATAAGATTCTTAAAGGGCTGATAAAGTAGACACTGAGGGTCTGTTTCCCCTGGTAGGAGAATCTATAACCAGGGGTCACAGTCTTAAAATTAAGGGTCAGCCTTTTAGGACAGAGTTGAGGAAACATTTCTTCACTCAGAGGGTAGTGAATTTATGGAATTCACTACCCCAGAAGGCTGTAGATGCTCAGTCCTTGAACATCTTCAAGGCTGAGACTGATACAGTTTAAAAAAAANCAGAGGGATTAGGGGATATGGGGATAGGGCAGGTAATTAGAGTTAGGTCTGAAGATCAGCCATGATCTTATCAAATGGCGGGGCAGGCTCGAGGGGCCGAATGGCCTACTCCTCTCCTAATTCTTATATTCTTATGTTCTTATAACTTTTACTGAGATTCTTTCATCACAGTTTTGCTTTAAAAAAGAAACAAAACTGAAAGGAAAACATGCTGGCAGCATTCCTCCGACAGTTATTTTCTTGTGAGTACACTGACTGTCCAGTGCCTTGGGACATCTCCCGATGTGAAAGGCGCTTTGCAAATGCAATTTTGTTGTTATTGTGTATCCCCAATTTGTTCAACAGCTGAATGCTAGTTATATAATGTCTCAGTGAACAACTGACGCTTTGTTTGGATACATGTGACACAAATCATGTTGAAACACCAGCTATAAGAATCCTCTAGCTCTTCTTCCTTATAAAAAGTATTTTCAAACAATTATTTTGTAAGCCAACACAGTGCCTTTAAATTGAGGACGCCTTTACCTTTGTACCCAATGCACCTTTGTACAGAGTGAGAATTGGTTCCAGGGTCCTTTGAATTCAGCAGGATTTAAATGAGGCTGTATATGTAAATATGGTCAGATCTTTATTGAGGTAAGCTTACAGCAGTCTACACGGAGACTGAAGAAATAGTGTTGTGGGTTTGTTATGCTTTGACTGTAGTGTCGAGATCTAAAGGTAAAGCAAGTGCTTTCCTAAAGTAAATTCACTGGGAGTCTGAAAGAGGTAAGTCTGAGTATTGACTAACATGTCGCTCTGCAATAGATTTAGTATTGTAGTGCACTGTATTACTGTTACTAATACTATATTTATAATGTAGAGGTTTCATAGCAACTTACAGAATCTTCTTGATAAAGACAGTGCAATAAAATAAATGGTGTAACAAATTAACAAAATAATATAAAATATTAATTATTCTGTGCAGTAAAGAACATATAATGAATGTCAATCTGCCCTTAGCCGTTTAGTTCAGCTTTTTTAAAATAATAATCCTTGCATTTAATATAGCACTTTTCACGTCTTCGAGACGTTCTCAAAGCGCTTCACAGAATATACTGTAAAGTGAATTGAGGGCGAAATGCGGCAGCCAATTGCGCACAGCAGTGTCCCACAAACAGCCGTGGTTTGAAGTGACCAATTTATTATTGTTTTATTTTCATGAGGGATTATTATCAGGCGTGTGGAGTAAGGAAACTTGCCCAAGGTTTCACCCTAAGTTTTTAAACTAGGCATACGTGAGGCAATGTTACAGAGTATTTCAAAAAGGTGTTTTGCTGCTTTGCAATATGGGATTTGAAAGAAAGAAAAAGTATTAAATGTAATGAAGTGGAAGTTAACCATTTGTCCCTATTAGCAATTTCTCATTGAGTCCCTGGAATTAATTAAAAGTTTATATGGAGCCATTCAGTGAGTTGGAGCAGATTCATTCAAAGAGAATATTGTAATTGGTAACCATGAAACCGAGTTCAGACACATCCTCTTGCATGCTACGTGTTCAAGTAGAATAACTTTCTGAATGATTAGTCTGTTCTTCACAATCATTAAGAATTACATGAAGAACCAGTGACTTGCAACAGAGATGTGTTATTTTTTGCCTGTGTAGCAAATCATCTGATGATATCAATTTGTGATTCAGATGATGATTATAATAATAATGATAATCGTTGTTTTTTTATATTATATAAATGGCGCGTAATTTGTTGAATCCATGCACATGTAAGTAAGCCTTTTGTTCACAAAGTCAGTGACTAATTTATAGTCAATTACAGAATCAGTCAAGAAATAAGAACATAATCATTTGCTAGGGGAAAAAACACTAAGTCCGTCTTGACATTCTTCCACCATCCTGGCAGTCGTTTGACATGTCATGTCCCAAACTATATACTGTATCCCGAGATATTATTTTCTAGCAGAAATTTATCTACTTTGTTCTTGAAACAAATGATACTTTCTGTTTCCACCATATCCCCAGGAAGCCTGTTCCATAAGTTTACTGTTCGCTTACTGGAGTAATGTTTCTACAGATTTGTTCTGAATTTACCTCCCTTCAATCGCAGGCTGTGTCCTCTGGTTCTACTGTTCAATACAAGATAAAATAGCTTTATCTAATCCCTTCAGAATCTTAAATACTGACAATGATGACAAAATAGTGTCTTGAAATGGTTCCTTATATTTTTTACAAGGAGCTCATTATGAAAAATTGAACACTGCAAGATTCCTTTTGTAATATACAATCATTGTTTGCAGCAAAAATACCCAGAATATTATTTTTTGCAGAAGCACATTCATTTACCCCAGTATTACTGTACCCATTTGTTATTGTGCTCAATCAATCTGGTTTACTCCTCACCATTCATTTCAGTCTAATAATTAAAGTAAAATAAATTGATTACATGTGCTGTTCTTAAGAGAATTTTAAAGTGTTTTAAAGTTTAATTTTAAAGTGTAAATTGGAATTGATATAATTCTAATGTTGACACATTTGAGGATTGTTCACATAAAGCATTTGAAATATTAGTTCTTTTCCTTCTGTTATTGCATTTAAAAGACACAAATTACTTGTCAAGTAAAAAAATGTTTCTGTCTCATAAACGCTTTCTACTCTTTTTTGGAATTGTATCTCAAGGAATTTGGTTTTAACATCTCGTTCAAAAGTTGGCAATTCTAACACTGCAGAACTCCCATAATACGGCACTTGCAATATTATAAAAGCCAACTTCCTGATAAGGGGTTTGAACACACAACCTTCTGAACAAGAGGTGAGAGTGCATTTTGTTTGCTATTAATGGGATGGAGAGCTACCCTTTTGTATATATTCGCTAACTCTACATATATTAGAAAGAAGCAGTTTTTAAGTTGCTTTTAAGATGCAGGATGCATATCATTCTGGGATTCTAATCAATAATGACAGTTAAACACCCTGCACACATGAAGGAGACATATTTGGAGAGGCCTGAAATGACTCACAGCCAATCCTGATTATTTCCAGGTATCCTTGTGTCAGCTTGGTTATAATAGCACAGACAACTAACTGGTAAACGGGATGAGAATTGGGGCTGTTTTTTGTTTTATGTGAATGACAAGGAATAGAATTTAAAATACTGCTATTCATTAAAACTGTTTTATAAATGATCACTGCACTCCAAATCAATCAGGAGCCAGTGAAAACTCTCAAACAACACCATAGAGATGCCTGGAACATAAATTCTTAACCAGAGATCGTTTTGTTTCCCTGGCAACTCTCATTACCAGGCACTTTGCATCAGTTTTAGCACTTGAGAAAATTAGAAGATAACTCAGCAGCATAATTAATTTATAAAAAAACAATTATTTAAAACACATATTAAAGAGTAGCTATCAATAATAAAATACTCTTCAGGGATGGCTGGCAAAACATTATACTATAGTACCCAAAGGTATTTTTCTATAGGGTGTTTTTGTCAGGTCTCTCGTGCAGATCAGGGATGTGAAGAAATGTGGTGTAATTTTATGTCATGAGAAGGTGGTGTTAAAAGCTAAAGCAAAATGCTGGACATTGTATTGGTGCATGTACAGTGAGAAGTCAGGTTGTTATGCTTTCTCAGTAAATATCAGGTGTAGTAATAGTGGTCAATCAACATACCTGAGGTAATATCACAACAGCAGAATGAATGAAGATAATAGAAAACCCATGAGTCTGAGATGATTGCACTTACAGTGTGTGTGAGAGAGAGAGAGAGAGAGAACTGGAGGAAAGAAAAGAGCCGGAGAAAACGGCATAATTAATGGAATGGCAAATAGAGATATGCAAAGTAGTTGCCCTGCAGAATACAGCTGCAGTTGGTTGTATTTTGTATCTACATTTGTCTTTGCCTCCTGACGTGAAAGGCGCTATACAAATATAATTTGTTATTGTTGTTGTTCTTCTTTACCAGTGATGACATTTAGGTTTACTGTTCTTTCAATAGATGTTTGTGGTGACAATTTCATTACCCATCTGGCTCTAAATGAGTTATGTGGCTATGATTGTTCAGTCTTGTTTTAGATTCTGTATCCTCTTATCACTGTTAGTCTTGGAGGATCCTAACCTCTATTTACTCATCTACTGGCCCCAATAAACCCAGTTAATTAACTGGCCATCCCAGGGACAAATTACCGTCATGTTTGTCAAATAATTATGTTATTTATCACAACTGAGTTTCACGCATATTCTCAATAACCATAAAGTCATTGCAATCACACAAATCACCAATTCTCTGCATATCATTCATTGGTGTATGAATACAATAAGGGGGATCTAGGATGTGAAGCATTCAAATCTACAAAATCAACTTCCTAAGCTAAAAATGGAACAAAGTCAGCAGAACAAGAAAACACGTGCTTAGGGTTGTAGCATGTAGATTAAGATTGATTGATTAAGTGATTGATTCATTCATTTATTCATTGAGACGGTAATCAACAACTGGAACAGGTAACTAGAACAGATAGTTGAGACCAGGCCACAGGGTTCATTTAAAAGATAGCTTGACGCTGTAATGGGAAGAATGGTCAGATGGTTAATTTGGAAGGATGACATCAGATGGGCCATCTTCATCCAAATCTCTCTTGTGATCCTCTGACTCATTTAAGATACATCTTATGCTTATTATGGGAGAACAGTAGGTGGGTATTCTGGAATGATGAGTTCAAATAACTTGACTGGGCTTCATCCAAGAAGGGGCTCTCTTGTGATCTTGCACAGTTTTTTTTAATTCTAAGCATATTTACAAAATGTGAAGCAAAGGAATTGGTTGACAAAAAACTATTTAGCTTCAAAGCTAAAATACAGCAGGCACACATAAAAGGAAACAAAAGGGGAAACTAATGTAAAGCTTTACATTAGATTTATAATGGGATAATAGTCACATTAAATATGTTGTGAAGCATTGTCATGTTCCCCCTCAGACCATAGAAATTTATGGCACAGAAGAAAGCCATTCAGCCAATGTGTCTGTGCCGGCTCCTTTAAGAGCAATCCTTTTAGTCCCAGTTATCGGCCCATATCTGGCTATTTTTATGGTATTTATCTAGTTCCTTTTTGAAAGCTAGTATGGATATTTCCCTCAACCACTGCTCCCTGGCACTAGAGGGCATTCCAATCCTGACTACTCTGTGTAAAACAATTTCTCCTAATTTCCTTATTTGCTCATTTACCAACTATCTTAAATAGATGCCCTCTGGTCACTAATTCATCGACTCAACCTTGCCCTTATGTGTAGGAAATAACTCAGCAAATATATGTTTTTTTTTCTGTAGCTTAGCTCGGCAGACGTACAGGAAAATGAATAATGGAAAACATGTCGCTTCAACACAAGATGCAGTTCGTCTCAAATCTGTTGTACGTATTGACAAAAATTTACTCTTTCCATGTGCAGAACTATGAATGACCAGAAACAAATCATTTGAGTTCCTGCACACAGTATAAGATAATGCTAACTGAGCAATGATTTACAATGTCTACAATTTAATCAGATATTTGTATCAGCATTCTCTCTTGAATGAAGCTGTGGGTGCATGGGGAGAGGACTGTTGTGATATAACACTGTTACAAAATGATTTGCCAATGAATCAAAATGCTTCAAATGAAGGAAAAAGGCTTGAAGGAATATGGGGGTAGGAAGCGGGATTGAATGGACAGCTTGCTCCAAGAGCTGGTGCAGACTCAACAGGCTGAATGGCTTTGATCTGTAAATTTGCTGTAAATTTCCATGATTCCAAATAAGCAATTAACTTTTCCAGAAACGTAACGATGACAAACCTTGGTACCTGGAAACGTCTGGATTCAAGAGTCTATCACCTTATCTTAATCCAGCTTCGGATTCTGAAGAGCTACACAAGGTTCGGGAAACAAGCCATAAATACCATCAGGGTTTAAAGACAATGATTCCTATTCGTTTAACTCCAAAGTAAGTGAAAAAAATATTGTTCCAAAGTGCAGAATCCTTCAAAAGAAGTAGACAATTATCCTTTATAACATACAACGAACACTTCTTGCAGGCATCCATCAGCATCTCCGATCGATAATGCTGGCCTTTTGTCATTCGTCTATTTCTCATGGTTGACCTCAGTGATACTGAAAGGTTACAAAAAGCAGGTGAATCAAGAAGTGTTGCCTCCCTTGTCCCATAACGAGTCTTCAGACGTGAATGCTGAAAGGTGGGTTGATCGTGAAACGGTGCTCGCAGAAGCCTTTAGTACACACAAGGGAAATAAGAGGGGTGGAGATGCCTTTAGGATATAAATGCTGGCATGATCTGATTGAGCTAAATTCCCTGATAATGTAATGTATCATTAATTCTACTTGAGTTCAACACATTTCTACAAAGTTTCAATGAAGTGGCCTGAAAATGCTTTTTAAAATGTGATTTATAAAAAAATACTTACAGATTCCTGCGTTTTTGGAAGGCTGAGGTGAAGAGGGTTGGCATTGAGAAAGCTTCCTTGGGAAGAGTGACACTCCAGTTTCAGAGAACAAGGCTTATTCTGAATATAATGTGTATCGTCCTCAGTATGATTTGTGCTTTTATGGGACCGGTAAGCATCAGTATTTGTCAACAAATATACACGTGCCTTCACCTGTTGCCAGCTTAATCAGTTCAGAAAATCCTTATATTTAAAAAGTGTAGTAACTCTATTTTGTGGGCAAATGCAGCAGCCAATTTGCACACACCAATGACCGACAAACAGCCTTGAAGTGAATGACCAATTTTATTTTTTGGAGTTGGTTGACCAGGACTGGTCCCTTTGCTTTTTGAATAGAGTCGTGGGATCTTTAACACCCACATAAACAGGTAGATGGGATCTTGGTTTAATATTTCATCTTGTGTCCAGTCTTTCGGATAAGACATTAAACTGAAGTTCTGTCTGCCTGTTCAGGTGGACGTTAAGTATCCCGTGGCACTATTGGCTTGTAGAAGATCTCTGATAGGCACTCATTATTTATCGTTCCATCATTCATACCCATTATATCCCTCAGTGGGTTGAAGCCACTTTAGGGGGATTCTCTGATGATAAGAAAACTTCCTGACCTTGTGGGGTGAGCTCACATTCCAATTTGAATCTTACTCCAGTGTTAGTAAATTTACCAACAAATCAAGAATCACCCCAAAGTAGAGAGAAGTCTACTTAACGTGCTAAGCAGAAATGTTCAATTCATCATTGGTATTCTTCACTCAAGTGAGCACAGAGAGTTACCACATTGGTACTGCATAAATTGTTCTTTCTCATTTGCTTCACAGGCTGTGATAGTGCATAGTATTCTCCAGTACGTTGATGAAAAAATGGATGATCTTGTTTACGGTATTGCTCTGTGCGTTGCTCTGTTTAGTACAGAGTTGTTAAAAAGTTTTTTTTTCACACTGGCTTGGGCGATCAGCTACCGAACTGGAATCCGATTGAAAAGTGCCATCTCAACATTGGCATTTACCAAGGTGGTTCATTTGAATAGCTTAAGCAGCTGCTCTACTGGTGAGGTTGGTGCCGATCAGTACAATAATCCTTGCATTTGCATTTTTTTTATATCGTTGTACTTTCTTGTAAATCGATTCTTTTTGTAGCCAATCATGACTTTTAATTAAAAATACAAAGACGCTGAGGTAGATGGGTCATGGCCAAATTACAGCATTGAAATAAAGAATCAGAGGAGGGATTAATGTTCTTTATATTGTTCTTTAAATTATCATTTAATTCATTTTTTTAAGCATTTAATGTTAGCTTTGTTTCCGTAATTTTCCAGGTCATGTTGACCAATGGATTGGATAAACAACCTGTTACTAATCATACCAGATGTTAGAAAATACTTGAGAGCAGCCTGGTTTTCTTTCTCTGTGAAAGACAACTTTCTGGTCTGATTTTCAATGTGATTCAATCTCATACAAGCTGTTAACTGCTGGGGTTCTTGACTGTAATCCATTTGAATATTCCTTTTATTTCCAAAGAAAAAAAATTGATAAATGATTGGTTACAGTGTAAATAAAACCAGTTGTTTCTTGTTTTAGGTCAGGAACCTGGGTGTCTTGTTCAACCCTCAACTGTCCTTGCTTCCCCACATCCAAACCATGACCTGCTCTGCCTTCCCTTATCTCCATAACATCGCCCGACTCTGCCACTACCTCATCCCTCAGGCCGCTGAAACTCTTGTTCATGCCTTCATCACCTCCAGGCTCGACTATGCAAACGACTATGCAGCTTATCGGCCTTCCCAACTCCTCCTTCCACAGGCTGCAGATAATCCAGAACTCTGCAGCCCGTGTCCTCTCCCGCACCAAACTCCGTGACCCCATCTTCCCCACTCTCGCCCGACTCCAATGGCTCCCTATCTTTCAAAGGATCCAGTTCAAAATCCTGGTCCTCACCTACAAAGCCCTCCATGGCCTCACCCCACCCTATCTCTGCGACCTCTTAACCCCCTACCAACCCGCCCACTCCCTACGCTCCGCCGGCTCCAGCCTGCTCCACGTCCCCCGACCCACCCATCCCACCATTGGAGCCTTCAGCCACTCTGCCCCCAACCTCTGGAATTCCATCCCCCAATCACTCCGCCTCGCCCCCCCTGTTAGCCTCAAGTCCCACCTCAAAACCCTCCTCTTCGACCATGCCATTGGTCAACCCCTTTCCCCTCCCTTCTCCCTCTCTGACCGCAGCTCGGGTCTGAAATACTATACACTTGGGATTTCCTCCCGACGTGAAAGGCGCTATACAAATGTAATCTTGTTGTTGTTGATATACTATTATATAGTATATATAGGATAGACCCAAAGACACTATGAATCTGATCTGAAAGCTGTTCATCTTCCTTTTAATGGGAATGTTAGGCACCAGATGGATGAGCTTTCTTTACCTTCCAACTAACAGGACTAAGGCAGCACATCAATTTTGTGTGATGCCTTAATAGTGTAAATGGCATTCAGCTCTACCAGGAATTCTCTCCCCTGATGACAAAAAAAGGCTTAGAATGAGAAAGGACTACTCTAACCCATCACGTCTGAACCTTTACATTATCATTGTATTATACCATCATGACTTGTAATATGCATTGTAGCCCATTGCTTTAAACCTTTGCTGAAATTACTGTTTACTGCGATAATTAAATGAAGCTCCAGAACATTAACCAATCTCAGAATTCTGGTAGTCAGCTATAACCTGCTGTCTAACTTCATCCTATCTCCCTTCCCCCACTGGTCGCAGTAACTGAGGAACCTTTGTTTATATTGGAGAATTTAACCATTTCAGTTCATACCAAACTATAGTCAATTGAAAATTAGACTCAAAGAATGGGAAAAATTCTCATCAAGGATATTTATTAACAGCGTTTCTTTTCACAGATCATGAACCTACTGTCAAATGATGGCAATTGTCTATTTGATGCTGTTGTGTATTGCCCTCTTGTGTTTGGTACACCAGTATTGCTGTTCAGCTGTGCTGTTTATTCTTGCATTATCCTCGGACCCACTGCATTATTAGGAATGGTTGCTTATATCATATTTATGCCTGTTCAGGTATGATTTTAAAATTAAATGTCTAATAGAAACAATTATTACTATTTATATGATATCATAAAGTCGTTAAACTGGAAAGAGTTAAGAACTTACATGTGCTATCTGAATATTAATAGAATGTAAATCACTTGTATGGGCTGTGCAATAAAGCATTCCATTCAAATCATATTGGTAGCTGCTATACTATTTAGATTGAATTAATGATGGAAAATGAGAATGTGTCTGATTTTTCTTTTGTTGGTTTTAGATGCTAATGGCTAAACTTACCACAGCACTTCGAAGGAAGGCAATTATTAAGACAGATACTCGTGTGCGATTGATGAATGAGGTGTTAATGTACATAAAACTCATAAAGATGTATGCTTGGGAAAAATCATTTGCCAATTCTGTCCATGGTAAGATAAAGTAAATTGTTTCAGGTTGTTTAAATAACTAGATTATATTCAATTAACACGCAATAGGAACAATTTATCAGTCTCAGTCTACTCCATGTGATAAGATATTTTAAATGCCATATTCATGATTTTATTTTTGCCTCTGTACAAATTGTGTCTATTTATATGAACAATACTAAAGCTTCAAATTTCAAAAACCTGAACACGAAATTTCCCAATACTTGCATTTTGAATGCTAAATAGCTTCCTGCGATTTTAAATTGGATACTAAAATGGACATATTGTGATATTTTCTGACAGATGTACGGAAGGAAGAACGAAAGATACTGGAAAAAGCAGGATATGTTCAGAGTGTGAATTCCTCAGTTGTGCCCATTATACCAGCATTGGCCACTGTCCTGATGTTCCTTGTACACACATTTCTGAAACATGAGCTGAAATCATCTATGGTAATCATGAATGCAACTAGGATTGTTTAAGTATTTTTAAAAACAAGATTTGTTTTCCCAACTGTGATTCGATTTTAATCAAGGTTTTGTTCACTGGCTGTAGGCGTTTACCGTGATTGCAGTTTTCAATGCAATGAAGTTCTCATTGGGCACCCTTCCTTTCTCAGTTAAGGCATTTGCAGACGCTAAAGTTTCTTTACAAAGATTAAAGGTAAACCAGTCGTTGATTTTGTTTTAAAGTACGCTTTGAAGCTCAAAACCAATTTTGAACAGCGTAATAATTTTGTTTCTGAAATTTGCGTTTTCATGTCTACATTGCCTATCCATCCTCATAAATGTTCATTCTTTATAAGAATGTTTTAGCCATCGAAAATCCTGTATCGTACTTGCATTTGCTTCAAGACTCCCCATATGCAGTGGTGATGGAAAATGCTTCGCTTTCCTGGTACGAATCAAAAGAGAAGAAAGCAGATCTCAGCAAGGTTACAAAAGGAAAAGAAGGAATTGATGCAAATGGCAAGAAGGAGGACCCCAGTGAAGTTACTGACCATGCATCGCAAAATATTGCTGAGCCTCTAAGGCAAAACGGCAATCTTCTAACAATGACTCTCCAGAATATTAGTTTCCGCTTGGAGAAGGTAGATATTTGTTTCTATTGTTTTTAAAACTGAGGAACTGAATTGGCTCCAAGGTGACATGTTTGGCCATGGAATAACAGAATGGTGCCAGCCCTCTGTGGCAGTCTTGGAAACCTAATTCCTGAGCCAGGCGGTTCTGCAATACTTCAGGGCACTGCTCTTGACAGGCCAGCCACAAATGGTTCATTGGCAGGACTTGGAAGGTGGCAGTGACTGGGGCTGAGTTACTCAGCTGCCATTAACGCTGAAAGCCAAAACTCTAATAGGTAGGGTGGTCCGAGTCGGACAAGCAGCGGGAAAGCTTGCCAGATAGTGCTCTGAATGGCAAGCTATGCAGTTTCTAGCTGGTTAGACTCCAGCAGTATTGCAACACACATCCTGGGGTCCCCAAGCCTTGGCTCTTGCTAAGCTGTACTTAACACTCTCTGGTAATAAGTAAGAAGATGCATCCTTCATAGCAGAGAGTGCACATTCCATTCCAATAAATATCTCTGGAAGTTCCATGTTTAGGGATGAATCAGTTTGGCTTGGATGCTCTTAAGCACAATGATGGGTTTCTGCATCTGTCAGATACCCCAAAAAAGGTAATTCTTATTTCTTTCAGGGATCTCTTTTAGGAGTTTGTGGAAATGTGGGAAGTGGAAAGAGCTCTTTGCTATCGGCTGTGTTAGGACAGGTAGGCCATTTTTAGAATTGTTTAGATTAAGAGAGAAAGATTTGAACTTGTATAATTGGGAATAAAGATGCTGGAAAATATCAAAATGCCCCTGTACCTAATTTGTCTTCAACAAATGAATTTTAAACTAAGCTCTATTTCGTCCACAAAATGAAGCGCTTTGCGACGTCTCGACGATGTGATGAGGTGCTATATTGAATGCAAGGATTATTATCATTATTTTTCTCATGCTCACAATGTTTAAAATGAAAACAAAATGCAACACAATCCATATCAAACCAAAATACACTTTATATATACACTGCAGTTTCTGTTGATTTGATACAATTTTACATTGAATTGACAAGATCTCTGCTGTTTAATGCAGCTTGATATCTGAATTAAGTCCTATTAATATTACTGAAAGCGAAATCATATCACTTACAATAATGAAGAGATTGGGAGTGGGAACTCTTAATTTATATCTGTACTCATAATTACATTAGCTGAGGCCAAGGGCAGATTATCACTTATGCAACTAGGCATAGTGGCTGAGATCTGAGAACAGTATTAGTTTAATGTTACTAGAGTCAATCGCACTTGCTCTTTGATATTAAAAACTGATCTTTAAAAGTTCTTGTGCAATCTGTTTCAGAGCTAAGCCAAATTAGACCCTACAAAATACAATGCAGCATTTTGAGGCATCCTCCCAATGTCATTGATACTGTGAATGTCAGTGTCCCGCTGAAACTACTTCCTCAAGATGATCTCAGTAGCTAGACTCTAGCACATGTTCCCAATGCATTAATCCATCCTGATTTATATTGTGCTGTTCCTCATAGAAAGCAAAGTATGAACCATCCATTAGAGAAAGGATGTCAGAGCTGACATTGATACTGTCATGCACTATCTGTAGTGTAACTACAGTCCAGCTGCAGCCAGTGTGAAGCAGACTTTTAAAGTGCTTTTTTTTACACTTGGTGACTATTTTATTCCACAGTCAGCAAGCTAGTTTATCATAGTATTACAGCCTTCCCCACTGACGGCTTACAACCAGGATTCCAAAACCATTAATTTAACATCAATTAATGAAACAGCATTATAATAATAATATTAAAAATCGAAGTCTGTGAAGCAAATCAACAATGAAGCATTGAAGCAAAGTCTGTGATGCAAATCAACAATAAAATGTGCTTTCTGGAGTGGGATGGGGTCAGGACTTCAGTTTAATATCTCATTTCAAGGATGGCACCTCCAACAATGTAGGTCTACCCTGGCTATCTATCTGGTTAGACTGTCTGAGGTCAAAGTCCCGACATGGGGTCTGAACTCACAACTGTCTGATTCGGAGTCAGCCAAGTGACACTCACTGGTTGAAATTTTTTTTTAAAAAACTGCAAATTAGATCTAATCATGTCTTCGAAATTAGCAGCGGGTTGACTGGAGGAATTAATAAATATTTGATGAATTCTTGCATAAACTGATAGTGATTAAAAGGTGGTCGCCCGTGGCACCTTTAAAGAGGCAGACTTGGACTGCAACGAATTCCTCAGAACGTTTTGAATGTCTGGGATATGCAGTTAACAGCAATGCTGTTAACAGAATATTTATTTTGCCATGAATTTATCATGCTGAAATAAAATAAATTAAACATAAAATAATGAAGTCAAGGGCGGCATTTCTATGTTAGTTTTAGTGTATATTTTTAATGACAATCTCTTCTCCCTCACCATCACCACAGCAGTAATAGTTGAATTTCCCTGTTACAGATGTATTTGCGTGATGGAACTGTAGGGGTCACTGGATCATTTGCTTACGTATCTCAACAAGCTTGGATAATTCATGGGAATGTCAAAGAAAACATACTTTTTGGAAAGGAGTATGATGAGAAAAAGTAAGTAATTATGTTGCAAGTAATAGTCCTGTTGAACTATCTGGGGGGAAAAAAAGGCCCTAATTGCTAAGCTAATCTTCATCAGGGTAGCAACAACACACTGAAACAGAGGATGGCAATTCTATTCAATGACAATGAAAGCCAAGTATTTATGCCTTTCTTCACAATTTCACAAACAACACCCTAATTATCAATAAGATAAAATTATTGTATTTGGCTTGCACTGGTATTTTATTCTCAAAGCGAACTAATTCTGAACATTTTTCAAACCACCATTTGAGACCTTACCTTTTTCTGTTCAGTTGTTCTCAGTAGTTATTAAGATGTAATCAATCAAATCAAGTTGCTGTGTAGATTGGGCCATTTTCCTGCCATGTATTTAGTCACACTGTGGATAAGGTCACTGAAAAGCACTGCTAAATGTTGCACAGCTGGAGAATGACCACATGTGGGTCAATGCTGTTTATCCAGAGCTACTTTGATAAGTGGGCTCATTACTTTCATGTTATGCATGAATGACTGTGATGGACATTGACAAAAACATACCAAGGGTTACAAAAGATAATAATTACCGTAATATGAATCTTGCTGCCAGGTTTGCACTTTACAGGAATAGCTTCCCAGTGCACATGGAATTTGCAATCACTTCCACCAACCAATGATATTCGTAGCGTATTTGGGCATTATCTGATGCTTCATACAAAATATTGAAATGTAATGGAAGCTGCTGAAATATACATCCAGCAAGGAACTGGCTAATGTTATGTACAGTGGGTATTTTGAAATATTTGCCATTAATCTTGTCACTATAGTGTAGCTGTAGAATACTTGCATGTTTTTGGAGTTTAATTTATGCACACCAATTAGAATCTGATAGACTTTGATAAGATCATCTTTTGATAGTATCCACAAAATGTTTAGGAAATTAATTTTTACTGTCTTGTATTTTTCATTGGCACCAGTCTATCGCCTATGTGTAAAAGCATAGCGCTTTAGGATCAAGCACAATATTTGTATGCTTTACCTCTCAACAGCAAATTGCAAAATATTGGCATTGTGTGCTTTTCACTGACAACCCACCCCTCACATCTGCTTCGCCTTTCTATGCACTCAGTACAGTATATCTACCCTATGTATATGCAACTTGCATTAAACGACAGATGCCTATGCCAACGTTTCCATCACTACACCCATCAGATACAACATTTTTCGAAAATCACCACAGTTTCAGTGGCATTGATTCATTGTTATTGCACCTTAACTGCATTGCATTAGCATATTTTACCTGAATCAGACATAAATGATCATTGTAAGACACTGACAGAGTTAACCGGCTGGGGATTGATTTGTCCTATTTTCAAGATGATGCAGAACAGCAATTGAAATGTCAAATAACTAAGGATTCTCCAAAACATTGATTTTAGTAACAGTAACTGTTTCAGTACAATAACAATACAATGACATAAAATATCAATTGCTGAATAACCGGTTATAAACATAATAAAATATAAATTGATGTAAGTTTCTTTGAAGTCATAACGAATGAGTGTATATTGATGCTTTTGTCCTCTGAAAGCATTATATTGGTACTGCTTGCTCAGATAAAATATTGTCTCAAAACGTGGCTTGTATTTAGCCCTTATAATGTTCATTTCAATAATATCTTTCCTGTTTGGCTCTACATCTTTGCACAACACGTAATCCGTTTCTACTTGTGTTTAGCTGACATCAGTTTATTACTTTAAATGACATATTATTAATGTTTACATTCTGCTAGATATGTTCCTACAGTTATTGTAAATTATGAAATGTATTTAGTTGATTCTGTTCGAAGAGAGCAAAATTATTATGGCAGGGCAAAAGTGGATTACAAATATTACAAAATAGTATTTGTAAGCTGTCATGAATCTGAATATGACTTATAACACCAAGAGCATAAGGAATTTGGTAACACAGTCAATTATAACTAACAATGTTGCAATTGTTTATATTCAATTGTATTTATTCCAGCAGCTATTACTTTCTCAAAGCTGGATACTTTGAAGTAAACTGACTGACTGCTAAAACTGGGAAAACAGCAAGTTCAAATTCATTTACAAATTAACAGGCCTGAAATTGGCGTGTTCTGAATATTGGAACAAAAAAATTCTGTTCCATATAACATACATATAACATCTGCTACCTCCGTTTATAGTCGCATCGCGAAACTAAGCGCACAAAACAATTTGCATTGCTGCGACCAACTGAGTTAATCCAATTCCTGAGCACACCCGCAGTACTCCAGCACACTACTGTTGACAGCACGGCCAGCCTGGCTCATCGGCATGACTTGGAAGGGCAGATCAATCACTGGGTCAGGGGCACTTTCCTATCAGCTCCTATCTGGTAGCGCACTCTGGGGTCCGTCCACAAGCCTTGGCTCTTGCCAACCTGCGCCTACTACTTTGTCTGATACATGACCAACAAAAAAAAAATTACTTGCAAGAAATGTGTTCATTACGGTATATCCAAATTTGTTATGAACATGTTGACAGTCATATACTCTGATTTAATAGAAATAATTTAATTTAATTGTTTAAAAAGCTGTGGTATGTATTTCTCATAGTTAACAATCTTCTCAGTTGTTTGCTTACAAAGGGATTTTCTTTACCCACTAGTGGAATTTCAGACCTCTTCTGGTTTCTTCAGAACTTCTCCAGGCACAGAGGTATGCAGTGAATGTATAAAAAAAGACTGAAAGGCATTGAGATGCAACAGGAATCAAAAGCAGTCAGTTTCACAGCTTAGTTGCTACATTCTGGCGTTGCAACTAGATCAGAGGTTTAAGTCCCACGTTTACCCATCACTCTGATATGCCTATCACAGTTGAGACAGGTATTGGGCAGTTGCTACCCAATGGTTTCAAAAGGAAAGTGGCTATGTCAGTCTCATCTCTTCCAAATCTCTTCACTAACCTTGGCCTGTCACTTCAACATGGAGTGCTGTTGCAGCAGGGATGGTTACGTCTGCAGTCTGCTCTGACCCTGGGCCATGAGGGTCAAATGGAAATGAGAGATCAGTGAGGGAGATGAACATGTATGTATAGAGAAATATTTAAAACAGTACTTAATATTCAGAATAAAGGTAAATGAATTAGGGGATAGTCAAAGCAATAAGTGGAACATGTTGCCAGGAAGGGTGATTAATGCCAGGACTCATAAAACACATCTTAAAAAAAAAGCTTCATACTGTGAGGATGGTAGAATCATAGAAATTTGCAGCGCAAAAGGAGGCCAATTGGCTCATCGAGTCTGCACCAGCTCTCAAAGCAAACTATACTTCCCATCCCACTTCCCTGCCCAATCCTCATATCGTTTCAAGGTAAGGTGGGTATCCTGGAAGGATGAGTTCAGATGAGTCAAACAGCCTTCTTCATCCAAACTAAGCTCTTGATCGATATCACTGCAGATCTAGTTCAATCTTTTTAAGCTCGATGGGTTTTACCTGGTTGGTCCTTTCACAAATTGAAGATTCTTTTTGAAGTTTGTAGTCGATGTGCTGGATAAGCAGCTTAAGTTTCACAATGTTTGTTTTCCAAACTTGCAGGTATAAAAGGGTACTCGAAAACTGCAGCCTTCATCAGGATCTGGCAATACTCCCCTTTGGAGATATGACAGAAGTAAGACTATTTTTAACTCATGATAATCCTTGCATTTGATATAGTGGCTTTTCATTTTGTAGAGACATTTAAAAGTGCTTCACAGGATATACTGTGAAGAGTAGTGACTGTGCATTGAGTAGGCAAGCAAAATTAAGTTTCACAAGGTCAATCTCAGAGAGATTTATTCAGATAATCTAGAATAAAATGATATGTTGATACTGTTTTCTTCATTAAACAATCTAAGATAGGTGAAAGGGGTATCAATCTGTCTGGTGGCCAGAAACAGAGGATCAGCATTGCTCGGGCTGTGTACTCTGACCAGGACATTTACCTGTTCGATGATCCATTATCAGCTGTAGATGCACATGTTGGGAAACATATTTTTGAGGAATGTATCAAAAAGGCACTTCAGGATAAAACTGTGATCTTCGTCACTCATCAGCTTCAGGTAACGTGTTGAAAATGTTTCACAATCTGTTATCAAATGTTCTCATACATTCAAATAATGAAACCCTATGGCATGATATATTTTGTGAAATTAGTTTACAATCCAGTCTGTTCATGTTGAGGCAAAGTTATAGCTGTTATATTTTAAGAGTATTTCAATCGTGGTGCTAATAAACTGTGTTAGCTAAGTTTCTTTTTGCTTTTAGTGTTTAGAACACTGTGATCAAGTTATTTTACTGGACAATGGCAAAATTACGGAAAAAGGAACACATGAGACTTTAATGAAACAAGATGGATACTATGCCAACTTAATCAGGAATTACCAAATGGAACACACAGAGGTACTGGAAAATAATCAGAACTTTTTATTAAGTTTACTAAGGCCGGATGACTTCAGAAAACTGTTGTGACTTTGTAAATTTAACCTGGCATCAAGGGCTTGATGACTCCTTTGTACCATTCATATTTCTATTTATCACTCATGAGGGTAATTAAGTATTCAGAAGGGTTGGTTTATATGAGGTACTCATTATATCACCTGCTTTATATCTGAAGTCTGGAGAGTCTGTGGCAGGCCTTCAAACAGTTGCCTACAAGCATCTGGCCTTTTTCTAGGCCTGTCATTTGCAACTAGATCAGAGGTTAGTTAAGAGAACCCTTTTAAAGATTCTGGTACGGCTTCATGTATTAAAATACTATTTCCCATCTCGCTCCCATGGCAGGCATTAACCGTGGGATTACTGTTTTGTACAGGAAGGCTAAATGAGGGGAACTTGTATGTTTTTCTGCAATTTGCAAAGCTGACATCTTAACTTTTAAGCGAGATCATAGATCTAGTGAAACACTGATTCAGTGAAGGTATTCAGAAAAGGTTTACCGAATGAGAAGGGAGTCAGGGAAGAGACAGAACTGGGTTTAGTGTTAAGTCAAGTGAAAGATTAAAATGATCTGTATAGATTCTGAACATAACAGGATGAGAAAAATGGCTTTCTTCCTCCTGTCTTCTTATGTATTTCCTCTGTGCTTATAGATATAGATATAATCAACTTGCATTCTTGCAGTCTTTTTTGGCAGTACCCATCTGTCTCTGTTGGTAGCTTCATTTCAAACACAGAAAGGTCTTAGATACATGAGATTCATTTCACAAATCCGATCCAAATTGGAAGATGTCATGTGGCTAATTCACCTGCAACCATTCCCATCTACATGTGAATCTGCACAGGTATTTTCCTTCACTTATAGCAGATAAACAAAATTGTCACCTATATAGTTCAGTAATGGAAATCAATACAACTGTACAACATTTTTATTCTGAGATATGAAAGCAGGCCAGGAACAGTCAGTTGCTTGAAACTTGACATGAACTAGGGATTATCTCTGTATTGCAGAAGGATTACCTATTTGTAGATGAACTCAAAGTGGCTCACTTCTGCTCCGTTTAGATTTGGCAATAGTTTGAGTCACTTCCTTAAAGTTTAGCAGCTTGTTATGAACTCATAACATTCCTCCAGCTGACCTTGGAGATTGCCTTGGGACGTAAATCCTGAGCTGCTCAGTTGAGTGCCAAATGTTCTGTTTGAGGTGCTTGGCTGCATGTGTGATGTGATGTTTTTAAAGAGTTTACATTTTGGTTTTGATCTCTCACATCTCCTAGAAATCCAAAGATAAAGAGGAAATAGCAGAACAAAAGCTGGACAGAACATTGTCTGCCAGACAACACAATGGCATAGAGAATCCTGGTAGGTTTGTCAGCTTAGAAAGGCTATTTTACATAATATTTAACCATACAATGCATGTTTTAAGATGTGTTTTATTTAGATTTTATTTTATATCTCAGCATTTGATATGACTGATGAGAAGGTCGATTCAACAGACGAAATCAGTGTTCATGGAAAGAAGAACGAGGATATGGAAAGTAAGACATTAAGCCCTTTTTAACCTGCAGACAGGTTTTATTCGAATTATAGAATCATAGAATCGTACAGCACAAAAAGAGGCCATTCGGCCCATCGAGTTTGTGGCGGCTCTTTGAATAGAGCAATTAATGTCAATCCCACTCCTCAGCCCTTTCCCCATAACCCTGCAAACCCGTCCTCCTCAAATACCCGTCCACAGCATTTTTAAAAGTAGTTATCGAATCGGCCTCGGCCACCCTTTCAGGCACCCTTTAATTCTGATTAAACTTGTTGAAACAATAACTTTCACCCATACAAAAGCTCCCTTCACGTAAGATAATGTTTCAAAGTGAAAACAAGTGCAACGGGCTGCAGGTTTTTATTTCAGTACTTGTTGGCAAACTAGTAATAGGAGATTGTTAAAAATACAGTCTCACTGTCTGAAATACTCAATCAAATTGTAATAGGTTCAATGATCATTGTCACAATTACTCTCCACTTGTTAGTTCAGATGTAGCAGCATCTGATCCTAAGCAATGTTCCCTTTGGTCTGCTTCAATAGCCTTACCCTTAGAGGACATGATGTGTGCAACCCTTTCCCTTTCTCATTACTAGTCAATATTTTGGCCCTTGATAAATTGCCAGTTTAGTCATAATTTGTGTTGAATTGGAGACAGCATTCTACTGTGAGCCAATGGAATGATGTAGAGACTGTGTAAAATCATGTTATATAAGATGTTATAACCAGCAGAGAAACTATACCTTCATATGCCATCAATCTGGGCTGGATTCAAGCCCATGACCCAGTAGTGAAAGGGCTCTATAAAGTACTGACCACTGCACCACACCATCCCTTTAACATTACCAGAAATAAGATTTTTTGAAAATATTTAATAATCATTAACTATTGATTACTGAAACCAAAATTGTTGTGACATTAACAAATTGAAAAAAAGTTTAGCTCCCTATACCCTATACCAAAATATGACTTGATATTTATATATCATATTGATTTTCAAAATCATTGTAGTTTGTCATTATTGCCATATGAAAAGGTAAATTATTACCTCTTCAACAATACTGATACAGACATGGACATTTTGAGTAATAATTCATGATGACAATCGAATGATAAATGTGTCTATAGAACCAAGTAGTGACCAGCTTGTTCAACAAGAAAGCAAGGAAGAAGGCTCTGTATCATTGGGAACGTACCAACAATATTTTAAGGCAGGAGGAGGTAAGAATGACATTTATACTTTTAAACTAATACCACTATCTTTTGTTTGAAAAGGCTGAATTCTCCCCACACCTCACCCCCATTCCTAGTGTTTAGCACTAAAAAAAATCAGAGAGCATTTTCGTTCATCAGATATTTTCCATACACCCTGATCATCCAGATGCAGCTCCAAACTAACACATCCAAGAGTATCAATGACTCTTGATACTCTGGTCCACCCCAATTGGAAAAATGCTATGCTCCCATTTGTAAAATTAATGATCACAGAAGAGGATTTCTCAAATGTTTTTTTAAAAAAAAGTAAAACAAGTTTTATGTGTCAAATCATCAAAGCCAGCAGCTCTAGATTATTAAAGTAGACTTATCTGTAGTTGCAGTGAAATATTCTTTGAATTTTCAAAGCCTTTATTTCTGCTATAATAGCAAATCTACAAGAAATGTTGGGATTTAGATTCAATCATTAGGTCACTTTACATCACCAGTGTTTCAGCTCTAATTGTGTAAGGGGAAGGCTAATCCTGTATTTTGATCATGCTAATTTTCCTATAAATAACACTGCATTGTTGGAGGTGCTGTCCCTTGGATGAGATGCTAAAGAGCCCATGGCGCTATACAAAAAGAGAAGGGTGTGTCTCCCAGTGTCCTGACCAACAATCTCCCACATAAGAATTGAGCATTCACTTTATGGTTATTTGTGGGACATTGCAGTGGACAAATTGGCTGTCACATTTGGCTTACAAAACTCACAATCGTTACACTTACAGTAAAATTCTTGCGAAATAGTTTGAGGCACTTAATAATAATAATCCTTCCATTTGATATAGCGCTTTTCACGTCGGGAGGATGTCCCAAAGCGCTTCACAGAACACACTGTAAAGCGAAATTGACTGTATATTTCTGGGCGAATGCGGCAGCCAATTGCGCACAGCAATGTCCTACAAACAGTCGTGGATTGAAAATGACCAATTTATTATTGTTTTTTTTTGGAGGAATTATTATTAGGCGTGTGGAGTAAGGAAACTTGCCCAAGGTTTCGCCCTGCCTGGAATTGAACTCAGGTCTCCGCTTGCAAAGCGAGTGCTCTAACCACTGAGCTACAGGACTCACTTCAATATGATAAGAGGCTAAATCAAATGCAAAGATTATAGTTATTAAATTATTGCCCTAAATTGTACACTGTTCTCATTCTGAACTAATTTGTGTTACCCAGCCTGCAGGGAATATTATAATCTAACATAGTTATAGATCAATGTTCTGTAAAGCGCTTTCGGACGTCTCGAAGAAGTGATGAGGTGCTATCTGCAGCAATAGACAAACTTTAGACATAGAATCGAATAATAAAACAAATGTAGTCAGCATCCTGGATGTGTTTTGTTTGAGCTAATTCCAGAGAAACAATGTTCTGATGGATCTGGATTTTTAGGGAAATCTTTTTTTCATTTCCAGGATATGCAGCGCTTTCCTTTGTGCTCTTCATCTTCATCCTTATGATGGGTTGTACAATTATTAACGGTTGGTGGCTGAGTTATTGGTTACAACAGGGAGCTGGGGTAAGTTTCGCTTTGTGCCGTTGCGAAAGCTACGGATCTTTGAATCAATTTCATGTTTTAATCTGCTCTTTAGAATACCTTACACCATCCACTGAAGAAAGGCTGTCTTACTCAATAACAAAACGTAAACTTGAAAGACTATTCATGACAATACAGCATGCTCTTGCTAAGTTGTCTTAATTATAACATATTAGATATTAGTTACATTTAATATGCACTAAATTCAGGCTGCGGTGTCAGGTTTCTTCTTTTCTGTTGTGTTTCAAAGATACTTCCCCTCAAACTCGGATCTAGTGGAATACTCAATGCTGTTTAAGTGCAGTAATGTAACATTAATAACATGTAAAATTTTCCACGTATTGATCAGGAGGCACAGTACTGCTTGAATCCTTGTGATGCCACAGACAATTTATTTTATTGCCTTCCACAAAAGTAACCTCCTGGGTGGAAGTTCGTTTTTGTAGTTCATGCAATGAATGTCATGAATCAAGGAATGATTTTGGTTTGGTACATTTCTCTAATCATAGTTTCTAACATTTAATATTGGAAATCAACAGCAATTAAATTTTGTAGATGGTATGAGATGTTTACTTTGAAAATTGTATTGCGCTACCAAACAATACAGCTCCAGTGAAGTGTAGAATTTATTCATTTCTGAAGATCTTCTCACGTATAGTGAGCTTCTAGCATTCTACAATCAGACACTTCCCAGTATATGGAGTCTGAGAAGCTGAGAATAAGTTACCTGGCTATTCAATTGACTGAGATACATGCATGGATAGGGGGAGACTGAAGGAGAAAATATGAAGTGAGTTATTCTCTATGCAGAAGAAAGATATATTTTACTATTTGGTCGTTAGAGTCAAAAAGGTCCTTGGAAGTTTTAAAGATTTTTTGTGGTAATAACTAATTTGCCCAAAGAACATATTGTTTCAGGAAAAAAAAGTCGCCAAAGGTTAGTTTCAGGATTAAGTGCTTCTCTGAAAGCATCAAATGTTTTAAATATTTTTGTCTGAAGAATAGTACGTGGTAAAGGGCAACTTCAGAACCTATTGTGTTTGAGGCACAAAGTGCAGATTGCAGTAAGGATTTAATACATTTAAAATGCTAATTCATTTACCACTTGCTGATATTGGTTTCACAAAAGAATTAGAATGTTTGGCGACATACTAATTAAATTTTTCCCATTGAATTTTACAAAGCCGAACTGCACCAGCCAAGTGAACAACACTGAAGCTATGGACTGCAGCAGCATCACAAACAATCCCCAAATGGGATTTTACCAGCTCATTTATGGAATGTTTCTTGTGGTATTGGTTATATTGAGTTTCATTAGAGGATTCACTTTCACAAAGTACACCTTGAAGGCTTCTTCCACGTTACATGACAAGGTCTTTCACACGGTAAGATGTCATATCACTGTACTTTGATGCAGCATTTTGTACATTTCAGATATGAGGAATGATTTATATTGTATGTTGCTGCTTGAATCATATAATCAATTGGAAATTCCGCCACCAATTTTAGTAGCAATGGTAATAACTCTGCTATACTTATATTGTTATATAGGTAATAGAAACTAACCTCATTTTAGAGGTTCAGATAGGTCTCAGATTTGATTAGGTACTTGGCGTCACACATTGTAATGCAACATAAAGGAATTTACAGGACTCCAGTCTCCACTGCAGGGCTATGTTTTATCTAAAAGAAATGCATCTTTTTAGCTGCTATATTGATTGCTCATGTTTCTCAACCCAGACGATGCACACAAGATTTTATCAGGAGACCTGGTCAGAAATGCTATTAGTGTAGCTTGCAACATCTTGATGATGTGATATATATATGCTATATCAAATACAAGGATTATTTATTATTAACTATGCTTGCAACACAAGTGGAATGTGAAACTTGTGCCAGGTATTGGAAAGTTCAACCAGAAGCTCTACTCTTTAGCCAAACAAATGGAGGGAAGAACTAATTTGCAAGTGACGTTTTTTTTTCATTTATGTTATTAGATTTTACGCAGTCCCATGAGCTTCTTTGACACCACACCAGTTGGGAGGATAATCAATCGGTTTTCAAGGGACATGAATGAAGTGGATGTGTGGCTGCCTTTCCAAGCGGAGAACTTTTTGCAACAGTTATTGACAGTTCTGTTCACAATAGCAACGCTGGCAGCAGTGTTTCCCTACCTTCTCATTCCAGTGGCAATCATACTTCTTCTATTTCTGCTCATTGTAATGTTAGTTCCATATTTTTTAAATACGATTGGCAGTTTTGCTAACATAAATATATAAATGATAGTTTAGGAGGGATTATTAATAGCGTACGAATATATAATTTAATATCATGTAAGATATTGTAAAGGCATTATTCAGAGGGACATGTGGTTTGCAAATGCATGTGCTATTGTGCATACCTTCCTATTATTGTACTATCCGGCAGGTAGGGAGCACTATTTTGGTGGGTTGATCAGTCCTAGGATATTAGGCGATGGGTGAGACAAATCTAACCCATTTGGTCATATGAAATAGTCCAGTTTCATGGGCATTCGACTAATTTCTGTTTGTCTTTTATGCTCCATTCATTACTACAACAACAACTACAAATGACATTTGTAAAGCGCTTTTCACATCAGGAGGATGTCCCAAGGTGCTGGACAATCAGGGATTTGGACCCGAGCAGGGGGTTCAGAGGTTGGAGGGAAGGGAGGTTAGGGGTAGGAGGGTGACTGAAGGCGCGGTCAAAGAGGAGGGTGTTGAGACATGCCTTGGAGGGAGCAAGGCAAAGGGACTGTGGGATGGAGTTCCAAAGGATGGGGGCCGAGAGGCTGAAGGCCTGAATGCCAATGGCGGGGGACGTGGATAGTTCGATATGGATATGTTAAGAAAGTCTGAATGAGTTGAACTCTGAATAATATGGAGATGTTAAGAAAAGATGTTACAAACTGAACCAGGTAAAACATTAAATTTGCATTTATACTTGATCCCCAACTCCTACTGTGGCAAATCTGAGAACACCTTAACGTAGTGAGAATGAAAGAGGCAACAGAAAAGAACAACAAAATGAATCGATGTAATGTGAAAATAATAAAGGTTGCTTTCTCTGTAGGACAGCTCAGCAAGCTATCAGAGAACTGAAGAGAATGGAGAACATCAGCAGATCCCCCTGTTTTTCACACATCACTGCAAGCATCCAAGGACTGAGCACAATTCATGCCTACAATAAAATAGATGAGTTTATCGAGAAGTGCGTGGCCTTTTTATATACACCATGCTAACTTTTTAACAAGGAAATAATTTTCTAAAACCATGGTTCTGCACTCTGAGATGCTAACCTGCGTGTAAATGCAAGTTGTTGTTGTTTTTCAGCTCACAGATGATGCAAAAAGTGAACTCTTTACTGTTGTTCATTTTCAGATTTAAATACCTAAATGATAGGAATACCAACCATTTTTTCTGTTTCACTGTTCCATGAGATGGCTTTCTGCAAGGACTGATATCTTCACAGTTTTTATAACCCTGACTGTGGCCCTTTTCGTTATCATCAGTCCTGATTCCATCTCTGTCTCAAATAAAGGTCTTGCTCTGTCATATGCTATTCAGGTGAGGAAACTATTTTCACTTTTGACTCCTTTTGTTTAGTTGTCCTCATTGCTCTATTGAAGTGCAGCAGAACTATTTCTGAGGAAGCCCACTTTCAATGGTATCTGAAACATTATTGACAGCGCTGAGTCAGAGATGTTTTTTGTTCATTGAAAAAGAAGTTGGAATTCTCAACAAAGGTTTGCAAATCAGCATTCTTCCTCAAACTGTGTGACTTATTGATTTTCCTAAACTACAAATGGTTTATCCGTATTCTGGGCAGCACTGGGTATTGTAGCAAATGGTTATGATGTAGATTTCTTTCCCTCAAAACAATCAGTGGAAGTAAAATACTAAAATTATCAAATATTTAATTTGATTGCTTATCCCATACTGACATTTTTAGGCAATCTTTTGGAATTACAGTACAAGTTTTGTTCCAAAGAACAGGAAGCGGTACTATATTTACTTGTATTGGTCTTTTGAGATGTTCATTGTGTGACAGCACAATGGAGTTCACATCTCACACATCTGCATTTCAAATAGGAGACAAGAATAACAAAGACAAAAGGAAAAATACCTCTATAAAACAGCACTAATGCAAAGCCAGCACCTTGATTTAAAATGTTACAAATAACACAACTGAAACATACACATTTAATATCGCACAACAGATTCATTACTACAATAATGCTTCTCATTATTGAATATGAACTGTGCTTACAGCTGACTGGACTCTTGCAAGTGTGTTTCAGGATGGGAACTGAAACTGAATCCAAATTCATATCTGTAGAGCGAATAATCGAATATATTAAGGTAAGCATCAAAAAAAGACACATAGGCTTGAATTCTAATTCACTGGATCTTTTGTCCTGTTATCTAAAATGAAATTTTTCTATCAGTCTGGTGTTTCTGAAGCCCCGCTTTATAGTGAAGACACAACCATTTCCAAGGAATGGCCAAATCATGGCGTAATCACATTCAAGGACTACCAGATGAAATACAGGGAAAACACTCCAGTAGTGTTAAAGGGACTGAATGTTAATATAATGGCCCAGGAAAAGGTTGGAATTGTTGGAAGAACAGGGTCTGGTAAGTACTAAGATTTCTTTATAAAATCCTTTGCATGTGGCAAGATGAATTTGTAGCTAGTGCTGGTTCAATGTCTGTATAATTTCATGTTTCAATCACTCGCATTTTTCATTTTCTATCCTTAGGAACACATGAGCCGACACTGATAAAATAATAATAACCTTGCATTGATATGGTGCCTTATCATGTCATTGAGAAGCATCAAAGTGCTTCATAGGATTTACTGTAAAGTGCTGTGACTGTGTACTTGTGGGTGAACATGACTGCCAATTTGCACACAGCAATGTCCAACAAAATGAATTACCAATTTTATCTATTGCGTTTCACATCAGAGGTCATCTGAAATGACTCCACAGTATATACTATAATGCATAATAACTTTGTATGTTATAGACTACATCAGTTTAGGTGATAGAATCACCAGTATAAATTGCACCACTAAAAGCTGCTAAATCTGTTCAGTGCAGTTAATGCCTCAGTGCAGATAATAATCCCTCAAAAAAAAATAATAAATTGATCATTTCAATCCACGACTGTTTGTGGGACACTGCTGTGCGCAATTGGCTGCCGCATTTCGCCCACAAATATACAGTCAATTCACTTTACAGTCTATTCTGTGAAGTGCTTTGAGATGCCTAGAAGACATGAAAAGCGTTAAATGCAAAGATTATTATAATGCGTAACAGCACTTGAGTGCAAGAAAAAGTGTTGGCACATGTCCATAATCAACATTCTAGGTACGTCTATTACACCATGCTGTGCGTTGGTATCAGCAGTGAGCTGTGGTAAAAAGGCAAAAAATATCAACTATTCCCTGTGCAGTCCTCCCTTATACAGCATAACCAATGGCAACAATGATATTGGTGGTACAACAACCCGAGGAACTCGCATGGTCAATTGAAAAACTGAAGGAAATGAATTCTATATTAATTTAAATTTGGATTGTCTACAGATCTGGGACACTTAAGGTGCTTGTATTAGGGGCAGGAATGCAAGGGTTGAATTGAGCTTGCAATCTCTGTTACACATTCTCAGAGTAATCCTCGGCAGAATATTACGGTTTGCAATATGTCAGACCATATTGTGCCTTGAAATCATATTTCATTAGGTTTAATCTGATAACGTATCAAATAGCTTCTGAAATGCTCACCCTGCCTGATTTCAGGAAAGTCATCACTGAGTGTTGCATTGTTCAGACTGGTGGAGCCGACCGCAGGAACTATCTTGATTGATGGTGTTGATATCCGCACTATTGGTTTGGAAGAACTGCGAAGCAAACTGTCAATCATTCCCCAGGATCCAGTACTGTTTGTCGGTACAGTAAGGTAAAAAATCTTCATACTCCACATTTGGTACCAGATATTGAATGTAGAATGCAATTGTTTTCATTTTCTGGAGAAAATTTTCACCACATCACCTCTAAAATCTGCACAATTGAAATTAAATCGCTGTAATTCCTGGGAAGTTGACAACCTAGCTTCTGGATGGTCTAAAATTAATATCACTTTCCTCGAAGTCTCATAGTCATTTGGCTTAACAGAAAATCTCTACTTTGTGAAAACGTGCTTTGAAAAGTTTTGATGTGTTAAGGTTCCTACAATAAATTTAAATGTTGCATTGGAAATGCTCCACTCGCTGATTTAATTACTACCATTTTTGACCAAGGCATAATTTAGACCCTTTTAAGAATTACCAGGAGGAACAGATTTGGGAAGCCCTCGAGAGGACTCACATGAAGAATATGGTATGTTTCACATGGAGGAATACTATTTTTATAAATGTCAATATAAGGACTGTTACATGTTTTGCAATGGCACTAAACTGGAATGCATCACTTAATCATATAATATGATTTTGACACAATATAAAAGCATATAACTAACAGATTGTTTTAGCACCAACTCAATGATCATCCCACAACCACTTTGGAGGCACTGGTACACTTACACTATTCTTTTCACTGCAAACAGCAGCTCAGATGTTGCTTTATGATTGTATTGCTATTAAGGCAGTTCATGCACAGAAACTCTTTAAACCCGCAAAACACCCAAGTTGTTTTGCCATCTGTTTATTTTTTTTCTCATTTATTTTCCAAGAAGGAAATCCAGTATAAAAGGAATTGCCCTTCCCTCAGATGTATCGACACTGTGGGTGACCATTCTGTCTAAGCAGAAAAGAATAGCTCTGCCCATTAGTGCTTCAGAAGCTGCATTTTAAAGCAACTAATGTGTTGAAATGGCCAGTGCTGTACAGATATTTGTAACACACCATTTTGTTTCTGCTCAGAGTAATAACATATTTTTAGCTTGTGTCAGTTGTGTCCTGATTGTACTGCATTAATTTGGCCCAGTGAATATAGAACAATAACTCCAAGGTTGCATTTAGCTGATCTCCACATATCTGATAATCAGGAGGTGCAAGGTCACATTCCCATGTGTTGACACTGCTTTAAATGTTATTTTCAAAACTTTAAAACTTGCTAAATTAAAACAAATTTACACTTGTATAGTGCCTTTCATGTAAAAAGTATACCTCCAAACATTTTATGTTTTATGTATAAAATGTTCTCCAAGACCCAATCTTCATAAACATTTTTATTTTTTTTAAAAAAAGATATCAAATCTTCCAAAGCAACTGGAAGCAGAAATCATTGAAAATGGAGAGAACTTTTCTGTAGGAGAGCGTCAGTTGCTTTGTATGGCAAGAGCACTGCTCAGAAAATCCAAGGTAAGTAGAAGAGCGTTCACTCAGTACAGGAGGAAGAAAATTATATAAATAATGCAGTAGCTTTCAAGAAAAAAATAAAGTTGACAGCTAATGAACTTTTAATCATTGTTCTTCTGGACAAATTTTATATATATTATGTATGTGTACATTATATAATTATAAATATATAGTATATATTGTTGCGTTATATTTTATATATAATCTGTCATTATATAGCTGTTCATAATCTGCAAACTAATTTTAATTTCTGCAAATGTAGCCCCATTTATTTTTACGGTGTGTCACAATCTTTCTCTTCATTATTTATATTATATTTCTTTTCAGTCTGCTTTATGCTACCTTCAGTACTGCAGCATTATCTTTTCCCTTCCCTTATATAAATCTGTGACATTTTCTTTTTTTTAATGCTATCTCCCATTTGATTTCTGGGTAATGCACAAAATGTTATTATTGCTTTTCAGTCCACTAAGACTGAGGCTAATGGAAGCTAACAAATAGCTGGTGAGAAAAATAGGCAGTTTTTGGAAATGCACAGCCAGGCTATTAGCATTAGAAAATGAAAGAAAAGCCAATGCTTCAAGCAGAATCTTTCATCAGGAACCAGACTGTCGACATTAAATTATTCCTAGGAAACTAGTAATTTTATTTAAGGCTTCTTGGAAGGTCATTTACAGCTTAAATGGAACTTTAACAAAATTATAAATTTTACCATGGTACCAACAGCTGAAAAATTCAGTAAAATCCAGTTGCAAATTAATACTGTTATTCTTGCATATACAGAATCTGTCATGCACACTGTATATGAGGTATCACAAAAGGAATTATTGATTGGGGATTGGAGGAGATTATTAAAGGGACATAGTTTTCACTGCATAATTGTGAGAAAAATTATCATGGACCATTTGTGATGAAAGTCCATTTCAACTGCAAATGGTGTCTTTACGTGAGATGCCAGCATTTCTCCACAACATTTGATTCCAGGGAGTGAAAGTGTTGAAAAGCTCTTTTGTTGCAGTTTTTATCAAAAGGGAATGAACATCTGGCGTGAGTACTTTGAACCGAAAATAGATTTGACTTTCCCTTTAAATCACTGTAGACTTTCTGATAAGGTTATCATTTTTGAACAATACTTCTAACGAGATCTTTCTCTATTAGATTATAGTTTTAGATGAAGCCACAGCCTCCATTGATGCCGAGACTGATTTGTTAGTCCAGAGTACCATCAGAGAAGCCTTCCATGATTGCACAATGTTAACAATTGCACATCGAATAAACACAGTTCTGGAGAGTGACAGAATTCTAGTAATGGATGATGGAAAGGTAAGGAAATACCCTGAAGAATGATACACATTTTATAAAGATAATCAGCTGAATGTAATGGTAAACTCTCAGCAATATTGGGTTTCTGCTATCAACACCACCACAGTGTTCAGTTTTCCCTGAATATAAATTCTCTTTCCTTTGACTTTGGCTATTGCACTGCTTCTTTTTCCACGCAATTACCCATAAGCTAGAAAGGCCAACAAGTATCCAACTTGTTATCTGTGGCCAGTCTTCAAATATGCATCTCTGTTGATTTTGAAGAACAGAAAAGCACTATCAGCTTTAGCTTCACCATTGCCACCAGACCAGGAAGAAGGGATGAAGAGTGTTATAATTTTATCCCTTTCCTATGTAATAGCCCACTTTCATAACCACAATGGTAACTTCCCATCACTGGCTGTAGAGAGGGAGAATAATCTTAATCTTACCCTCAATGGAGTTTCACTTTCGCCACCATGATGCTACAAGTCACAAAAATATAAGTTTTTTTTAGAATTATTAGAATCCAACCCATTCTTGTTCCTAAATTATTTTATACAATGTCGACATATGTATCTGAGCACTGCTGAGGAATGTTTCTACTGTGTTTTGTTTTCAGGCTGTTGAATTTGACAAGCCTGGTGTGCTTATACGAACCCCCAATTCAGCTTTTGCATCATTGCTGGCTGCTACCAACAAGATTAATTCAGAAGTATGAAAAGGTTAAAAAAGATTTGCTCAGAATTACTGCAGAAAGGTACTAAGAACTGATGTGAGATCTTGATTATTTATTACTGCACTGAAAGTTAGCCATGGCGTTGAAAAGCAATTAAATGAATAAACTAATCAAATTTTGGACAGTCACTATATAATTCCACATTTCAACTCATGCAGAATCTCATTATAGTGATCTTAGAATTAAATTTCTATTTCTTGGAGCTTAGAAGTAATTTGGCAAAACAATTAAAACATTAGACACACCAACATCAAATTTCCTATTTTATTCCATCCCACGATTGAAATCAACACTAAATCAATAGGAAAATTATTGCACTGACTGCTGAAGGGTAGTGTAAAGTATGCAATGAAATAGCTGAAAAATCAGTGTAATTACTAGCGAGTTACATCTTAACTCTGGCTTGCCAGTTATCTACTTCACTTATGCTTTACAGCAGCTGAAGCATTGTTTGTCCACCTCCTGAGACCTGGGTTTGAATCCAGTTCAGACTGACAGGATCCCTCACATTGATTGTTCTTCTCAATGGAAGACACTTAAAGGGGAAACCTCCTTACTACGATCACTTTCTTGTCGTTTTGAGAGGTTAAAGGTGTGCAGTAATAATGATAACATGCTGTCAATGTATACTGGGAATAAAAATCATTAGTTTTCTCCAAAGCTGATCTTGTACCTGAAACCTTAATGCTCCCTTAATGCTCTCTCTGTTAGAAATATCCTAGGGCATTTTTGATCAGGCTGGCTCTGTCTCCCTTCAAACCTGTCTTTCTGGTGGATGTACTTGTGACCTCAAACATCTATGGTTCTCTTCAAAGGGCAAATGTGAAACTGGATTAAGTGAGCAGGACTTTATTGCAGCAATAGTTTCCTCAGGACACCCTGACAGGGCAACAGACCTGTAAACTCTTGTGGTATAAAGAAAAACTTTATTTTATTTAGCAGATTATTGATGATGCAAATTGTTAAAAGGGAATATCTAATTGTATAATCTTTTTTGTTTCTTTAGAGCTTGGAGGACTTATGTTGAATAGAAAGTATTCCCCCATTGAGACTTTAGTTGTCTTTTAAGACATATTGATGATTTAAAAATATTGACTTTTTTGTATAGTTATGCTGATATTCATTGAATCTAGAATGTATAACATTGAAAATATTGTAAATAGCTATAGAAAATAATGAATGTTAAAGGGAAGCTGGATTGCCTTAATTTGCATATTAAATTTAGATATTTATCACCATTGATGGAGATTCTGTCTTTTTGATGAGATGGTAAAGCCAAGGTTCTACTTTGCCCGGTCAAAGATGAATGTTAAAAGATTTCATGACATTATTTGAAATTCTGTTAGCTACTATTGTAAAAAAAATGTTTCAACACATAACTAAAGGAGGCAGAGGCTGCCAAACTCTTTCTTCAATTTATTCAAGTCAGATAAATTGTTGAAAGACAAACAAAAACAAAATTACATTTGTATAGTGCCTTTCATGTCAGGAGGACGTCCCAAGGCGCTAGATGGGGGGGAAGTAGGGAGATCGAAAGCACGGTCAAAGAGGAGGGTCTTGAGATGGGTCTTGAAGGTGGAAAGGGAGGGGGCACAGGATGGAGTTCCAGTGGGTGGGTGCAGAGTGGCAGAAGGCCCGTTCGCTAATAGGGGGGGCGAGCAAGGTGGGGGACGTGAAGCAGGCCGGAGCCCGCTGAGTGGAGGATGCGAACAGGATGATAGGGGTCAGGAGGTCGCAGAGGTAGTGGGGACAAGACTGTGGTGGGTTTTGAAGATGAGGACTAGGATCTTGAACTGTATCCTGTGTGTGATGGGAAGCCAGTGGAGTTGTGCAAGGATGGGGGTGATAGGATCGAGGACCTAATATGGGAAAGGACACGGACTGCAGAGTTCTGGATGATCTCCAGCCTCTGGAGGGAGGAATTGGGGAGGCTGACAAACAATGGGTTTGCGTAGTCAAGCCTCGATGTAATGAAAGCATGTATGAGGGTTTTTGAGGCCTGCGGTACGAGACAGTGGCGGAACCGGTGACGTTGCGGAGGTGGGGGAAGGCAGAGTGGGTCATGGCGCAGATGTGGGGTAGAAAGGATAGTTGAGGGTCAAACAAGACCCCAAGGTTCCGGACTGGCTTAGCAAAGTGAGTGTGCAACCATGGATGGTGATGCTGTCAGCGCCTGAGGTGAGGAGCTGCTGACGGGAGTCAATCAGGAGAGCCTCGGTCTTGTTGACGTTAGCAACTGAAGAAAATTAGCTCTCATCCATCATCACTTGATGTTAAAACGGGTTAATATGTAATTTCTATTACAGTAAAACCTGTATAAGACTTAACTTTATACAACTTAGATTTATATAGCGCATTCCACGCTGGACGGTGTCTAAGAGCGCTTCACAGTAACGGATCCCGGGGCCGACCCAGGGGGAGGGGAGGAAGGTGACCAAAGGCGCGGTTGAAAAAAAAGGTCTTCAGAAGAGACCTGAAAATAGGAAGAGAGGGGGCGAGGCGAAGGGAATTCCAGAGCTTTGGGACACAGTGTCTGAAGGCACGGCTGCCAAGGGTGGAGCGGATATAAATAAATATTATAAATATTATAAATCATATAATCACTGTAGTTGTACATGCACCTGAGTCCCATTCGGTTTCCAATCAAAACCACTTAAGATTTCTTTGCACCAGTTGGTTTAATCATCCTCTAACTTGTAACTCATCTCCCCTAACCTCCATTACTCCCACAATTACCGGCTGCATTGAATAGTGGGAAACTTAATCTTGATCCATCGATTCATGCGCCAAAGAACTTCAAGTTTCGAGATTCAATGTGGTTCCAATGCTTGCCAGTAAGTGTGTCGACAGGTCAAGACGCATTGAATAGTGAGAAACGTAGTCATGATCCATCACTGCGTGCACACTTACCAGCTGTAGTGATGAAGTACTGCATGTACATTTACCGGCTGCATTGATTACACACGCACAGTGTAGATGATTGATTAAATTGGATTTTAAACGGTTTATACAGTTTGCCTGTAACTCGGACTTCACGCAAGTCATTAAATGTTATGATCCCAACTGCTCCTACTTATGTGAGTATACATTACCGTATACATTCTGAAATGGGTGATGGCAGATAAGGCAATTTAAATCAGTTATGGTTTTAAAAATTTAAGAAAGCCATAGAGCTTTAAACTTACCCGATTTTACATAATCATGTCTCTTCACAACTTTGAAATTGTATGTTCCTGAATGACATTTAGCCAACTCAATCATCTCTGCCAAGAAAATTACTTAGGAAAATTGTTTCCAAAAAGTTCTTTAAAACATGATTATGCCTCTCATCTTCTAGGCCTTTTTGAGTCTTTTAAATACATCCAAAAAAAGACTTTGATGAAACCTATGAATAATGCACTGGCAGTCCTAGGTTTGATGAAAAGCCCAGAATCAACAATCTACAATAACTTGAATTGTTGTGGGTTCATATCAAATTCCTGGCTGGCTGTTGTAGTTCAGAGTAGCTCAAAAACGTTCTGAAAAATTGTCAGTCAAGAATCCTTCCTCTCGTTGTCTAACATTTGAATTTTGCTCACCATGGTTGTCAAATGCTCCTTTCAATATCCCAACTCCTGATGAATACGATGACTATTTCAGGCAGCTATACCTGAGAACAAGTTAAGATAATTTACATTTGGTCACATTTAGTACAATGATTGGTATCACTTGAATGGTGTCATCCTTCACGCAGAAGACATAATTTGCTTGCAACATTCTCCAGCCCTCCCCCACTAGTCAATTTTTTTATCTCTAGGTTCATTTTCATTATATAGCATGGTGGCATAAAGCCAATAACACTATGTGCCAACCTGCGGCCAGAAAATTGAGCTCAGCTCCAATGCTGAACACATTTCCAGCAACAGCGGGCTGGAATCATCAATTGAAACCAAAGATAGGTCGAGCTTCTCAACAGACTGACAGCTCAATGAAGACAGATCTGACAGGAGCTTCACTACATCAAGATTGCATTTATAGAGCTCCTTTCCGGCCGGGAAAACGTCCCAAGGCGTTGGACAGTTGGGTCGGGACCCGAGCAAGGGGGAAATGGTCAGGGTGAGGGAAGGGAGGGAGCGAGGAGGGGGTAGAGAGTCGAGAGGGGAGGTGAAGGCACGGTTGAAGAGAAAGGTCTTGAGACCGGCCTTGAAGGAGGAAAGGGAGGAGGCAAGGCGAAGTCACTGGGGGATGGAGTTCCAGAGCCTAAGGGCTGAGAGCCCGGCCACCGATGGTAGGGCGGTTGGGGCAGGGGATGTGGAGCAGACCGGAGCCAGAGGAATGGAGGGTACGGGCAGGTAAGTAGGGGGATAGTAGGTCAGAGAGGTAGGAGGGAGCAAGGCTGTGAATGGCCTTGTAGGTGAGGATGAGGATCTTGAATTCGATCTTCCTGGGGATGGGGAGCCAGTGGAGGCGAGTGAGGGTGGGAGTGATGTGGGCGCGAAGTCTGGTGCGGGACAGTACACGAGCTGCAGAGTTCTGAATGACCTGCAGCTTGTGGAGGGAGGTGCCGGGAAGGCCGACAAGGAGAGAGTTCCTGTAGTGCAGCCTTGAGATGATAAAGGCGTGGACCAGCAGCTAGACTGTTAAGGTCCATCAGGGAAAGTTACCATGGGAGAGACAGGGATCTCTAATCAGCTGCTTTCACACTAGAAAAATGGTGAATAATCCTCTAGTACAAGATGTTCAACATTTATATTTCACACAAAGACAGGGCTTCTGAGATAAATATTTAGATTGATGGCACTTCAAACTATACGTGATTCACCTTTAACCGTAAATCAGGATATTGGTTCTCAAGTGAAGTCTGTTGTAGCATAAGGATGGAGGCAAATCAGTTGCTTTTAAACTTTCATCCATTTTTAGATAATAAGTAATTAATCTATTTAATAAAAGCCCTTATTTTGAGATACCTCAAAGTGCTTCACAGGCTCTGGATGCTCTTAAAAGGAGCAGGAGATGTTCTGTGAAAATGATTGAGGTGGACATTATCTTTTGGACTGAATGGCATACCCCTGCTGTGGTGATCACCAAAACTGGAGACTAATTCCTCCCCGTCACTTTCCACTCATAAATAAATGTAACTATGAACTCTTGGGATTGATTTCCTCTACCAAGAAAAAAAAGGATGTAAACCTTCAACATTATTGATTACATCCCAACAGAAGCTGCTTATGGTTTAGTGCTCCATAAAAGCTGCACAAACCTTTTGCTCTACTGTTTTATGAGAGCTGAAACTGCTGTGATTGCACCACTTTCTAACTGTCCATAAAAAGAGATGAATGTCTTTGGTACGTGGCTGTAAATGCAGTTTCAGCAAACTGAGGAGGATAACAGAGTGGGGCAGGGTGATTTGTTTTACTCTACTATTGCTGTATCCAACCTATTGCTGTTCCTTTCTCTCCGTGGCCGTGCTATTCCCTTTCAACAATAAAATGAAACAATTAATCTTTTTGCGGTTTTCTTTAAAGATGAAAAAGGAAAATATGAATGGATGGTCATAAACTCTAATGACCGCAATTCTTTCATAAGTGGGAAAGGCCAGTAGGTTATACAGACAAGTTATGTTTATATATAGATTCTTTCAGGTAAAAGAACGACAAAGTGCTTCACAAAATGAGATTAATTGGGGGAAAAAAAATTGAATGTTACAGAGGAAAATGATGCAGCTAATTTACAGAGCTGCAAGTGTGAGTGAATTATGATCATCTTTAACTCAAGTGGAAATCTGTTTAGGAATCATTGCTGGTGAGATAATCTATTTATGGCGTGGCTGCAGGCCAGCCAGAAGAAATCGAAGCACACAAATCCAATTTGGACTTTGTTTCTTCATTCCTAATTTCGAAGTTATTCAAGTGATTTCAGACGGTCTTTCTCCACAGAGTTGGTGGGTCCAGAAAACTTCACTGGCATTAAAACAATTAAGAGGTACTTATACCTGCAACTTTTTCTTTCTGTCCCCAAGTAACACAACCTAAATGAGAAAGGGAAACATACTACCTACAGGAAGCCACATTCAGCTATTCATCAACATTGGTATTAAGTGCAACTAATTGAGTTGAGAGTCTCAACAAGCTACAACCCCACAAAAAAGTCTCATTACATGATTGTTCTCTTAACATAAAAGACATTAACCTCTCCAATGAAATATATTAATTTCTTTGGCATAAATCAAAGGTTTCAGTGATTTAAAAAAATTCAGCATTAAAATATGATTGGAATTGGCCCTCGTTACAGTAGAGATTATGTGTTCCATGTGGTTTAATCCAACGACAGGAGTGTTGACAAAGACAGGTCATCGACTCTCTACCCCCTCCTCGCTCCCTCCCTTCCCTCCCCTCACCCTGACCATTTCCCCCCTGCTTGGGTCCCAACCCAACTGTCCAGCGCCTTGGGACGTCCTTCCGACATGAAAGGCACTCTATAAATGCAATCTTGTTGTTGTTGATGATTGTTGAACGATTCCTAGCAAGCTGTCCACAATAGCATTGCTCAGGAGCAAACAGATTATGGAAGTGGACCAAATGCCTGAAAATGTGACCCGTGAATCACTTCTCAACGCACTCTACGAGCTGTTACAGTTTGCAAAACCAGCCAAACAACAAAGGAATAACAATTTATTTCAATCTAATAGATTTATTATGCAAGTCGAAGTCATGCTTTCGAACATGCTAATTCAACAATTAGAATTCATAACACTGGCACACACAAGTATTCGAAAATGTACTAAAATTTAAAATACTAACCTTATATGAAGCAACACTTTCACTAAACAGTGCTAATGTGCCAAAGAATCAAATGTGAATGAGCTTGTTGCATTGTTAAATATATTTTTCATACAAATGTCCACACCCAAGTTTAAATAAAGTCTCTTTTACTTTTCTGGATGATAATTTAAGGCAAGTAGTTTTATCAATCTTCTGATGTGACTAGCGGAAAAGAATACCTGGCAAATTTCACATTATATGTAGACTTTACTATCATGACTGGCAATGACACACATTAGCAACGCATCATAAATCTCAGGAATGAGCACTCTTCATCATTTTTAGCTGACCATGCAGGGGTCGTCAATATTCAGCTTCACTTCTCCCTTCAGCAAGGTGTCTGTCACAGTCTTTGCCAAGTAGCTGGATGTCCCCATTGTACCCGTTGGAGGTGTATTGTAGAAATCGGTCATGGTCTGCAGATAGATAAAGAACAAAGAAAGATCAATTTTGCTATAACGTACAAAATTGGCATTGTTCCTACGGCTATGCTGTAAGTGGAAAGTGAGATCTCTCACTGACACACCAATTAAAATCCATTTTAGTCAGAAACTCAAAGAAGAGGGTATTGGCAGCAAATTAATATTTAACATTTAATTAGATTTCTGATGGATTTTCTTGGTGTCTACAAACTACCTGGAGGGCAGAGGAGGGCCAGCCACAAATGAAGCCGGGAAATCTAAGCAGGTGTTTCTTCTCTCTGTTGCCCACCCCTCCCCTGCCCACCCACTCCCTCTAGGCAAATTAATGCAACTTAGTGGTCTCACCAATGGAATAAAATGTTCTCCCAATAACATGATGTATTTGTATTCTAGTTGAAGTCCTAGCAAAGTTTGCTGCAATTTACATTTATATTTATTAATAAAACACTATACTTAACTGACCTGCTCATCATTTTTATTCTGGCTTTTATCGAACTTGAAGTTCTCAAAACTTTCTTGCACCAGTTCGTCCAAATTTACTTTACCATGAAATTCCACCTCAGGATTACGCTCCAACACAATCGAAATCACCATCAGAAGCTACAACAGAAAACACAAAACTTTGCTATACCACAGGTCACCATTTACAAAGTAGTTTGAGTTTCTGAGGTATTTTGAAGAAATTATTGAACAACTGTTGAAGAAATTCAGTTTGATGAAAAGTTGAGGCTCCACTCTCCTAATTCCACATTTGTAATTCTCACAACGCTTTAACAATGAACATTTAACATCACTGATAATTAATGAAACAATACTTTCAACATTAAGTCCAATTTGTGTAGCATTTCATGTGCTACTTAATGAAGAATACAAATCTGGTTATTTCAAGTTATCCACAGACGTTAATACAATTAAAAAAGGATTTATACATCCCCGCAGAGCACTTATCTTTTCGCTTCTCGTCTCCCCTTTTGAAGCATAATACAAAATAATTTCCTTTACCATGAAGCATTTTTTAAAAAAATTCTGTCTTCATTATCCTGTCTTCTGATTCTCACCCTCTAACTTTTATTTCCTTTCTTCTGTCTCTTCACTACTGCACGACATCTTTATTTCTCCTGATGAGTTTTTAAATCTCTCCTTTCTTCACATCCCAATCAGCATCAACAGTTTCAGACATTCCTAACCAGTAAGGGCAGTAAGTGCACCAGATAATTGACCCCAATTCCCAGCCCTTCTGCACATCCGACGACTTCCAAGGCAGAAAGTTTGATCAACTGGCAGCAATATTTATTCGCTTACATTTTCATAGCACGTTCCCCTGTAGCTAACGATACTCATATATTCTGAAAATGTTGAACGTTTGAGTTTGGTTTTAAAATAAAGTCCTAGTGGTCACCTCAACAATGATTTGTCGATACTCAGGCTTGACAATGTCCTTAAGCAAGCCTTCCACCAGCAGGGAGAAGTTCATCTCATACATGGTCATGTCTGATAAAGTTGGTTGCTGAAGAAACAAGAATAAGGATGTGAGAGCTCCTGCTGATGAAAGTAATATCCCTTTCCCATTCACTCAGGGATCAATCTTTGGCTTGCTGCTTAAAAGGTTATCAAGTAGGATTTCATCAGCTTATGGAACAGTTGGAATTCTCAGACTGCGACCTGCCCATCAAACTGATTAAATTGTTCTGAAAGTAAAAGCAGCTGAGCTCCTTTATCGACAACTCTCTTCAATATTACTCGAGTTTTATCTCAAAGCTTTCATGTAGCAATACATTAAAACTAAATTATATCATGCAATAACATGACTGAGATATGAACAATGTTTTTTTTACTACAATTCATGTTTACATTTATTAAAAAAACTATTTATCTAAAGGTTATCCACATTTGGATTCAGAGAAAAACATAGGTTAATTTTAGAGAGATTTTAAATGCATCCATTCATAGTCAATTGAAGGAAGGGGGTAGGTAGAATTTTGCCTTAAGACTCCTTAAGCCTGCAAATAAAGGTCAACTCTTTCTATTATGAAATATAAAATTTGTTCTGAAGTTAAACTTCTGAAAGATTCTATGAATCTCAGAGCCACATTTAGCATTGAATTTTTTTTAAGTACATTAATACAAAACTCTGTGCACAATGAGACTTAAATAGGTCTGGCGTCCTTTGAACACTACTTGAACAATTAGATTCGTGAATATGGATATGAAGGCTTGGTGCCTCTATGATGTTGATAGAAATTTTGCTGGTTGTCTAAAATCACAATTATAGCAATACTGTAATTGGAGACACGGTCATCTTAAATTATTACTTGTGGCAAATGGTTTTCAGACACTACAATGCCACCTTGTGTCCTCTCCAAAATGGCCCATACTCGGTCATAGAAACCTTTTGGAGTTCGGTTCAAGGAGCCATCGAGGTGACGTTTATTTATCCATGACCTGAAGAAAAAACAAACATTTCAAATTCAAATGCAGGAAAATGATCTCAACGCAGACATTAATCAACACATTTAAAAATTATAGTGTGCTTTATGCTGTGTGATATTCTGTGACAGACTACCTAAATATAATTGCTGCATTTTTAAGTCTTCTCAGCTTCATCAAGATTGCTACCCTGTTCAATGTGAAATTATGTTTAGGACCTGAAATTGATAATTAAAATTGGTGGGAGTAGGATACAGCTACTCTGAATGCCAAACCTTTATGAAATAGGGCACTTGATTTATTAAATTAATATAAATGCATACACTAATAATTTCCCCTAAAGGGAAATTAATATGATTTTTTTGTTGAAATCACATAACCACTTCCTGGAAGACAAAAGCAGTACAGTAACTGCTTACGGGATACAGTACGTAGGTAATTTGGGACATATGTACATGCGACCGCCAGGAAGGTGGAAACCGAACTAGATGGACCTTGGGTCTTTTTTCATCTAGCATTTCTCATGTAGTAACATCAAATAAATCATATCATATTTGGCAGAACTTGTAACCATTCGGTCTTCCCCAAATCAAAACAACAGCAATGTTATTTAGATTGGGGAATAAAAGTGGATATTTTCCAGAGCTTTGCCTACCACATACACAGTGGAGGAGCTACTTAAAAAAAATTAAGCTACATTTATTCATTTAGTCAGAATACCCTTCAGAAAATTATTTTCCAATGGCAGTTTTATGTTTCTCTGACTCTGACTGCATTTGCAGTTTGCAGGTTCAAAAGAGGTCAATACTTTTCAAAGATATTTGGTATGCGCAGTTATTCCCTTGAGTTTTTTTAACCCTAACTGCAAAAAAGAGGATGTAAGTTGATATGTATCCAATTTTTGTTTTGGAAGTGGAAGAAATTTGTTAATTTGGGATTCAGGTCAGGAAGTGTGTTAAATATAGGATTCAGGGAAGAGTTCAGGAGGCACTCTTATGATCACTAATTCAAAGCTCTGACCTGAAGGCCTCAGCAAAGACAACTGATTTGGAAAAAAAACTATCAGTCACATTTCTTATATGGAGTTTATCATCTGCACCATCAAAACTCTATTCATTTCTTATCTTACAGCAGCTAATGTTAGATCTAAGGAATCAGTCTGTTCTGGATTTTAGCCTTTTAGCAATTAGGGCATTTCTAAGATCTTCCGTTCCTCTCTGTTAAGATGCTGTGGAAATCTCCTGTAGTTTTCTCGTTTCTGACACTTGATTTAATCCAAGGCTAGATTCAAACAGTTAAACATGCATTGTATTTAGTTGGTACCTAAGTGAGGAGAGATCATTGTAATCATTATTATGTAATCATTATTGTTCAGGTTTTTTGTTCCAAACATGCAGTGAGTTAAATATTGTTCAATTGAAGTCAACAGAAACATAAAACTGCCGTTGGAAAATAATTAATTTTCTGAAGGGTATTCTGGCTAAATGAATAATTTTTTTTCCCTTTGGTGCATTCTCGAAGAAGTTTTACGTGGGAATATTTTCTTATGATTAGATTTTCATTATATAAAGCTCAGGTGGCATATGGTTTAATATGTTGAACGTACCTCCCATATTTGTGAGCCTGTAGAGAGTCCATGAAAAGCTGTTTAACGTCACTAGGTGACATCTTGTACAGATCAAGGACGGGCATATTGCCACTTTGAATCTTCAGTTCATGTTTCATAGCATGTAGAATCCATCTGAAAAGCATGTCAGAGCACATGCATGGAATATAAATAAGAGAACATGGGAAGGTGATGATGTGCACTACTTAACTTGGAAAAGCAAACATTCTAAAAGACCTTAAAGCCAGATTTCCATACCACGTAGAGCATAACCTGTGATTTTATGGTCCAAAAAGTGCACGGATTCAAAGTATCTTCAATAAAGTCAGGCTTAATTTAATTTAGATGCCAATATTTGGAAGTTGAAGGGAGAAGAAAAAGCTGCATAAAAGTCATCCTTTGGATCATTTTGCAGATTTTATGCAAGATGGTTCTCTTCTCATCTTATCGTGGCATCAATTGTACTCATTATTGCACAAAAGCTGGCTTTACTGCTGCTTTATTATTTATTTCACGTTAAATAAAATGTTTCAAAGTAATTTACAAAATAAAATTGATTACAAAGGTGGATGTTATAATTATTATAATACATTAATAATTCTCATCTTCAAGGCCCGCTATGGCCTTATCCCCTCCTACCTCTCTGACCTGCTAACCCCTCATCAACCTGCCTGCTCCTTCCGCTCAGCAGGCTCCAGTCTGTTCTATGTCCCCCGCCCGGCCTACCCCACATCGGCGGCCAGGCCTTCAGCCACTCTGTCCTTACCCTCTGGAACTCCATCCCACATACCCTTTGCTTCTCTCCCTCCCTTCCTTCAAAGCACGCCTCAAGACCATCCTCTTCGACTGTTCCTTCAGCCACCCTCCTACACACTCAGCCCTCCACTCTCCCTGATTCCCCCCACCCCACACCCATTCTAGTCCTAATGCCTGACTGTTCAGCACCTTGGGACGTCCTGTCGACGTGAAAGGCACTTTACAAATGTAATGCTGTATTGTACATGGCATTTCACTCACCCAATCCGTATCTTCAACATCCCATTGAAGAGTTCTTGATTGTTAGATATAGCCCAACCAATGTGGATGATAAGTTCTTGCTGAATCACAGCTTCCCTTTCATCGTATGGGCTGCATTTAGCATAGATTATTTTCTTTATTTCCGCTGGAGTCAAGGGGTTCGAAATCACCTCCTCTTCCTGACCAAATACTCCTATTGTCACCTGGTAAACATCAATTAAAGCAATTTACTGTAGCCAAAAGTGAATCAAATCATACAGGTATGGTTATTGAAGGATATGAAAGCAAACATAAATACAATTTCAAATTTAATAAGGCAGTTTTAATTCAAATAAGTTTTGTAAGAATAGGAAAAGATCATCAAAATTTCTGTCCCTATCCCTTTCCATCATCCTCTGCTCTTCCCAGATATATATCTAACGGTCTTGTGATCCTATTGACATTATTCATCACATAGGACATCCTTGGTATTTTTNGTCCATAACTTTTTGTGTATACTGGTTCCATTGATTTCCCTTGTTACTTATATTTAACTGCACCACCTGGTGTTTGAACCCTTCAGCTTGTATAAACAAAATGAATCTGATTATTTTGTCGATCTCTTTCATTATTATGAAATTTTCAATTGGGTTACCATGAAGTCACCTCTTTTCCGAAGAAAACAAGCTCAAATTGTTTCTTTTCTTATAATTTAGATTCCTATTACCTAGAATTATCTTGGTTGTGCACCTCCGTACCCTTTCAAAGGCAAAAATATCTCTCAATGCCCCAAACTGCACACAGATGGAATCTGACCAACAGCTTCACATAAACACTATTAATTCTTAATTTTATTCTTTTGCAAATGCATCCCAGCACCTTAACTGACTTTTGAAGTCATGCTTGATCGTTTTATAAATCTGCTGATAAAAAAATACCCATACATCTTTCCTGATTGGCAAATTATTTATAATAATAGCTGCACTTGTGTGTTGTATAGCAAGGTTAGTCACTAATATTTCAATTTATTTAGAAGAGTTTTGAAATACACCTACATTCTACTTGTTGAATTAACTTACACAATTTATTTGGTACATTTTGAAGAAATAATAAAATAAAAATCAATTCTGTCTGTTTATGCAAAGAAATATATAGTCAGTTTTAAGTTGTTTTAGTTGTCACAAGCACCACAAAAATAGATGATGTAGCTTTATAGTAAATCTACAAAATATATCTACTACGCTACTGCTCTTCTCTTTAAAACATTTATCATTACTATTTTTCATGGTTATTTTATTTGGGGAAAAATTGTCTGAGGAAGGTCTGATGAAGGTCAGCTAACAACAAATATGACCACATGTTAACAGCTAATATTTGAAGAATAAATAGTTAGTGAATACTGGTTAAAAAAGAGATTTATGCACACCATGTAGCAAAACATGCAACAACATGCACTTTCTCAAGACTTCATGCAATGAAAAGTCTCCCTAGGATTTTGAGTCCTTGCTGGTTAATAAGACGCATTAATGGTTTTAAAAGAAATCTGTAGAGCTGTGCAGAACAACGGTTGAGATAACTGTTCAGAACTGGAGTTACACAGTACAAGATGGCAATAAAATATTTAAAATGAGCAACGTAAACTCTAATGACCTAATTGAAAACAGCTTTTATTTAGTAATCAAGCTGCACAATTATAAATAGAAATTTCTAGTAAATTAATAGACATGCACACAAAGAGTGATAAATGTAGTGCTTCAAAAGAACTCTCCCTCAATCCCTCCACCTTGCCCCCTACCTCCCTATCTTCAAATCCCGCCTAAAGGCTTTGCGTTTTGATTGTGCTTATGGTCACCTCCCCACTCCCTCTCCCCCGGGCTCATTGTCAGATTCCGCCACCGTGAAGCACTCCAGGATGCTATCCGGCATGGAGGGCGTTATATAAATGCAAGTTGTTGTTGTTGTATTCCTTATGCCTGAAGTAACAGCTTACAGAATAACCAGTAATTCAAGAAAATTCACAAAGGAATAATGAAGAACATTTTTTTTTAATAGGTAATGAAGTGCAAGGGATTAGAGTACTGAAGTATCACCTAGTTCTGAATCCAGCCCGCATAGATGGGTTGAATATATCCACTTTACAATCAAGAAGAGGGATCTAAACAAAGGATAGCTTGGACAGGTTTACTCCAGATCAGAGTGGGTTATCAGAATATGCACAAACTCCACAATTTGACATTAAATTGGAAATCTCATCTAAAGATGCCAAATGGGACAGTGCTTACAACCCCTTAAATGTGACACAAGACTGTAAAGCATTTCTTGTGCAGATTGGATATAGAGCTAAAACAGTTCAAGGGCTTTAAGTAATCTCTGATCGTCTTGTATAATAATTTGCGTATGTTTATACTTCATAAGCCCACTCTTGTATAATTGTATCGTAATAATAATAATCCATGCATTTTGCATAGCGCCTTTCACCTCGGGATGACGCCTCAAAGCGCTTCACAAGATATACTGTAAAGAGTAATTATTGTATTTGTAGACTCATACTTAGACAATTTTCATTGATCTCTTATATCGCTTAATATAAGAGGTCAATTGAAATTGTCTAAATATGGCAAGATTGTGACTGATATCTATAACACAAGAATAACAACTCTGGCATTGCAATTTCACCTGATTTACCCTCAACATGTGCAGAATAATACAGCAAAATATTGTTTATAAAATAACAATTATCAATAAAGCTAAAAAAAGCATTAATAATTTACATAGAAATGTTTTATATAGCTCAGAAAGGTATGTACTTACTTGTTTACCCTGAACTAAAACCCTAGTAATAGATGGAGCAAGACTGTCCACTTGTTTACCTAAAATACTTGCGGTGTAGCGTACATTAGACCTGGTGAACAAAAAACAAATTCCACTAGATATTGGTTACATCAAATGAAAAACAAACTTGTAATATTCTAAGTTGTTTCAATAAATATTTTTCAGAATACTGTAAAATGTAACCATTAACTACTTTTGAACATAATAAATGGAAAGAACTAAATAGCCACTGCAGGGTAAAACAAGAATCATATAAGACGGAAACACAGGACAACAGACACAAAGACCCAAGAGATCATGAATAAACCCAAGAGATAACTGAACAACAGACCCAAAGACTCAAGGGACTGCTGCTTAATAGATCCCCAAAATCCAAGTAATCACATAGGCAGTATCCATTCACTGGCAATGAGATTAATTTTCTGCAGTATTCACTACAATTCATCTGTCTGGACATTTTTTTTACAAACAAAAAATACTGCTGAATTTAATTATATGTTAAAACTGATAACTGGCACACTATTCTGAATTTCTAATCAATATTAAGGTTGTACAACCCAGAAGGCAAAACAAATCTACAAAGTATTTAAAAACACTAATACATGTTGACGTCAATTTTTAAATACCATATGATGCACAATGTACGTGAAGTGTACACTAAATTAAATCATTAATAATAAAAAATAATCCTTGCATTTGATACAGTGCCTTATCACGTCATTAATAAGTCTCAAAGAGCTTCACAGGATATACTGCAAAGTGGGTTGACTGTATATTTTAGAACCATTAGCCAGCAGCAGTTATTTCATAAGACTACATCCCTGCTGCTATAAGCAAATATTTGTTACCTAAAATATGAAAATCCGAGCAGCTGACAAATTTCATGAAATCATATGTACAAACAGAGTCACTCGCTTTCTCACCAGCTTTGTAGTCCTGTAGGAACCCATGCCTATAATTTTAATTTACATCTCACTCCCCTTGTTGTCTTTCCTAAAGAGTTCTAATAGTTTTTAATAATTTTACCATCACCTCCAGGTTCTTCACAATTTGAATTGGAAAGGCCATGATGAAAAATAGGCATGGCCATACCAGAAGCCAAGCTAACCTGATGCTAGGACTCATGCTTACAAACCTTATTGAGATTTTGTGAATTCCCAACAGCTCTAAAGGACAGCATAACTATATACCTGTATATTACTGTACCTCTACAAGTGATGCTGTGTGCTGAGGTGTGGATACACCACCACACTTAATGTGTAAATATTCCACTTACATTTAATAGTCACATGCCAGAGTTTGAAAAATGGGCAACATGTCAGCTCCATTACTCCTAACTGATAGGGTCTTTAGTTTTGAACTGAGTGATCTTTATGGGGAAAACCACAGAAGCCTATCAAAGTGGACAAGTAAAATGGCTTGTCTACTTAATCCCTAATCAATTTCCTGCTGTGTGCAGAGTTAGTTGATTTCAGTCAGGGTAACAGAATAGAGATGCCACAATTCTCACGATCACTTGGTGCTGAAGGGGAAAGATATAGCTTAACACTCGCCATCTAAACTAATATTTGAATAAGGTATTGAAGGGGACCTGGTGACTGTAAACACTATTTTCTGTAATATTTTAACCAGATCCATTGTCAAATTGGTCAAAATTCATGTGCTTCAATTTTTAGCTCTGCCCTACTAACAACCTACTTTCTAGAAAAAAATGGAATTATTTCCACATCAGCACTTCCAGCATAACCTCATTAGACCATATCTCATTTGCACAATTACAAGAGAATGCAGCCTAAACGTACAATATTTATGAATAACACTAGTAAATGTACTATTATTTTATTATAATATTACTAAGTGTAAAATAAATGTCGTAATATTTATCCATAAATTCACTATTTTTACTTTTCAATAATGCTCTCACCACACCACAGCCCAGCATTATTGTAAAGCTTTGTAATATCCATTCGAAGCAAATCAAAGGGTTAACAGAACAGATCAGTTCACTGCTTTTTAGCTCATGGAATAGAAAAAGAATCCACTAACTTCTAAATTTAGCTCACATGACCCACATTTTTCTGTAAGAATGGCATAACATATAAGAAACTAGAAATTAATCACACTGATTCACATCGTCAGGTGTAACTTGGTAAAATGCTGTCAATGGCAATTTGACAAAATAAACACAGTGCCTCATTCAACAACAATAATAAATAATAACTATTATTATAATAATTAATAATAATAATCCTTCTATAAGTCTCAAAGCGCTTCACTGTAAATTTGTGGGCGAAATGTGGCAGCCAATTGCGCACAGCAGTGTCCCACAAACAGTCATGGATTGAAATGATCAATTTATTATTATTTTTCTCTTGAGGGATTACTATCAGGCGTGTGGAGTAAGGAAACTTGCCCGAGGTTTCGCCCTGCCGGGAATTGAACCCAGATCTCTCATTTGCAAGGCGAGTGCTCTAACTCTGAGCTACAGGACTCCATGCAACAATGTGGTTTGTGCAAGGGCTGCTCTTCATTCAAACATCTTGTACACCATTTAGACTGTTTGGAGGTGAAATTGCTTCATTTCTGGCAGTAATGTGGTATGGGATGGAAAACCTGATTTATACAACCCATCTCCCATCAAAAACAAACACAGATTTTACCATTCTTGTCAGAGACGCAAAATTATCCATTTGCTTCATTGATTTTATTACTGTCACATAACCAACTCTTTAATAACATTAAAATATGGTACATTCAAAATTCCAGTCCCACAAAAAAAGACAGCAATACGAAAGTGTGTAATGTAGTGCAGCTCAGCAGAAAGAAAAAGAGATAAAAAAACACACAAGATCGAAAGGAGATTGGGAGATTTCTTTGTACAGGTAAATGTGGTCACCATTTCAACTGCTCCTCCCACTCAGACCCTTGTCTCTCCCAATGCTCCAATCAACTCCAAGCAAATATTTGAGCCGCAGGTCATTTTATTTTAACATCTTTATACTGCCGCCATCTTCCCTCTTTTTGCACTATCCTCCAGGATTGTCCTCTCTCCGACCCCCCCCACCCACCCCACACACACACCTCTCACATTTTCTAACGGCTGGAATTTCACATCTTACTTCTCCCTGTAAATCTACCATTAACAGTACTTCACAATCTGTTAACAGACTTTTAGCTTGGTCAGCTGGGTGTCTGACGGATGTAGAAATCCATGCTTAAGAGGATCCACATCAGAGTTCCATATATGTATGCCACTTATGCATGAAAATTTCCCTGCGCCTGGAATGGCATTTGCATTCTCTCTGGAGGGGTGTACTCTTCTTAACTACTTCCAGAGAGTATAAGGCAGAGCTTGGCAAGAGACAAGGCTTGGGGACCTCAGGGTATCTGTTGGGGTACTGCTGGGTGCTGAGTTTGACCAGTTAAAACTGCAAAGCTTGCCATTGCCATAAATAGCTTGCCATTGAGAGCATCGTCTGACAAACGTCACACTGTTCATTCAGCTAGGACTACCCTACCCTTGAATTGCACCTTGCGTTGCATACTTAACAGGGGCCAAATTGGAACAATGAATACCTCCAGGAATGGATATTCAGTGGCTCTGTAATGCAACTTTCTATTGTCTTTTTTTGTTTCCTCCTCAATCCTACATAGGGTCACCCTAGCCCATCATTTCTGATTAAGGGTCATGCCTGAAATGTTCACTTATAAAGCAAAAGCAAGTTTCATAGGTTAACACAAACCTTCTTGTTACAGGTTGACAAAATAATTTCAATTCTTTTCAACACCGCTCGTCACAAAATGTTTTGCACACATCAAATAATTAGCATTGCCAGGAAGTATAATTCCAAAGTAAAGTACTTTAAATAAGTCATGACAATGAAATTCATGCAATTTTGACTTGAAGACTGCAAAGTATAGTCTGTGCTCCAAAATGCCACCTCGTACGTTTATCGAGTGTGCTGAGTCAAAAGAAGAACACTATGGAACAAAGATCTCACGACAGAGATGTGTTTTCTTTTGCAATGTATTTGAAAAATCAACATTCCTGACAAACATAGCTTGGAAAATCAGCAAGTTCACTGACTATTATGAAACTTGCTTAATGGCAAACTTTGGCCATTAAGTGGAAACACAGCCAACCACCCAATGAAAGGCATGCTCAACATCTAGTGCAAAGCTTGTAAAAAAACATTCGTAAGCACAAGTTCTCTGGTGATGGGCAAGAAAGCATCAAAATACAACTGAGAAAATACAAAATGCAAGCTACTGGGCTGATGACTTTAGGGGGAGGCGAAATTACACACTAAACATAGCACCAAATCTCACAAACACAGTACAATTACGCCATTGTCTTAATTACCTGCTTCCCATGTACCAGCATTGAAGTAATACTTGGGGCTAAAGAAGCACCAAACTGCTTTAGAGTGGCAGCAGTGTAACGTATAGCCAACCTAGGTATATTGCATAATGGTCGTGTAAGAATATAGACTTTACAAGAAAAATAAAAAAAATTAAACATGCTTAAACATTGTTTGAGGATAGTGCTTAAAAGAATTTACATTCACAGAATTTAGAACCCATTTGTGATAAGGAATTAGCACAAATATTGTGCTGTGATAACATTAATAAGGAAATTATAGTTAAAGGTGCACACTACCAAGCTGCCTCAGAAAGCAACCAGAAAGGTTAATGGAAACCGAGTCAGAGGACATCAGTCTTAGTGAGAGCTGAACAAGATTGCTTCAGTCTTGCCTACATTTAGCTGTTGTCTGCAGTATTGAGAACAATACTTCATGTTTTCTGTACAAAGGTTGGATTACAAGGATTCATTTCATTCTGTACAACAACAACATACATTTATACAGTTGCCTACACCCGGTATAGTGTCTCAGAGTGCTTAATAGCCTCTGCCTTGGAAAACTAAGATGGGAAAAATGTTAATCAGATAGAAAGATGAACACAGCAAACGCACTCTCACCATCCAATTATTTATAAATAAAACTATGAAGAATAAATATGCTCATGTTTAAAATCCCTGTTCTTTGTTCTACGTGAATCCTAGCCTGGTCTTCACCAATATGGAAACAGCTTATCTACCTGAATACTGAGTTTAGGTTATAACAGTGTTGCTGGCAACAGTGTTGTTAACTAAAGGTTTATCTGTATGTATATTTATCACTGGGCCTATATTGCAAGTTTACCAATCAGCTGGCAGGCAGCTAAACGCGATATCATCACAATGTATGTAAAGAGTTCATCCACCACCACATGCACATTCAGTGCTTGTTCCAATATGGATCAAAATCAACAGCAGAGGCCAGAGGTTATTCCATCTGGCTCCGGCACCGTGATGTTTTAGACTTAAGTTCTTTGCAACATTCGCTTCAATGACCGCCCAATTTGCCCATAAATTCCCAATCTTGACGGGTTGCACCTGATACACAGTATCCCTATTCTCTTTGCATAATTTTCTGATCGGAAAGATATTTTTACTCAAATTATACCTCCCGTTTTGCACATCTCAAAAGGAAAACAAAAGATGCCTCTCCAAGACTATCTAATCTGCTTTTCTATTTACCTCTTACTCTTTCTATTATTCATGTTACATATCCTCCAGGATGCTTGAAGAAGTTACTGACCCCAACAGCACCAGGGAGCTCAATTAACATGCTCCCAATGAAAATGAGAGAAACGCTAAAACAGCTTGATTAATGACTGTAACAGTGATGCAAATTTAGTTCCCTCAAACTGCTGGGCTCAGTAACTGCTCAAAGCAAATTCTGCTGCAGATTGCATCACTATTTGACTGGTTAAACAAAACCTAGACAAAATTACTTCATTGTAGATCATTATACAAAAAAAACGATGTTAAAAAAAAATTATCATAAGCTTAAGGGAGCACCATCAGCCTGGAGTTCCCAATTCAAATTGAATTTGAGTACCCAATTCTAATTCTTTCTAACTCAGCGATAGAATGCAAATAATGCCTCTCGCCAACTCGCATGAATTCCACTCCGACACAATCTATTTTCAGAGAAGAGTTCATGTGCAGATCAGCACAAATTATTTATACTTTAGAAGGAAAAACAAAGAACTGTATACAGACCAGTGCTTTTTACTGCCAGATTTCCAATAGAGTTTTTCCAAAAGATCTGCAATGGTACCTGCAAATGGAAGCAAGAGTGAAACCTGTAATGCACACACACATATATATTTTGCTTTAAGATATTGTTAGCTTATTATGTGGTTTACTGATACCTCCGTTTATTACCATTTATTATAAATGTGAAAGGCATTTCTTTAAACAGTTTTCTTTGGATCTGAGCCATTAATATAAGGTAACTGATAGGCACATCACTTGCCTATATAGGCATAGGAATCCCAATGCCTATGAGCATATTTTTAACATTAATGTCTGGCTTAATGTCTGGTATCACTACACATTTCAAAGCTCAATTCAATTTTTTTTACATTTTTAGACCGCCTTATCACGTCAAAACATTTTAAAGGGTTTGACTGTTATCAAGTGAAATGACATTTTGTAGGCAATCTCATAAAAATTGTAATTAGCAAGGGCCCACAAACAACCAAAAGATAAATTACCAATCTATTCAACATATAGCACCTGAAATAAAATTAATGGAGTTTGCGGTGCATTGCAGCTTGCTTTAATTCTCTTGGTTTAATTCGCTTGGCACTATGTTTTCAACACTGCAGGGAAAGGATTATATATTGACTAAGGATGAAAAATTGCTTCCCACTAAAAAGACCATCAATATGAAACCTCCCTCAATTTTAAAAAAGTAGAACTATACCTCACTAAACCTGTAAAAGAATCAAGGATAATTTAAGATTGAATACTGATCATAATGCAAATGCATCCTACCGATTTAATACGGAGAACTGTTGTAAAGAAGGGTTAGGATGTATCATAAGTGAATACTGGAATAACAAAAAACAATATAAAATACAAATAATGTTTAATTAACTATTGATGTGTTTTTGTTGACAAGTGAATAATTTAAGACTTGATTACTGCATTCAATCAGCTACATTGGCTTTGTAAGCCATTTACTGAATTGCTAATTTAAAAACCTTGTTTTACCAGTAGAGGGCATTATGGTATTTTTCAGCCAGAGAATCGATCAGGTTTAAATCAATGCAACACACTGCTTTTTTTTAAGAAAAACTTTCTTTTCAACCTTTTTTGTTACTCCTTTGAAGGGCTCTGCCACAGAAATTACTCGTTTAGGTATACTCCTTTAGATGTACAATGAGGGTTGAGACTGTGAAGTTATGATTAATCAAATTCAGTGGTGTGATGAATAGGTATCATAATACAACAATGAATCCGCATCTGATTATTGGCAACATCAGCTTCTCTATGGCCTTCTCTCCTGCCTCCCCCTAACATCCCACACTGAAATTACTTTGTTGTCGCACTCTGCTTTGCTGGGAGCCAGATCCAATTAAGACAGTCAGTGGCAGACAGGTAAATAATTGCAATCTTTAAAATAACTGTTCCGTCATCTTGCAGATTTTTGCATTATTTAACATGTCACTGGCCAAGGCACTGAGATTGCTTTTGTACTTTTCAATTAATCTTGTGGCATAGTTATCCATGAGACCCAGCACACAATATCCTTTAGCTTCTCACACTGAGGTCACTTCAACAACACAGGGTTGGAAACGCATCACTGAGTATTGTACTCGGTGTTAGCTAGTAAAATCAAATTCACCTTTTGAGGAAACGAAGTTGGGGCCTTCTCGTTTCATCAAAATACTCAAGAGTATAGCATTGCTTTCGAGGCATTTGCACTCCTAAGAAACACACAATTGTATAGTAGTTAATATACAGGCACACATTAAGTTATGTTAGATTTGTAAAAAAAATGTCAGCTTTTACAGAAATATATACATATATGCAGATTTAAAAATAACAGCACATTGCACCTCAGGCTTAGAATTATACTTCAGTCTTAGAAACCATAACAATGCTGCACCAAGACTGCAGTATTATAGTAAGCCTTTTCAGTTTTTTTTACATACAAAAGTCCAATTAATTTTCTAATCATCTCCCCAATGGCATATGCCTGACTCCTGGTCTGACCTCTCCTGCTGAGGTGCCATTGCAAGAAAATATGACCGAAAGCACGAAGAGATAGGTCTCAAGACAGACCTCAAATAAGGCAAGGGAGAGAGGGAGTTGGAGGGACGACAGGATGGGAGCTCCAACGAATAGGAACAAAAGGTTGAAAGTCTGTCGGATTAAATACAATGTGCAGAACCATTGTTCTGGCAATTTGGTGAAATGCGGACGAGAGTGTTTGACACAATGCTAGACAGAACCTCAGAATGGGTCTATAATTTTCCCGCAGGCAGCAGCAATAAGTTTCATTGTGCTTGGTACGACTCTGTTGATGGAAAAGCGGTCAATAGATATTATAGTAAAAGGTTAAATTTCTTTCCTTACTTCCAGCTTGTGTAGGATTTCATCGGTGGATTTACTTTTCCAATCATTCATGTTTATCTCAGGCCCTTGATCTAGCTTGTAAATATTTACTGCACTTGCCCGTCGTTTCACCCTCGAGTGTGATGGAAATTCGAGCTCTTTAAAATGTACGAAATCTGGAATACTGCAAAAATAAAACCCTCAAGTAAATTCTACCAGAAAGAACACCCAATTATATGCAAACTTTTTTTAAAATGACAATACATAATAATCCATACTCTTCCTCTTCACTTAATCGTAGAAAGTCCAGCTGTTCCACTGTTGCTCCAGCTATTAAAGTCTGCAACACAAATAAAAATACATTTAAAGAAGTTCCGATATACGTGCAATATTTTGAACATTTCAGATTCCAGCAAATACTCAAAACAATTGATGAGGTTTCATCACAAATTTGTTTTCTCAAATACTAAAGTTGAACAGCAACAAATGAATAATGTGACATTAGCAGAATGCTTGTGGTTTGGCCACTGTGAGAGAGTGGGAGAGTGGAAAGTACAAGCATGACTTGCACTCTCCATTCCCTGGGAGAGCACAACCACACACAAATTATTTTTTCACACTATGAATATCTCTGGTATGATGTATTACATAGTCTACATTGAGTAAACCATATTGACATTCACATACCTGCAGTCTGTCAACACGAACCTTCACTCCTCCGATATTACCCTTTTTGAATGAAGCCAGCATGTCCAAAATGGGATTAAATCGGCTCCCTCTGGATAGATAATTGTTGAATTAATTTACATTCTTATCTAATATAGAAGTGGCACACAATAGCTCTTACAAATGAAAGAATGTCTTACTTTATGTTATCTTCACGGATCAAAACAAGGTATAGAGGACGTGTATTCATTTTCCAAGACTGCTTCATAAACTGTAGTGAATTCTGCAGAGGTAGATGGTTGGAAATATATATGCAGTAATTATTTTTTTAACGATCACCTAATGAATAATATATAAATGAATTAAATGGCAATTTTTACCAATTTAATTGTATAAAAACAAAATTGATAGGAAGAGAGAGGGAGTTCAAAATATATTTTTTTTGGTTAAGTAAAATATATACCATGCTAACTGGTGGTATAACAATTCTAATTATTGGATACACATGAGTTTTTAAAAATATTTTTCTCTGCTTATCATAACGATTAAGCAAAAATGAGTATTTCATAAGTTTGACCAATATAACGTGTCTAGCTTCAATTCTATTGGTGTAATTAAAACCAACAACCAGCAGTATTTGGTGAATACCTTTATGTCGTCAATCAGTATCAGCACATCTTGAGACATGTAAAAGTCACTCAAGTCGAAGACAAGAGAGAAACACACTACTGTCTTCCCCAAAATTCGGTAAATCTGAAGGGAAAAGGGAAGAAAATTTTTACCTTGTTTTCAAAGTCGAGATTCATTCTTCTGATAAAAGGAAAATATAACCCAGTGAATTAGCCTCAGTCACACATCACGGCAACCTGTTCCAGTCATTAATTAAACTCCGGGTAAATGTTCTGGGATATGTCCTGAAATTGTCTTTTGCCTCTCTAATCCTATGTCTTCTTGTTTTACTGTCTTGGTGCATTCTAAAGGATTGTTCTGAATGTACTTTTAACCCATTTCAAATTGTATTATTATTCTAATAATTAAATTTTATAAATCGCAATAAGTTTCCTCGCCCTCTCCTTGCCTCCTTCAAGGCCTGTTTCAAGACCTTCCTCTTTGACTGTGGCTTTGGTTATCTTCCTACCACCACCCCCTTGCCCTGCACCCCTCCTGATTCGAGCCCCCAGCTCAGATGCAAACCCTTGACTGCCCAGCACTTGTATCATACTGGATTAATGGATTATCAAAAGTTAAAATCCTTTCATTAATCATTTTCAACTTTCACTCCACATTTTACCCACAATGTACAATAAAGCAGCCAAAAATATCAGCATTGTGCCACATTTGAATCGACATATTGTACAATCGTTTGTTGCTATCTACACAAAACAGCAGTAGATTAAAGGATTGTCTGGTTTATGAGATAAGACTCTCTCTCTTGCATGTAGAAAATATTACTGAAATCAGTGCTGCTTAGAATTTCCAGCAGAGTACAGTTTGCAGTCAAAATGCTTTGAGATGTGTGTTGGCATAAATTCCAATTTATATTCCCTTAAATATTAAAAATGCAAGCAATAATTTATTTTGGCACACCTTTGTTTGATTAAATAAGGAGGAACTGAAGTCCTTTTTCTGAGCTGTGCCTGTTTCAGCTTTTCAACCGTTGCCATAGCAATTACTATAACTTGTGTCTTATCTGCTTCAGTAACTTGTTTTCTACATAGGTATACTGCACATACATGGGCTCAATAGATCAATGGTTACAGACCAATGACAGTTTAGCACAACTAGAGTGTACTGATAATGCTCGTCAGAACTCTAGAAAGTAAAAAAAAGACACAAACCACGTTCAGAATTTAAAACAATTTGACTTTTTAAAAAATATATATTTCTTCTACATTATGAAATTCTCATTATTATCAAATAATGTAAAATGTTTAAGGACCAATTGTTATTTTACAACCAAAAGGCTGCTCACCAATGACGTTCCAATATAGCCAATAGGCCTCTTCGGTCTGCCAGTCAGTTTAAGCTTTTTGTTAACACCCAAGACACTATAGGCCTACAAGTACAGTGTAATGAAGAATGTACGTTATACAAGCAATTATTTTTTAATATACAAACAAATACAATTGTTTCTCAGCTGCATGGATGCCTTATTTAAACGTATTTGTGACAGAGAAAGAGATGGTTTTGTTACTTCCATTCTTCCAGTTTATATTCTCTGCATTGTTTGCATTAAAATAAATAAAATATAGATGCAGCATATTTACAGCATATTTTAAAACCATATTTCAGCTCACATGAACTGTAGCACGTCTTAATTCATTTTTTAAATTGAATTAAAATTCATTTAAAAATTAAACTTTTTAAATGAATAAATTTATCATCTTCGAATTCAAACAGCAATGTGACACAATTTAAAATAAGCGATATTATGTCCATCATTGGCAAAATTAGTTCAGATGTACAGAATTTGATCAAATCAACAATTACAGAACATTAATATTACCATTGATATTATTTATGCATATTGCTGCTGTGAATTGGATAACTGCCGCTGTTGTTTGTCAGGAGGCAATATAGGATGCACTAGGAATGTAATCTTAATTAGACAGCAATGCAAACATCTCTCCATGTGTGACACTTAAAAGTGAACACCTGCAGTGTGCAACATCTTTTTACAGGGGCTCTGCATACTTTGAATGCAATGCAGTAAAAAAAGCTCTTGTGTTTACCTTTCCAATCTCCTGTTGAGGCCATATTTGGATTGGTTCAACTTGGTGAGGGGTCTGAGTTTGTATTCCATATGTGTTCAGAAAAACTTGCAGGCTATAATACAGAATGGTTGTTTATATATATATATATATTAAATATACACACAATATATAATATATATTCTTATACAAAATATGCAATTCTAAACAAATAAAATATGAGACAATTTTTCTGCAAGTAAAATTTAGATATAACTAAATTAGTATTCTCAGTGCAACAGCCACGAACTCTTGGCCGAAGAACAAATAACTGCTGCAGATGAGACAAGGCTTGTTATAGCTTGACTAATAGGCTATGCATCACGTACCGCTGGCTTTCAGCAATCAAGGCCACGTGAACCACCAAATCATTTTCAACAAGACTCTGAAAGACAGAGTGAAAGTGGGTAAGGCTCAGAACAAATCATAAAAACAAAAGTGCGGTATTATTAGCTAAAAAATGAAGACACTAAATGTATTGATTAGTCTGTTCTCTTGTATTATCTTGTATCTTAGAATGAATCAATTGTGCTGACAGAGCAATTCAGCACTGCACAAGCTAAAACCCATTAGTCTACCTAGCCAAAGGGGCTCATTCGAAATGCCATTTTGTATGATGCATAACTTTGTATTTAGAGCAATTCACTCTCGTACTATCATAGGAATGTCATGGTATGTTGCTGAATGTAATGGATCAAAACCATTTATAATGCACCATGCCATGCATTACTAATCAGTTTTTAACAAGTTCTAAAAGTAAAAGCACATTGTTATCATATATCGTGCTGTGTCAGAAACCCATGTGAATACTAAGAAAACATTGCTATAAAAATGACGAAGTTATAAAGTAATAAGTTATTATACTGCAGCATTCAATACCAATTGTTCTATTCTGTCGAGCTATTAAAATTCTAACAAATGCTATGATACCCACAGAATGTCATACTTTAGCTATGATTTCAGTATAAAATGTTGGCTCAATAACAATCTACATTGTGTATCCACTAACTATTAGAATCATAGGACATTTACAATACAGAAGGAGGCCTTTCAGCTTGTGCTCATGCAAGCTGCCACACTTGAAACATCCTTTTTAATTCAATTACCAGGCTCTTTCCATATAATTTTTAATATTATTTCTCAACTATTTATGCAACTCCCTTTTAATTGCTGTTGTAAACTTGGTTTCAACAGGCATCTGTGGTAAAGGATATCATATTCAAATAAGTCTTAAAAAAAGTAACATTCGTAAAAATAACAAGGCAATAAATAATCAGAATTTTTTTTCATGAGAACTGTTTTCTATGACTTCAAAAGTACTCATCATGTTCCTCTTCAAAAATTCTCTTATAAAAATAGATAGTTCTCAAAAAGGAAATGAAGTGTACTAGGGAATAAATAAGCAAGATGAAAACAAGTTCAGAGTAGGATTGTATGTCATATAAACCTCAGGAAAGTAAAGCTTTTAAAATTCAGGCACATATTTTAGGATGTTAAGCCCCATACACACACCATAGCTGGAGTTTCACAAGCTTGATTGTAAACCTTTCACTGCTGTGTAGTAAATACAGGGCTGTTTGAGAAGCTTTAGGAGAAGACGACAATACGATTACAAGTGAATAATCTGCTTTTATCCTTCAGATCTTCGCTCAGATAAACGTAATAAGCTACTGTAGTTAAAATCCCAAGGTAAATCAGACAGGCAAAAAGTGTATTGTATATTTCTGGAGACTGCTCAAGTATTGCCTTTCAAAGAGGAAAGTCGTTCGATATTTTAATGAAAATGCTTAGATCTAAAATAGTTATGTAATTATGTGACAAAAGGGAGAGTGAAAGAAAGAAAAGAAAATGGGTCAGTGAACATGACTGCATTACGAAGTCTTTGCACAATGTCTTTTATGTCTTTACATAAAATATTAAAGAGAAGATGCCATATCAAGCATGCTTCTTGCAGATATTTTACAACTCACTAAGCATTGACTATCACTTGAGAGAAAGTTCCTCAAAAATAGTTAAGCAAAACTTGAAAATATCTACTTATGCTTGCAGGTCTATTGTCGAAACCTGGTTTCTAAATTGCATTCCATGGTTAGAGCAGCACAGGAATTATTAATTATCTTTGTCCATATAAAACCAAACGCAATGAAGTGCTTACAATGTCATGCTAGTACAGATATTATAATCCTGTAAAGTTCATAGCTTTGTTATAAGTGAAAATCAGCTTGGCAAACAACCTCTCCACTTTTTTCCAAGCCTTTGGAGCTTAAAAAATTCAGTCTATGTCTTAACATGGTATGATCAATAGTTCGAACCGAAAAAGTATGATGAAATCATTCCTGCAGATAAATGGTGGTTTGTTGAAAGGACTGATGAGAATCTAAGAAAAATCTTGGGAATCATGATTCAGATTTTGGTGCACAACAATAATATTTGTGTTTGATATACCTTTCACATTGGGAGGACATCTCAAGCGCTTCACAGGATACACAGTGAAGTGTAATGATTGTATATTTTGTAGGTGAATTTGAGGCCAATTTGTACCCGGCAATATCCCACAAACAGCCACAAAATGAATAACCAATTTTATTTTTACAGTCTCCTTTAATCTTGGAGATAAGATTCTGGCGCCTTTAGAAGCTACCACAGCAGTAAGAAAAATGGAAAATATGAAAGCTAGAAGTGTGAAATAAAAATAACAGAAAGTGTTTGGTAAATGCTTCAGCAAGTTTATCAACCTTGGACAAAGATGCGTTGTGACATCCAAATGCTGAACAACCTGCGAGGCATTTTCCACATTCTCCATTTATTTTAAAAAACATAGTGTAAAAGAACTTAGCAGCCTATAAATGTACATCATCCTTTCCTAGCTCTATGAGATGAGATGAAAAAACTGCAATAGAAAATTTAATTTACGTGCAAGAAAGAAATGGTTTATGCAAAATTGCCCTTTTGCACAGTCCAAGTAAATCCATTCACAAACAGACGGGCAAATTGCTCAAGAACCTTCTCTTTTGTGTAGAATATACATATGTGATAATAGTTGGGTCAGTTATTCGGCTAATATATTCTCTAAGAAAAGGCTCCAATCTTGAGAAATCGAGTGATTCCTCAAGATCAGAACAAGGAACAAGCCAAGTAATTGCAATGATCAGAGAAATACCCCGTCCAAAGGTATCCTCAGAGAACACCGTGGAAATCCTTCAAAGGTCAGTGAAACTACTGAGAAGATTCAGTGATGGTGGTGGTGGGGAGGTGCACTATACCATTATACAGAGAGTCCTTTCATCTCTGGAGTATGCAGCCCATACCAATGCGATTTATTTCTATCTACCATGCTTAGGAGAGTCTTAAATAGTCCTAGATGCTGCTCCGCGTGAAGGACTCTACATAAATACAAATTGGTGCCGCCATTGTTGAATGTAATTGTTCAATGTGCTCTACATGAAATAAACAGCTTGATGCTTAAACTGCATGGTAAAATGCTTTATTCCCTAGCAGGAACATCCCTCATCTTTGTGTGGGTTCATCTCATCCCTTCTAACGCAAGACATGCACTGCCATTATAAGGTGCATCACCTATTTGCCTAAACGTGAACAGATGAAACTCAACACAACTAATGCTGACAGGTCTGAGTGTCAAACAATACCAGGAATTGAACAATTAGATTTTGGATCAATGCAACAGTATCCTGTTCAACCTCAATTCCTTTTGCTGACCTTTGCTGAAGAGGTAGAAGCTCTTTGAATAGTATTACTTTCTGACACATTTATTTTCAAAGTATCCTTTGAATTGTACACTGATGAGAAAAAANCCAGAGAAAAAAACATCTTTTCTGACTGTAGTTTTGCAACAATATACCTGCACAGAGGATTCAATGATACGCTCAGTAATTATTCCCCCATCTACCATATAGCGCATATATAAATGATACAGACTAAAAAAGATCATACCAGCCTGCTTTATTACTCAAGACAACATGACCATTCTTATTGGTGCTTTTATAATGTGCAGCGATTACAAACCAAGCTTCAGCAGGTCTGATTTTGACAGTATGCTGATTTGACCTGTTGCAGTATAAATGAAGTGAGTGTCAATTGATTCCAAGTTGGCTCCCAAACAGTTAATTAAAAGGCTAGGACAACTGTCTGTTGAACAATAAGTAAAAAAANTACTAACGTTGATTTTGGAGGTCAGCCCAAGAGCAAACCTCCATTATCATGCCTTAGTTTTTTCTAAAACAACTCAGACCAATACTATGCGGAACAGGAAGTTTAAACCAAGTGAGCAGAATAAACTGCAAAATGCAAAATATTGCAGATGCTGGAAATCTGAAACAAAAACAGAAGCTGCTGGGAACACTCAGTAGGTCAGGCAGCATCTACGGAGAAAGGAATGTGAGTCAACATTTCGGGTCCACGACCCTTCGTCAGAACTGGGGCATGTTGGGAGGGAGAGGCTTTTAAGGGTTAACAGAGAGGGGGGAGGTAGGGCAAGGAAGACAAAGGAGAAAATGAGGGTAGAGGACAGGGCACGATGGGTTAAAGAGGTGTTAATGATGCAAAACAAAGGGGGCATTGCAACAAAGCAGGGAAATAGAATAATTCTCCATAGAATAAACTGCAGTTGCACGCAGTAGTGTTGACCTTAACAAGTTACCTAAAGTATAAGTCGATACTTAGAAGTCAGGAATTAAAATTGCTCTCTTTTGTTGAATGATTCATTTGGAGGAAACGTCTTTGGAACAACAGCCAACTGTTAATGGTCATTTTTATAATAACTTTGTTAGTAAGCCACAAAGGAGCACAAAGCGATTGATCATTACTAGCTTCTTTACAGCAAAGTGGTAGCAGTGAATTGGTCTATCCACGATAAAATACCAAATAAGAGCTGCAGTCGTTCATCAAAACAAATATTTGAAAAGAAATGTGTCAATTTGCACATAAATTTTGCATGGTTGATTCAGATAAAAGCAGGACTTTACCACCCTTCCTCGCAATCTGTTCCAGCTGTTCATTACTCCTGGTGCACACTGACATCGTGTAATTTCTTGTAATCAACTATGGATTATCATTTGAAAAAAAACTGTAGTGAATACATTACAATCATTTAGCCACATTACCCCAAGAACTCGTTTTATCAGTATACTGCCAGGGATTGACATATAAACTGTGTTGTTAATATATACATAGAAATGAACGCTTACAAATGGAATGCCAGGCGTTAAACTTATATCTTCTACCATTATCACACCTCCCAGGAACATACCTTCCAGAACACACATAATAGACAAAATGTCCATCACAATATATTCAGTTTTGCCAAAGGCTTTAGCTATGAACTGTTGTTAAAGGAGACAATAAAGTCTGTTTAGTTAAGTTGCTTAATGTACTGGGAACAATTTGGCACACCTTTTTACAACAGTATGAAAGTGTGAAGAATTAAGTTATGAATTATTACAGTATACAAGTTATAAGCTTTTATTTTAAGTGAATGACACCATGTAACTGCAAGTCATTAATAACAGTCGAGCAATATGAACTGTTTTAATAATGTATTCCGTTCTGTACTACAAAAGCAAGTTGACTTTTCAGGTTAAAAGTATATTGACGTTACAGTCAACTGAGATTATCATGTGTGACGCGTACATATTTTAACACTGACATAATGTCTTTAAGTACTTTATCATCTTGATATTTTGGCATGCTTCATAAATGTTTTTCACAATTTTCTCTGATCTCTCTTGGGAATAATAATCTGTTGTATCTAGGAAGCTTCCTCCATTGGTTCCACTCTAATTTCTCCAATCGTCTCCAAGTCTGAAGTTCATATTCAAATTATTATTAATGATAATTCTTGTATTTGATAACAGTGCATTTGATAACTCCCAATATTGGGAGGACATCTCAAAGAGCTTCACAGGATTTACTGTAAAGTGTAGTGACTATGTTTGGTAGGCAAAGGTCACCAACATACTCACCAAGTGGTGAAAATAATACATCTATGGTTATCCATGCAACTTCAATAAAATGATGCCTTGCCATCTAATTTAAATGTTACAAAGACTGAATTCTTCAATATGAACAATAGTTGCTAGACTGATGACACAATCTGTTAACATCCTCATTCTAATTACAGTCTGCTTCCAGCATAATATTTTTAATATAATATCGGTAAAGTGTCTTTCACTTCGGGACATCCCAGGTGCTGAAAGATCAGGGATTAGGACCTAAGTGGGGGGTTTGGATCAGGGAAGGTGGGGAGGGCAGAGAGGGCGGCCGAAGAGGAGGGTCTTGAGGCGTGCCTTGAAGGAGGCAAGGAAGGAGGCGAGGCAAAGGCAATGTGGGATTGAGTTCCAGAGGGTAGGGGCAGAGAGGCTGAAAGCCGACCATGGGGCGAACCTGACGGGGGATATGGAGCAGGCCGGAGCCTGCTGAGCAGAGGGAGCGAACAGGTTGATTAAATCATCTGAAAAGAAGATCCCCTATGAAGCATACCAATAATCTTATCCAAAATTGATCTGCATTAGACATATTGATCCATAATACTTTACTAGTTTGCTTTAGTTTTCAAATTAAATATGCATTAAGGGCTTGAAGCATCATATAGAGAAAATGCACTGGCAAAGGGATAGTATGACATGAGTCATGAACTCGAACCTGCATTGCAGTAATTCTGAAACACTAATGTTTTCAGGATAATGGATATTTTAAACTGCACCAGTGAATATTACTGCTCAATTCTCAACTAAATGAGTATAGTTATTAAAAGAAAAAAAACAGAACTGTCGAGATGGAAAAATCTCTGGGATCATAAAAGTTAGTATTTTGAACAAATTGGTTTGTTGCATTGATAATGCCTTCCTTTCCGATTTACTGCAGCCATGAAATGGGCATCTATTTTTCACTGATCGCTAAAAAATAACCAGGTTTCTGCTGCATCTTTACAATGGAAAAACATGTTCCAGCTTAACTGAGTTTAAAGATTTCATTTCAAACCTTCACTTAATTTGCAAATTATTTAAAACCATTAATGGTATTGTGATACACAGACAGATGGGCAGCCCAGCAGTGAGAATCAACAACAACAACAAGCACTTATATAGCGCCCTCCATGCCAGGTGGCATCTCAGAGCGTTTAACAATGGTGGAGCCCAAGGCCGAGCCAGTGGGAGTGGGAAGGTGACCAGAGGCACGGTCGTAAAGGAAGGTCTTCAGGCGCGACCTAAAGATGGGGAAGGAGGGGGCAAGGCAAAGGGGTTGAAGGAGGGAGTTCCAAAGTTTCGGGGCGTAGTGGCTGAAGGCATGGCTGCCGATGGTAGAGCGGAGGATTTGGGGGACGTGGAGGGGGCTGGACCCAGTAAAGCTGAGGCAGCGCATACTGCTGTGGGGAGAGAGGTTAGAGAGATAGGGGGGTGCCAAGGAATGGAGGGATTTTAACACGAAAGTGAGGATCTTGAAGTCGATCTGCTCTGCCAAACTCACCTGGCTCCCTGTCACAAAGACTGGAGTTATCGGGGTACGAAGTTTGGTGCAGGTGAGAATGTGGGTGGTAGAGTTTTGAATGAGCTGGATTTGGTGAATAGTGGAGGAGGGGAGACCGGCGAGGAGGACATTTGAATATCCAGCCGAGAGGTGACAAAGGCATGGACAAGGGTTTTGGCAGCTTTTGGGGTGAGGTATCGTCAGAGACGGGCAATGCGGCGGAGATGGAAGAAAGCAGTGCTGGTCAGGGACCGGATGTGGGGGAGGAAGGATAATTGTTGATTGAACTTGACGTCTAAGTTGCGCACCGGTTTAGAGAGTTTTAAGGACAGGTCGGGTAGGTTGAGGATGTAGGAACTGTGGGACAGAAGACGTCGGCAGTAGTGAAAAAGCATGGCTTCCATCTTGCTGACGTTTAACTGCAGGAAATTTGCGCTTATCCAGCTCCTAATATCCGACAGACAAGCTGACAGAACATCAGGGGACTGGGGGTCACAGCTGAAGGTGAAAATGTAAAGTTGAGTGTCAACTGCATACATGTGGAAGTTAACCCTATATCTGCGGATAACATCGCCGAGAGAGAGCATATAGATGAGGAAGAGAAAGGGGCCAAGGATGGATCCTTGGGGTACCCCGCAGTTGATCGGGTGGAAGAGCGAAAATCGCGACCAGGTGGAGAGTCCCTGAAAAACACATTCTCAATAATAATGCAGACGAAGTGACAGAATTCGTCCATAGTATTCTTCAGTAGTAAACTCATAGTATTTCACTTAAAAATGTTAAATTGCAGGTTTGATTCAGATGATCATAAAAGGATCTGAAATAATAGGTTTTCAAAGCAGACATACTTCACTCTTGTGGTCTGTTTATACTGTGATATTAGCAGCTTTTGAAGAAAATGAACACTTTCTACAAAAAAAGTCAATGTGCAATTTATCGTCTCCACCTTTTTAGTCAAATATTGGATTTATGTCTTTGAGACTAACCTGGTTGGAGTATCTCAATCTCACACTTCTCTGTTCATTTTGAGGTATATAGCGTCCCACAGGGTCAAGATCCTTAGGGCTGATCAATTTGCTCACTATCAGGAAGAAACAATGAAAATTACTGAGTAAAATTACTCAAGTTAAATAATACATTTGATTTTAATGGTCACTTATTGCTTTTGGTGCAAGCTTTACATACCTTCTCGGAATACTCTCTCTCCAAACTGGTGACAACTATGGCGACTTCACCTCTGCCACATCACCCACCTCTGCCCCTATCTCACACTCAATGCCGCTGAAAAACTCAGCCTTTGTTCCATCCTGTTTAGACGTTTTCAACACACTGCTCACTGATCTCCCGAGCTCCACCATTCACAAGCTGTAATTCATCCCAAACTTCACCGACCACAACTTTACCTATATAAAGGGTGCTATATAAATGCAAGCTGTTGTTGTTTGTAACATACCAAATGGAAAATATTCACAAATTCACAATAAACACAAAGATGTTCCTTCGGCCAATTTGATCTAAACCTTCCAGAATACCCATGATAGCATCAAGCGGTTTCTTAAATGACCCTTGCTGGTAATCTGTTCACGGAACACAATTAATTGAAGCAGTAATGGATCTTCAGCAACAGAGTAGTTATAAATAAGACCGACAGCTGGATTGAAAGATCAGACATTCCCCAAGCAGAGGTAATAATGCACCAAGAAACATAGCAATATGTAGGACTGAAAATGCTCATTAGAGCCTGTCTGACCAATCTCATTTTGAATATCATCTCTTCCCATGAATCCCCAAAACCTTAGAAAGCAAGAATATATCTAATTGCCATTTGAATTTGCTCAAAGAATCCCCATCCAGTTCCACAGATAAATCAGTGAAAAGTAGTTGCTAAATGATTTTTCACACTTTTCCTTCTAAATACATAGTGACCTACGTGTTATAGACCGACTAACCTTATTCAATAAAACATTGTGGTCTTGCTTATTTATATTATTTAACAGCTTCAAGATATCAATATGATCACCCCTCAAACTCCTCTTCCCCACTGCAAGCAGGTATCTATTCTCATAGCTGAAAATTTGAAAATTCCAATTCTTTGTAATTTGGATATAACGAATATATCATTCGTCATATTTTCTCTATTTCAAGGCCAAAGTTAAAAATTCTATTTAAAGCAAAAGAAGAAAAGCTAAAATGGAGCTGGAGTGTTATGTGCTACAAGGCTTTAAAGTGGGTATTTTATATTTAGTGGCACACAACTAAATTGGTTCAATGGAATAAGTATGCTTACAGGATATCTAAAATAAATAAAGGTTATGTTCTCCTTGGTATTTTTCCAAAGGGGTACATTTGTCCTATTCTGCCTGCACAGGTTGAGAGGAAAATTAATTAAAATTAATGCACTTAATAAAAAGTACTTTACTTACCGAGTAACTCTGAAATGAGGTAAAGGGCCTGTGCCCACAAGAAAAGTTTTCCATCCCTTCCACTGTTGCTCGCATAGCGTCGCTGGCTCCCAGGAACTTCCTTTTCTTGATCAATCAATTCACTTGGTACATAGTAATACTTTGGTATCACGTAATAGCCTGAGGAGTTAACCAGATATAAACCACAACCATAGGTACCATAAAACTCATTCATATTCTAACCAAATGAAGAAACTTATATTCAAAACAAGAATCTGGCTAAACGAGTTGCATCCGAATTTCAATACAGTATCCCTTATAATAATACAATACAGCATTCTTGTACTGTATTCCTGTACTGGAATATTGTACAGTATATAGTATTCCTTCTGCCATTCTCACACATACTGCCGATTAGCTTCATTGCAAATACAAAGCTTCTTATAAAATGACACACTGACCCTTTGCTGGTCCAGTGACTGCATCTTTACCAGAGATAAGTCTTTTCATTAAACTATTAGTTTCTTTTGAAAAATGTTTTTTTTTTGGGGGGGGGGAAGAAGAAACAAGCATGGAACCATACAGGTAAAGGTTACTCATTAAATCATAACATCAATAAATTCTATGAAGAATGCCTCTTTCGATTAGCAAATTATACATTTCAATGAATTATCTTTGTGTCTTTTTCTCACCATGTGCCAGTCCATACACACACATAACAATGAGTCACTAAGCAGTGATTGAAAGTGGAAATCTTGGTTGATTTTTTTTACCCTTCCCAGCTCAAGAGGCACCAACAAACCAGAATTTCATCACCTTCAAAAATTCATTTTACAGAATCCTGAGCATGAAATTTTTCTAAAAGCTTCATCTATAATTCAGTTCAAAGAAGCAGCATGTACTTTTGGGGCTATTTTCTGTACTGTATTTTAGTACTGTATCTGTAAACTGAGATGGAAGAAATCGTCTTGCGAGCTTCATTTGAAAGCGATTCCACATAAAGCAACAGACAACCGCATCAATCATCTTTACAGAGCACAATTTTCTTTTCAAGCTCGAAATATGTTCACAGAATCTCAGCAATAAGTCTACAAGCATCAAGCCGAATCCCTCTGGAAATGTATTTTGCACTCTCACTTCATTTTGGAAGAGACCAATTTCACTGCAGCATCTTATGCAGAAATATTCATACTTTATGTACTAGAATATAAATAGCCTAATTTAAAAAGTGAAAATACATTGGGTCAATTTGGTGAAGTCCAGTGATGGTCACTTTATATTACAAGGTACTTGCCAACTTTTTCAAGAGTATTATTGTGGAGGTGGAAGTAGGGAGGTACTTACAGCAAATGACTATTTTGATTACTGTACTGTAACATTTCTCTAAAATGTCTTCCACTTGATTTGAAAACCCTTTCCTTACATTCACTTGAAAATTCTGCACTTGTCAAATTCTGGCATATAATCAACAGAATGACACTTTATTTTAAATTGAGCAATGGCACTCAGAATCAAAGCAGTTGATCTCCACTGAACAGTTGTAATCAATAGCTGATCTGCTGGTGGCAGCTGTGTATCTCTATGAACCAAATTGTTTGGGGAGAGCAATTCTTCGCATTGAAAGTTGTCCTCCAGGCAGGAATGTTCTATTTTTGTATTTACCCATTTTAATTCTGAGTTATATATAAACATACAGTATTACCTACCGATTGATTTAACTAAGGGAATTATATTTTCATATAATTCTAAATATTAGTGTAGTGAGATTTTATTTAGACAAACTTGACATGAAACCCAAGGCTCTATGGCTCTGCTCAATTATCAGTCAGGGCACTTAAAATCTCCTCTAGTTTATTGGAGGCTTATGTTGTTTTTCCCATTGTGGACTTACTGCCGATTAGAATCCTGACTTTATTCATAGTAAGTGGAGGATAACTAATGATGAAGAAATACTGTATATTATGCAAAATAACAGATGTATATGGACAGGGCTATCAGATGGTCTATGCTCTTGAGACTCAGATGATATATAGATACACTGAGTACATGAGGCACTTATTTGATAACAGACCATTTTCTCCAATCTTGCTGTTGCTCATGACTGCAAAGCTGATTTAAGAGACAAAAGATACTTCCTGGCAGAGTAGCAATGCACGTTGGTACACATGCAGTAAATTGAAATCAGGCATTTGTTTTTCAATGTTTAATAGCTGCACTTTAAAAAAAATAACTGGATAGCACAAGAGTTTTGGGCAGAACACGAGCAGGAAGCCTAGCACCATCACCACTCATCATATTTGAAATAACTAAGAAGAAAGGGAGAGTGTGTGTGTGTGAGAGAGAGAGAGAGGGAGTGTGTGTGATCTGAGATATACAACGAAGGAGAAGGAATAATAAGAACTTACAAATCAAGAACCCGAGGGAAACATTCCTTATTAAGATAATAATCTCTTGCATTTGATATAGCGCCTTATCATGTCTACGAGATGTCTCAAAGTACTTCACAGAATATACTGTAAAATGAATTGACTGTATATTTTGTGGGCGAAATGCAGCAGCCAATTGCGCACAGCAACGTCCCACAAACAGTCGTGGATTGAGTGACCAAATTATTATGATCATTATTTTTTGAAGAGATTATTACCCCCAGAAACGCGATCCACCAATTGACTAACAACAGGTTCCTACTTACTGCTAGGTAAACAGAGGCATGTGAAGTAAAGAAACTTGCCCAACGTTTTGCCCTGCCCTGGAATCAAACCCAGGCCCTCTCGCTTGCGAGTGCTCTAACCACTGAGCTACAGGACTCCAAGGAAGATGACTACAGGCATGAAGTAGGCAGAAATAGATGATAATAATAATAAATACATCTTAATCATGTTTTAGTCACTTGGATACAATACCATCCAAGGGTAAATACATCACACCTATTAAGTGATGTTAATACAGTATACGACATTGCATTTGAGTTCCAGGTCTTAATTCAGACAACAGTATGGATTATTATTTCAGGCAGAAGAGAACAATTTAGACTGAAAATATTCAAGAGTATTTGTCTGAAGATCGTCTGCTAAACCAAATTTAACTGAAACTTTTAAAAAGGGGAGTTTTATTTATTTCAAATGGCTTATATTTGGTTCATTTTTTGTAGCACCAAATTGGAAATAATTATTTTTTGCAGATTTCTCAGTTTCTTGTAAAGAACATGACAAAATAGGTGCAAAGAGACATCCTCGTTCTGCAGGGTTAACCAACAGTCACAGATTTATGTGATAAAAAAATCATTATGGCTTTAAGACAATTTACCAATCAGTAATGAATCTGTCATATTCACGGTTAACAGAATTACATTGTATTCTATTAATGACCCGGTTAGCTTACTATCAGTTGCTGGATCAGTTTCATCTGAAATATGAAATAACCCTGCTGGGACCTCTCCCCGAACTCAGAAATTCTAATAGCCTAACTTAAATGAGCCGGAACAGAGCACTGTCAGCTTTTCAGATGCCATCACTTTCCCAGGAAGCTGAATGCAAGTTTGACTGAGAATTCAGGACGCAGAATAGACAAATGATTGTTAGGCTCCCCCGGTGAGGTGTGGTGGGAATGTGCCACTTGAGGGGTATGGCCACTAACAGAATATTTTAAAACATAAAGATAAGTAAGCTGAACTGCAAGTAACATCGGTTAATCTAATCCACTTGCATCTCAGATACTAACTTGAATTTAAAGTGCCGTTAGATGAAATCTGAACACACTTTTTTTTAATATCTTCAACATCTTAGTGTTTTTAAAAGAGACCATTTAGAGATTCAAGCAAACTGCATAACAGAGGAAAAATATTATTGGTCATTAAGAAGGCAATCAGTGGCTCGATGAGTTTGGATGTCCCATTTTGTCTCTAGGCCTGCGTGGGATGAAAGTCTCGTCTCTCTGCGAGGGATTAGGGTGATCTTATGACACTAGCTAATGTGGTCTCAACCCAAAGTACAGCAAAAACACTCTGCCATGAACATAATGTGTCAAAAAATGAGGATCTCACTTAGAAATACCATAAGCCTGGTTTCAGAAGTGCTTAAATATATGTGGTACAGTAGCTGTGCTCTTCTGCAGTTGGGAAGTTGAAATTCATGCTTTGGGATGCAGTGAAGAGAGACCTTTATTTTGAATGTTAACCAAGGTTGCTTTTGAGTAACCTTACCTTCATATGTCTGGAGAATCAAAGGTTTAAGCAGGTTCTGATAAGTCTCAACTTGGTGAGGTTTTTCCCTAAACACGCCTGAAGAATACAAGAAATGATCATTTTTAAAAGAAACAATGTTTGCGCTACAAACAAATGTATGCAACGTTTTCATTCACATGGACAGTCAACACGCAATGTTTATTATTACTGCAACTGATTTATTCAAACAGATTCCTACATTAATCAATTGTTTTAGATTTTCAGGCTTCAATATTGCACTTATTTTGATAACTCGAACACAGCAAACGACTGATACAAACTCTTTATAAAGCAAGAATGTAAGACAATAAGACAACTCGCAATTTCCCTCAAATCAAGCAGTCGTCAATTTTTACTCACCGTCAATTATCATATAAATATAAAACAGAGGAAATTCACATTCAATGCCATCAAACAGCTAGGAAAGAAAGAAAGACGGATGAGTTAATGTTCCTGATTTTAGGCATTGCAGCTACTTCATAGCAGCTATATAGTAGCCTTTTGTTAAGTATAAGTAGCAACATTATGCACAATTACTGGTTATCAGTGTATTAGATCCAAACTCACCATTTATTTTATCTGTGAAAATAATACTGAACTACATTCCACAGAAATTAACCATTCAGCGATTTAAAAAGAATGACTTTCCTCACTAAAATACTCCAATGAAATAAATCATATTGCTTTATTAACATTAAGAGACATAACCAGAGGCTAATAGAGCAAGGCAAGACATTTCTTGAATTTAACCAAGGTCATTGTTGGGAATATTACGAAAAAGTATATCAAAACACAGAATTCGCATTGCTCTGTGCTGCTACAACCCTAGTTGGCAAATAACCATTAACATAGGATTTAAACTGCTGCATCCACATGAGAGATCTATAGCGCAGGAAAACCATTTATAATGCTGCAGGGGATCACAGAGCTTCCAAAAAGTGGTATTAAAATACAGAAGGTATTGCACTGGAAGCAGGGTGAATTCTGAGTTCCTTCTGAATGGAATTGAGTGAATTCATTGATGCACGACTACCACCACCAACAACAAAATTACATTTGTATAGCGTCTTTCACGTCGGGAGGATGTTCCAAGGAGCTGGACAATCAATGTTTCGGACCCGAGCTGGGGGTTGGGATCGGAGAGAGTGGAGAGCAGGGTGGGGGATGACCGAAGACAGGGTAAAAGAGGGTCTTGAGACGGGTCTTGAAGGAGGCAAGGGAGTGGGCGAGGCAGAAGGACTGCGGGATGGAGTTCCAGAGGGTGGGGGCAGAGTAGCGGTAGATCTGCTCACCAATGATGGGGTAGGTGAGGCGAATGATGTGAAGCAGGCTAAAGCCCGCTAAGTGGAGGGAGCAGGCAGGTTGGTAGGGGGTTAGCACTTGCAGAGGTAGGGGGGAGCAAGGCCATGGAGGGCTTTGAAGGTGAGGACCAGGATTTTGAACTGTATCCTCTGTGTGATGGGAATTACCATTGCTTATTTAACATAAGATGAATTACTCCAATGAAGACTTGTTAATTCAAAATGTGTTCTGAATTGCACAATACAATGTAATGCTGGTCATTTCCATTATGATGAATCTTTAAAATGTTCTTTAGGAAAGGCTTCTGTCTGTTTTACCGTTAGTGCAAACACCAGGATATTTAATTTGGCTGCTTGATTAGCAGCAATCCTCAACTGAAATAAGATTTCCAAAGAATAAGCATCATCATTTTATCCTGGAGGATTATCATCTGGACAGCTGAAGTTATTTTTTCAGTCCATGCTGCAACAGAGTTTCTAGAACTAAAATTGGGTCCACCAAATTATTCACATTCACTTCAGAATGACCAAAGTGTCCAAGGTAGGAGATTTTCCTGACAGCAGTTTAAGCTTTGTACAGGAATTAAGTTATGAAATCAGATTTCCACTGAATGGAAATGAAAAGCCTTTGTTCTATGATAGCGAAATGATAACATGGGAGATAATTCTGTGGTAGATAAGTATTGGTATATGGTAAGAATTAAGGTGAAGACCTAGAGAGTGTGAAATGGTTCTGTTTTGTATTTTGTCAATTCTATAAAAATCAACTGGGGGGTGGGGGGGAACTGTTCAGTTCTGATGAAAGATCTTATACAAATCATTAATATACTCTCCTCGTTCAGATGCTGATCAACTTCCTATGGATTCCTGGTTTTATTTCAGATTTCCAGCATTCAGTTTTTCCTCTTTTTTTATTCTTAGCTTGAAGCTCCTAATTACAAACTGGAAATATGTGTGAAGACTGGCATTAAGTGTTTATCATAGCAGTGCCAAGACAAAAGCTCACAGTGGTAGGCAATTCAACTTTGAAAGTTGATCTTTTTTTCTTATGCAAAACTAAAAATTTGCATTTCAAGATTATTGAAAAGACCTGCTAAGCAAATGTGCCAAAAAACAGACTTCTTGGCTTTCTAGGCCAAGAACAAATAATTCTAATTAAGAACAACAGAAATCTCAGGTACAGGCAAAGGAGCTGCCAGAAGACTTTCTTAAAAGTGTATCAAAGAGAAAAACTGTGATCTTTCAATCCTGCAGTCAAGCGGTCAATGAATAGGAACAGATGAAAATTAAAGCATCATCTTAGGGTACCGTAAAATAAAGATCGATTATGAAGGTTGGGTGCCTCAGGCTCAGTTAACATTGTACATACCGGAGACTTGATGGTTTTAGAGATACAGCATTACCAAGAGGTGTTTATGTGCTATCAAGCACTTTTGCAATGACTATTTAGGAATAATTTTCAACAATTTAACATTATTGGCAGCAAGTAGCTGATTGAAAACTGCAGTAAACATTCCTCTTCAGTTTAGTTGCATATAAACTGAGAAAAACGAGAACATCTTGACAAACGCCTGCAGCACATGAATTTTCTTTGGTGATGAGCCAACGTGATTAAATGTTCCGTCGAATCCTGCTGAAAAATGAGAGCATTGCAACAAACTAGTGAGAAACAAGAGTGCAGCACTAAGTAACAACAAGCTTTGCAGCAGATTCCATGGTAAGAAAATTTGTTTGAGAAACTGAATCTTGGCAATGAATAACAGCAGAAGATGACAATGATTCAGCACATTAATATGAGAAATAACAGAGCTTGATGAGCAATATATTGCACTGCATCAACAGCAGTTGACTGCAGTCTTATGTTTAAAGTTCTGTACTCTATTATAAAGAAATATCTAGAGGAAATACTGAACAAAGGAAAGGTACATAGACGTATTCCAGTGGGGACAGAGATAAGAAGGTATAATTGAGCCAAACGCTTATGCCTTACACACTTCTGAGATACTAGCGCAAGCAGAACTAGCTGTTATCCTAATGGCTGTGAATTTATTGTCCTTATGCTCCCTGTATCAGGAATTTGTCTTTGGTTAGAAGACAAGAACCAAACTGACTGTGAAGCCTATAAAAAAGATCCAAATATTGCAAGCATCCATAGAAGTCCTCAAGAAAAAAATGATGCATTTATAATCTCCACAAGGAATAACGCAGATATTCTAATAGAGCAAAAAAAAATCAGCCATTCTCTGCGAGGAATGAGTTTCACTATCAAGTGCTGAAAGAACTGAGAGCTTTGGAAGTGTGGGACAGGATTCCTCTGAGAACCCACAGCACAACAGGAAGCTCATCACCATGCTCCAAACCAAACAGAGTTAACCCACTTACAGATTGAAATTCCTTGTAGGGGAATGCATAGGACTCTCAGTTTGGATACTCTTAAGCATTGTGATGGGCTTCCGCCTATGTGGAACTGACCAAAAATAAAAAAGATCAATAACAACAATAACACTACTACATTTACAGGGCGCCTTTCACGTCGGGAGGATGTCCCAAAGCGCTGGGCAGTCAGGGGCTGGGACCCAAGCATGGGGGTGGGGTGGGGTTGGGGTGAGGGAAGGCAGAGAGATGGGAGAGTGACCGAAGGCACGATCGAAGAGAAGGGTCTTGAGACCAGCCTTGAAAGAGGCAAGGGAGGAAGCAAGGCGAAGGGACTGTGGGATGGAGTTCTAGAGTGTGGAGGCAGAGAGGCTGAAAGCTCGGCCACTGATAGTAGGGCGGGTCGGGAGGGAGACATGGAGCAGACCGGAGCCCACTGAATGGAGGGAGAGGGCAGGTTGGTAGGGAGTCAGCAGGTCAGAGAGGTAGGAGGGGTCAAGGTCAAGGATGGCCTTGAAAGTGAGGATGAGGATCTTGAATTCGATCCTCTGAGGGATGGGGAGCTAGTGGAGTCGGGCGAGGGTGGGAGTGATGGGGTCACGGAGTCTGGTGCGCGAGAGTACACAAGTTTTTGAATGATTTGCAGCTTGTGAAGGGAAGAGTTGGGAAGGACGATGAGGAGGGAGTTTCCATAATCAAGCCTTGAGGAAATGAATGCGTGGGTGAGGGTTTCGGCAGCCTGAGGGGTGAGGCAGTGGCGGAATCTGGCAATGTTGTGGAGGTGGGGTAGGTAGTGCCGGTCATGGCGCGGATGTGGGGGAGGAAGGACAGTTCAGGGTCAAACAAGACACTCAGGTTGATTGGTTTTGTGAGGTTGAATGTTTTGAATAACAACAACAACAACAAGATTCCATTTATAAAGCGCCTTTCACGTCAGGAGGACGTCCCAAGGCGCTGCACATTTGGGTCATGACCCGAGCAGGGGGGAAATGGTCAGGGTGAGGGAAGGGAGGGAGCGAGGAGGGGGGAAATGGTCAGGGTGAGGGGAGGGAAGGGAGGGAGCGAGGAGGGGGAAGAGAGTCGAGAGGGGAGCTGAAGGCACGGTCAAAGAGAACTGGTCATACAGAGGTTAGAATAGATCCAAAGGCTAGCTCTGTACTCTTACAAAGCTAACGAGGAGATTAATTTACAATATTATAATTTAAACCATAAAAAAACTGGAAACAAATTAAGGGATATTAATACAGTAGAAATGAAATTATTTGCACCTTGATCTCTGCTGGTTTATAGTACCATCTTGATCGGTCCTCCAATCCTGATCTGTACCCGTCTCTCAAAAAGCGTTTGAATCCATGTTTCCCCTTCAGCTTGCGAACAATCTTGTCCATGGTTTGATCATATACAGCATCATCATCCACTGCAAATGCAGGGTAACTTATGCATGGCAGCAGAGCAGAATCTGTATTCTGGGGAACAGATGACAAAATGATAGAAGATCATGTCGACTATCTCCACATCTCACTGCCATCACTTTGCAGCCAAGTAATAATTCAGATTCATGCACATTGCAATACGTGAATTCATGTTCACATTAACAGATGCTATGCTTGCAATATTTAATGAAGCATCTAGTCAACAAAAGCATTTTTCTCTATATAAAAAAAAGGAAAATGTTTACCAGAATGACAAACTGTGGCTCTGGCAAAACTACACCACACTATTTGCACTGAAGCAAAACACCCAGGTCCACGAGACAATTATAGTCTGTTATCAGATACAGGTCAGTAATTACAGCTCCACTGCACTTAAACAGTATTGAAATTCTGTGGCAAATTCCAGTTGCTTTCGTCTCCGGAATGAAAAGGGATGTCACAGATACAAAAGGTCAAAACATTCGGTGCCCGAGCTGAATATGTGATATCATTGTGCACGCGCAAAGCCTTTAGATGTTTATTTTCCTGTATGCGGCTACCAAAATAACAGCAGTGGACATGTGGAGAAAAAAACTGGGAGCAAAGTCACCTATTATACAGACACACCGCCCAGCCTCTACTACCATTATTTTGGAAGCGGTTATTGGGAAGATAAACTTCCGATGGTTTTCAGTATGTAATGTGCGGTGGAAAAGACCACAAAAATAAATTCCTGAGGATATGTGGTGCTGAACTCATCTTATTAGCATTCTGTTTCTAATGACTTGGAAATTATTTGTTACACCATTTGTTGTCCGAACCATATTTTTATTGTTTATTTTACTGAATAATTAGAAAAATTCAGCGCAACATCTGTTTGTAGTACAACAGTTCCAAGAAGGTAATTTGTCTTATGTCACTGCTCTTCATGGTGCTGCAGCCAAGCAAATCTCTTAATGTCACAATTCATTCCCTTAAAGAAGTTAGCGCATTGCTAACACACATCTTTCCCACATCCAATGACCAGAGTTTGACTCCATTAATGTAACACAACTCAATCATAGATTTTCATGAGCTTCAAACATTATATGATTTTGGAATTATTTCACCCTAAGCGCCACCTCTCAGTTCCCTGCAGCGCACACATCTGCCCACATGCACATTAGCCACAGTTGCCTTTGAAAGGGGATGATTATTCTCACCTATTTACGCTACTGCAAACATTCTCTCCCCACCACACAGCATTAGATAATTCCAATCCTAAAATCAATCAACTTCAAGCTGTGGAATGAGTGGGTCCAGAGATTGCCATAATTTTCAAATTAAGTTTGATTTGGTAAAATCCGAACAATGCGAAGGGAGGGACTACCAAATCTGAGGGTATGGATGAGTAGATGATATATTGCTCAAAAATATAGACCCATGTTTAGCTATATGATAGCAACAAACGGATGCACACTTTTCCCAAAATAACCAGTTAGCTCATCAACATAGCCAGGGAAATAAAACAACTCCTTCCATTGCAGCATCAGGAAAAGAAATGCATAACTAATTAACTTATGGCTTGTTATTCACCTCTCATCAAAGTTTGGATATAATAATAATAATCCTTGCATTTGATATAGCGGCTTATTACGTCGAGACATCTCAAAGCGCTTCACAGAATATACTGTTCAGTGAATTGACTGTATATTCTGTGGGTGAAACACAGAAAGAGGTATCTATAATGCAAATTTCAAAACTGATCACCTTATTAGCTTGTGAATATTAAGTTGAATACTGGTTTCAGACATATTTGGAGGCACTCAACATAATAATAAGCAGGTTGTCAGAATATGCAAGGTATATGATAGCAAAATGAATTGCTGAGTTGTACAGCTCTGGATCTGTGAACCGTTGGAATTGCAATTCAAACAATAATCACAAATACACAGCATGAAAGAGATCATCACGCCAGATAAATTCTTAGTACGTAGTTTAGGATTAATAAATCAAACTCAAACAAATCCATGATTTTATTGAAGTTCAAATTGGAAAAGGAAATTGCTGATCTGTAGGTACCAGAAGCTGCCAATGTTTAGTGAATGGAAAAATTGGATTGTGGAGAAGCAAACCAGAACTTTGTTTCAACACTTTATGAATGATCCTTTCAAAATAATTATTTTATGCTGCATGAAGCAAATCTTCACTGGTCCTTTGGAACAGATGTGTTAATAAACCTATGAAATTGGAAGTACTTACATGAGATCTGGATTCTCGTGGCAGAAGTGAATTTAGAGTCTGTAGGTTTCTGTTGTGAGCGTCAAAGTCAACACAAATAACTGACCAAGAACAACCCTGTGGAGAAGAAATGAAGTACATGAAATGTTAAACTTTTAATCAATGTAACTAAGGAACTAGTACTTAGTAATCCTGTTAGAAGAAAGGAAGAGGCATCTATGGAGCCACATTTATCACATTCATGATCAGAGTGCAATTCGAGTTTGATGCTCATTAATTTGGGAGCATCAAGGCAAATAGAAAAAACTCACACAGAAAAGGTTTAGAATTTAGACTTTATTGATGATTAACTATATCTCTTTCTGACAGAATAATTCCTTGGCCACTAAGTTATTGGGTGGCTTTATTTAATGGGAGCTAAGGCTCTAGAGAGCCTTAGGGCTGAGCCAGAAGTAACTAAATTTATAAAAATATCATTAACATCCAGGTGACCAAAAGAATCCATTAAAATGAGGATATCTTCTAGCTTCTGATAGATAGGATGACAAGTTCATAAAAGACACTCATTGCGTCATTTCATCTCATCCTGAAGAGCACCATCTCCCTTCCCATTACAGCAGCTAAATGAGTTGAGAGTCCTACTCTTAACAACCTTTCTTAATGACAGGTATAGTTTACCCTCTGAAATATCTCTTTTGTTTAATTAAAAAATGGAAGAAATACTTTGCCCAGAAAGCACTTTCTCTTTTTTATGTCCTTTAGGCTATGGTCTCCATAGTTATTTATAGTTTTCTAAAATAATCTTAAAAATATTTCAGTTCACCTTTAAGAATTCTTACATAAGAGATTCTGAACAGTTGGAGAAAGGAACTATTATTCAGCTAACATGTCAAGTTTTTTTTTTAACATCCCACACACTTATGCTGTTTCCCTTGTTTATCATCTAGCATAAATTAGAAGACACCAGATGGTTTGCAGTAAAGGGACACATCTCCTATTTTAGCATCTCAGAGATTACATACAAAGCCATTCAAGTTGGCGTAAGTTTTGTTCTCTACATGATCTCCGTTAATGATTTAATAAGAACTGTGAAATAGAATCTTCAAAAAGATTATTATAATGAATTTAAATCACTTAGCTGAAGCTAAGCTGAAGTTAAATGTACACAATTATCAATTGCAACCATATACTGATAAAAGACCTGAATTTAGACAGAACTGATAGAAATAGATTGCATTTCACCCCACCATGACTCTTTCTGTCCAGTGTCTTGGGACGTCCTCCTGACGTGAAAGGCACTCTACAAATGTAATTTTGTGGTCATTGTAGTACACATTGGAATTCAGATTTTAAAGTAAATATGTATTCATGGTTTATGCAATAGTATTCTGAACAAAACAAGAAACTTATATAGCTTGAAGTTAGGAACATTCAAACTTCATTGGGAAATGCCATGAAGCATCATGGTTTAATGTTTTGCCCATATTTCTAACATTTAGGAAAATTATCCTCGGATATAATTAAATAATCCCACTCTGATAAACTGCAATACCTGGACGAAAATCATGGAGCTTTTTTTTACATCAGTAAATCCATCATTCTGAGAACATCAGGATAGAGATTGCAAGATGTGTGACATCGTCACTTCAAACCCAATTGCATATGCAGATTCCACTTAGGATTGTTTTGACTGCTATCTTAATTAAATTTTACATTTAAACTGGAAAGGTCTTGCAATTGCATAGATTCATGAAGGACTATAGACGTGGATAATGGCATAAATCTTGCTTTACCCTTGATTATACCATCTCCCTTTCTTGCTTTCTTTCTAACATTCGAACCTTTCAGCAATTAAATGAAAAGAGTAATGGGCTTATTTTTATTACAATTGTGGTATGCGACTCTGCTTCAAGGCAGAGCAGAGTACATTTGGGCATGTTCCCCTTTTTATCCAAGGCTGCATCAGAATGAATTAAGATTCAATGGGGCGAAAACCTATTGTAGTATCTTCCTGCCTTAGCATGTTGGTTTAGATCCTCCCATTCTTAATCCTGCTATAATTTATAAACATGAGGATTTAATTCTGAATTATATTGAATTCCTGGCTTCATTTATCTTCTGTCACTTCAACTAATTTATCCTGAATTCAGACCAACCTTCACAAGTCCCACGTCAAATCATGAAACACTTCAAAGTCACCAGATTAGACAAAACTAAAAAATATAGCTTCACTGTGATCCCATACTCATTTTATTAGTTTAAACCTACATTATATATTAAATTACTTTTCAAGTAGGTTTACTTTTAAACTTAAAATATTTATACACATTACTCACAAAAATATTAAACTTGAAACAAGTTTGCAGAAGGTTAATAGGTTCTTTAGAGGCGAGACAATATAATTGAGTTCACTCCAAGCTTTAGAGTTGCAACCATACAATTATTAAAATATAAATATGACAACTATTTCAATGTATTGCACTAAAACAAAAAGGAGCTACTATATTTATACCCTTCTGCAAAATGAAATGAAGCTAAACCAATTTTCTTCATCAAATCCCATAAGTCCAAAGTAATTAAAATGCAATTACTCGGCCTTATGTAATTTAATTTTCATATTTGGATGATGTATAGTAATTAACCAATATAAATAAATCTTAGATAAGAACCGGATCCTGCAAGACCACGAGAGACTCCTTCAGAGTAGTGCAATGCATTGTGTCTTGACATTTTATAATCTTTGACTTCTCCCATACGGGAAAAGCAGTTTTAGCATTTTAGGTAAGAAAATTAAAAAGCAATAAATATCATGCACAATACCTGGTTCCCGAAGAGGTTAAAACCACTGATTGATTCGAGCACAGCTTTAGCTAAACCAATCGAACTATTAAAAAAAAACATGTGTGAAATTCCTGTGATCTCAGTACAAGCAAAATCAATTCTAAAATACCAAAAGGCACATTTTTGCTGAAACAATTTTTCTGGCGATGGAGCAGATATAAATGTATTTAAATTAGTGAACAAGGAACACCACTGCTATAAAAAGTCAATCTTAAATTCAAAATGCTGGAAAGTAATAACTGATAACACAATAACTAAATAAATCGGAAAACAGCATTCAATAAATGAGATTTTATTTGTTTATTTTTTCCATCCAATGTTTTATTCCAATTTTACACAGCATATATTGCATAAGTTGCTCAGCAGCCATGAGAATTTGAAAAAAAATTGAAAAAAAGGAATGCTGTTAATGAAAATACGTAGTTTCAACAGAAGTATCTAAAATGGATTGATTTTGAATGGGATCCCTTAATAAGGTTGTAAAGGCTACTACCCTTAACACCCTTTGCCGTCATCTCCCACACTGCCTCTGTCTCCCTAGGTTTCCTGGTACACCAGCCACCTTCGCTCCATCAAATCGCAGGTGCGTGCCGCTGAATGCACCTGGCACAAATCCAAGCTAGTGTTCCATCGTCAGATCTGGCTGTACTGTATCAAAATCTCCCGCTCTGCCCTCGCCTCAGCTACAATTGTCCTTCTATTCCAAGGTCAGCCTGGAGGACAAGGACTGTCCCAAGCTCCTCTTCTCAGAGTCTCACATTTGGGGTTTAGGAGAGGATAAGCGACGCTCCTTGTCTCCACCACAAACCTTCCCATGCAGCTCGTGTCCTCTCCTGCACTGAGCTCTGTGACCCGATCATCCCCATCCTCGCCTGGCTACACTGGCTCCCCATTCCCCACAGAGGACCAAGTTCAAAATTCTCGTCCTCACCTTTATAGCCTTCCAGGGTCTTGCTCCTCCCTACCTCTGTGACCTGGAGCACTGCGCCACCCTGCACTACATGGATTCACTGTGCCAATGTGCTGCTTGGACAAGTTTAGATTTAAAAATAATTTACCTTGCTCCGAATATAAACATTACAGAAAGCTGTCCAATTTCTGAGACTGCCGTAGAGAGTTCAAAAAAGATGCTTCAATTAATTTAAGGCTTCTATTATCTTAGCAAAAATTCTTGTATTCCGGTGTGTGCAATATGCAGTTTGTCACAAAGTCTGCTGAACATTTCGGAACAATGTTTTGTTTAATCTTTGAATCTGTTCAGAAGCATTTGGACAAACCTGAGAGGTTTTCCAATCACTACCATATTGAATGCAATATATTCCTCCTGTGGAGTACTGCAAATTTTCTTTCAGCAAAATAATTTAGCAGTTCATCAATTCTGAGATAATTATTTGACTCTCTTTTGAATGCTGTACACGTAATAGGTTTAACGCAAGTTCACGTGTCCAGGAAGCAATTCCGGGAAAAATATAACGCAGTTCCCATTTTGTGTGTCAAGTTATGATTTAAATGTGCCCGGAAAAAAATGAGAAAAACAATACCTTGAATGCAGCTCAGTGCTGCCATTGTTGTATTTGCTGCCTCTTTCCCACATCCCAAAATCTGGAGTACGGTAGGATCTTTCCAAACAGTAAACAAGGTTTTGAATGAAAGTTACCTATTATGTTAAAACAAAATAATCCTTTACACCCCATTTTTTAAAAAAAAATTATATTAAGGTAAGTACAAGGTAATATTATTATTACAAGTGAAGAACAAAGGTTTAGGGAATAGTACGCGTGCGGGTGTCTGTGACTGTCGGTATCATGGAGTCCTGTAGCATTTTGGTTAGTGCGCTCGCCTCGCAAGCGATAGGACCTGGGATCGATTCACAGGCGGGACGAAATCTTAGGTAAGTTTCCTTATTCCACATAAACATCTCTGTTTCCCTTGCAGTAAGTAGGAACCCGTTTGTTAATTGATTGGCAGACCGCTTTCTGGGGGTAATAATCCCTCCCTCTCCCTAAAAAAAAATGTGGTCACTCAACCCACGACTGTGTGTGGGACACTGCTGTGTACAATTGGCTACAATTGGTCAAAGAGGACGGGCTTGAAACCTTGAAGAAGGCAGGGAGGAGCGAGGTGTAGGGAATCTAGTTCCAGAGGGTGGGGGCAGAGAGGCTGAAGGCCCGACAGCTGATGGTGGGATGGGACGGGCGGGAGACATGGAACAGGACGGAGCCTGCTGAGTGGAGGGAGCGGACAGGTTGATAAGGGGTTAGGAGGTCAGAGAGGTAGGAGGGGGCAAGGCCATGGAGTGTCCTGAAGGTGAGGACAAGAATTTTGAACTCGATCCTTTGAGGGATGGGGAGCCTGGTGCAGGACAGGTCACGATCTGGAGAGTTCTGGATGATCTGCAGCTTGTGGATGGAAGAGTTGGGAAGGCTGACAAGCACTGTGTTGGCATAGTCGAGCCTGGTTATAATAAAGACATGTATGAGGGTTTCAGCAGCCTGAAGGGTGAGGCAGTGGTGGAGTCAGGCAATGTTGCGGAGGTGGGGGAAGGCAGAGCGGGTCATGGCATGGATGTGGGGGAGAAAGGACAGTTAGGGGTCGAACAAGATGTTTAGCTTCATGACTGGCTTGGGGAGGTGAAGTGTACATCCGTGTATGCTGATGCTGCCAGTGTCTGAGGTGTGGAGGCGCTGGCGCAAGCCAATCAGGAGAGCCTCGGACTTGTTGATGTTCTACTGTAGAAAGTTGGCTCTGATCCAGGACTTGATGTCTGACCTTGTATTATATTCAACAATCTCAGGTTTATCACTATGCAAATCAACCACCATACCGGCTTCCTGTAAAAAAACAAGCCCAGGAAAAAGCTCCAGCTGATCATCTGAGATGATTTTCTTCAATAGTTTTGTCCACATTTTTAAAAAACAAGTTAGTCTTGTGCCAGGCAGAATGATTGAAACCACCACTAGCGCAGTTTGCACGGTAACTATCACAACTGACAGTGAGTGGTGCTGTTCATTACACTTTTATGGTAAATTTTTAACTTGGACGTCACCACATAAAATGCTGCGGCGTCAAATTTAGCACGGTCTCGTTTCTTGTCGTCTATGATTCATTTTTCTGTTCTTCGGCTGCTGCCCACAATTTCATTAAGCATCTGACATTTTGAAAGATTACGGGTTTTAACTTCCAGACGTTCAGCTTTAAAACATCGCTTCAATTGTGTTCTTCATCTGTGATGCATGGATCTGTTAAACCATAATTACTGGCTGCATTCATTATGAAAACCTCAAACTGAACAGAACCCTCTGACTTCCTTAAAGGTATAAAACTACAGAAGAAAATTTTATTAGCTCGTGGTTCATGAAGGGAAAGCAAACCAAATGTTTTGCAGATACGACAACATTAGAATCAAGCTCAATTTGCTTCAAAGCAAGCGGAACTCAGCAAGCTTAATAGTTTCATTTCTAACCAAGAGAAGAACATTAATCCCAACTGCACTGATTCCAATGTGACACGTTAATGTTTGGAAGCTTATCATGATTTAATAAATCTTAGTACCTACAAGCCAATAATCAAGCAGCGTTCTTGTGTCGTCCAGTGAGGAAATAAATAAAGATTTATTTACTCTCAGTGTTTCTTTGTGTATTCAACTTCAAGACAAAAACAAATTTGTCAAATAAAGATAAGGAGTCATCCTCAGTGCTTCTCATCTGTGAGTGGCAGTAATTTTTGCAGCTTTATTCCTATTCAACGGTTTTAATTCTGTAACACCAAAAATTGTCAGGTTTGAACCTCTTGCCATTTTTTGGAAGGTAATCTAGTATATATGTAGAATGCAAAGTATATTGAAAATTCCAAACCATTTTGGAAATTAGCAATTTGGATTGGACGAGGGAGTTTTTTTGGCTGAGCCGTTCAGCAGATAAATTCTCTTGACTAATCAACGTAGCCAAAAACAGTACTTTTTTTATTGCAATGAAAAGTGCTTATTCCCTTGATATCTCATCATTCAGTTTAATAAACCATACCTCGTCTGTATTGTAGATAATTTGCAGCCCAGAGGAAATCATCTCCACCATGTAGAGCAGGAACAGAGCGAGAGCGTCAATCTGAAGTGTCAAGGCGCAAAATTATTGCTGAATGAATCACCCAAATCAATTCACACATGTGCACAAATTCTTAAGGTAATCAGTAACCAGTAAATAACAGTCATAATAATGTTGAATTTATATTAAGTCACCTGTTGCACTACAAGTGATGCTCAAGTAATGGCACTAAACCTTGTAGTGTGTCGAAACTTATCATGTGATCCCAGCATTTCACAATTCATTTTGTTTTGAGAGGCAGTGTGTATCGGGGGGGGGGGGGGGGGGGTCATGAGAATATATTGTGTATGTGATCTTATATGTTCTATTTAGAAGTGGAATGCTTCACAATCTTTTTCTCAACTGGGTTGTGCCACCAGCTGTTCAGTCACAAAGTGGGCCACCTCTTTTTCACCCACAGGTTAACTCATGGCAAGAGTGCAGTTGCATTGACCCAATATACAAATCCGGTGAACAGTAAAAATAATAAACTAGCGAAGTCTTTTACCTGAAGGTGTCCATACGTCTCAAAATTACGCATTTTTTCACCCGTTTCTATGTTGAAGACAGAAGGGAGGCAATTTGATGAAGTTGGAGATTTCTTGAATGATTCCACCTATTTTCCAAAAAAAAACTCATAAGATTCTAAGATAGAGGAACTTGGACAGAATGCATTAATAATAAAAATAATAATAAAATAATCCTTGCATTTGATATAGCGTTTTTCATGTCTTTTAGACAACTCAAAGCGCTTCACAGATTAGACTGTGCTCTAACCGCTGAGGACTACATTGAAGAGTGTAGTAGAAGTATTGCAGCAGCACTGAAGGGACAGAGAACTCCAGAGCAACAAACCTGAGACATGAAAAACAGAATAGGGAGTGTCCCTGTCTCGTCATAATCACGTATCACAAATCAGATAAACTATGCTTAATTTAAAATACGTGACAAAGGTATGTAATGTTTCGTGAATGGATCTTTTTAAAGAAAAAAAATAAGATTTGCCACAGATCCAATAACTCTGAGCATTTTATCATGATCTCAAACATCCTTGGTTCTCATTACTCTGCCACTAACTTTGCATTGGTCACAACACAGCATTTGTCCCATTTAAACAATGCGTGGATTCCACAGCACAAGCCTTTCTCTACCAAATTATGTAACTTAACTTCCAACTTAGTAAAGCACCCACGCACTCACCAGTCATTGATGTAGTATCACTGTCTGTGGTTGGCAATATAGCATCAAACATTGAGCAGCTGTGCTTAGGAATGCACCGATAAATAAGTAGATTGAAACTGCTAAAACCCATTTCTTAAAATGAGTCTTACAGCTCATGGAGAGAACACTCTTATTTCATCATTCTGGACTAGATTGACACCAGCTTTCAAAGGTGAAAGGATAAAATGCTAGTACATACTGCCACACAGTCTTTCAGTAATCAATTATCCACTATGTAAAGAATCATTGCCTTAGCTTAAATCCCTCTGACAACTGACTTACATGCAATGTACACACAAAACTGCTGCTTTGTGAAATCTCTTTCTGAAACTCCAAGCAAAGATAACTGTAAGAGGATTTAACTGATTCAATCTCACTGACTGACAAAAAATAAGAGATTCTCAGTTGTAACTTCATTAAGAGTTATTTACTGAAATGCCATAAAGAAAGTAACACTGTCCTAAATTAACCTTTCACACCATCCACACATGCACTGAAAGAGAACTCAATCTTAATATTCCTTGCTTACCGTCTCTGATTGCCGCATGTAACAGAAAAGAATTCCTCGCATGCATTTTATTGCACAGTGCTCCAGCTCATGGGTCCGTCCCTTGTCATCATCAAGCCGCCTGGGCAAGAGAGAGAAGATGCACCAAAATCAAAAATCTTTAAAACTTAAAGGTATCAAGTATTCATAAAAACACGTCATAGAATCATCACCTACAATATTACATGAAAACAGTTAACTTTGTGACATAAGCCTAAACCACTTAGTGAAAAGTATCAATGCATTCAAGATTAATAATTTAACATTGAATAGATGCGTTGCCCTTTTCCACAAGTTGACAAGTTCATAGTTTGTCAAAATAATCTTCTGTATATTTGCATAAGATCAAGTACTAGATTACCATGACCATAAACGAAGACAGATGTGTTTGAAACACAAGGGGGTTGTACAAATTTGTTAAATACTGGCGGCTGAATTATTTATAAAGTTGTACTAGGTTAAATGTATTCAGCAGGTGAACAACAGTTTTGTGTAGTGTGAACCACAGTAAATTCAGCTTATATTTTCAACTACAGTCATATATTTTGTCAGTTGTCCAGCGAATAAATTGAAACCACAAAAGTGTTGTTAACCATTTGTGTTTCATCAATGAAAAGTAATAAAATAAGATGAAAAATGGGAAAACGCAATCTAGCTCATTAAGGTACTTCTTTCTCAAGGATCAATTCTGAAGTTTCTCACCTTATCTTCGAAACTAGATTTCACCAACTATGCTCATCACCCTTCCTAACCCTAGGCTCTCCAACTCATGCAGCACTCCAGCCTGTATTCTCTCCCACACCAAGCTCCCCAGACCTCTTATCCCAATCCTGCCAGGCTCCATTGGCTTCCAATACCCCAACAGATCAACTAAAATCCTACCTCTGCAATCTCATCCAGCCCAACTTCCAACTCTGGTTTACTGCTCATTCCATGCACTGTCCATTCCACTACTGGTGGCCAAGCTTCAGCTGTTACGGAATTCTCCTCCTGAATCCCTTCACCTTGTGCCTTCACTTCCTTCTTTCAAAAGTCTCTATAAAAATCTTATTTTGCTGACCTGTCTTTAGTCTTCAAAACACCCTCTCCTCCCTCCACTGTTATAAATTTATTTGACATATTCATCCTACAAGAAAGGTACTTTATAAATACAAGCTGTTATTGTATATCAAATTAATATCTTGGATATTCTGCTTTCACAAAACCCAAGTGTGATCTGAATGAGCTGGAATTACTTTATTATAAAGCCATGTATTGTGCAGGTCACCAAACACATTCAATCGAGATGTTTAATAACTTCGAAGATTTGATGAATTTCAATCACAATTTGCCCTAAGCTCAGGGTCATGTTGCCCTCATTCTGCCTAAATATCTGTGAAAGCTACCCTTTAAAACAAAATACAGTCTTTACTTGTCTGGTTGGGAATTCAGTTCAGAAATCATCAATACCTGTGTGGGAAGTAGTTTTCTTCTGTCTCTCCATTTTGTTCACAGCATCTGAATTCAGTTTGAATAATTTTCTGACTTCTGTTTTATTTACAAGCTGCATTCTTCAATTGCCGCAACCAAATGTGTGTCTAGAGAAAATTGCACCATGTCCAAACTGGCTTGATAAGTCAATTACTGTAACTGATTATACTGCATGGCTGCTAATAGGCACCATGTTAATAGGACATTTGCTCAGACAATGATTCATTTCCTATAGGTTTTAATGGAAACTGCGAATTTAATGAAACAATTTGGACTAGCCATCCTTCTTTACAGACATTGTAAAATGTAGAAATTGTAATGTAGAAAATAGAAGTAGCAGTACAAAGCAAGCGAATGGATAACTATTTACATAACACTTAAGATTATGTGGCAATTCAGTTTATTGCCCTTACTTTTGTTTTTTGGGTTAATGAAGTTAACTGTTTACAATCAGGTGGCCAGCTGGTCCAACTACAAGCTCCTTCATTCCTTACTCTTTTGACAGAAAATACATGAATTCTCAGTATGTATTGTGAAGGGTGTTTATGGATCTTTTCTACATTTTTCTTGTTCATATTCGTTCCATTATACAGTAGCCACCACTGGAAGTCTATTTCCTTCCTGAGCTAAGTCAAAAGTCGTGGCCGGGTGCACCTAATGATAAAAGTACGTGGGTAATTTTTTCACAACTGAATTCTCTTTATTCCAGCCAGATGAACTGCAATAAGCTCCATCCCACCAGTCGTGAAATTTCTCTTAAATACAACATTTCTTCAGATGCTTACCTCATTCGGGAAACATCTCGTAAATAAATACTTGGAATACTCTCACTAAGAAACAGCTTTTATCCCAAATTAGTAAACATCCTTGATACATTATATCAAAAATGTCTCCTTCTTTACAGCATTTATTAAGCTGAAGATGTTTAGTTCTGATACTGTACTGGCGTGTGCACTGTAGAGTCAATACACAACAATTTATGAACACAACACAACAGTTCAAGACTTTTAATAAAAATTACATTTACTATCACAGGGACACTTATTTTTCATTTCCAATTTGAACTGTCAACTCAGTCACCTTAATGTTTCTTGGAATTAATATTGGTTAACCCGCTGTCCTGCATTGTGGACCCTAGAAATCTATTAACACTGCAGATGTGAACCTTTTCACTTCATTGTGGTATCCATTATTCATATTAAAAAAAAGCTTTCTGCAGCTAAACACAACTCCACCTGTTTTCCCAAACCATTCCTTACAAATGTTCATATTTCAAGATTATTATTGTCATAGATTTCTACATGGACTGGAGGCTTACTAACACAATTCACACTATCCCACTATGAAATGAGATACTGTATTTCTCTTGTACTTCAATTGTCTATATTCTCTTTCATTTGTATCATTTGACTATCCCTGTGATTTTCTCATTTCTGCTCTATTTTCTATTTGATTTTCTCAATCCACATCGCTCAGACCATGATTTACCAATCACTTACTTAGAATCATCCATTGCTACAGGATGACTGTGTTGAGTGAGTCTCCTACTGATTCTAAGATCGCACTTTACATAGACTATGAAATGTGCTTTATTTTACTTTGAGAATTTACTTAGAATTGCTAAAATTAATATATTATTTTGCACTAGTTGTATTAAAAAGTTCACTCTTTAATGTTTAAATCGTTGTGCCAATTACAGACACAGAGATTCACAGATAGACATACTGGTAGCTACGTAAAGAATCATTTCAGGCCTAACTAATAAAAGACAGATTATACCAATTGAGATTGACAAATAATGACATCTCATTTTATAGCTATACAATAGTGATTTTCTGTATGACAATTTCGGGAACAATTAAAATGAAAACAACAATCATGGGAACTTAATTTAACACACAGCTTATGTATTGAAAAGACATATCAGTTATAGATAAATATCTTCACAAGCACATAATATGCCAACCAAGGAAAAAAATTCCACAATTGCAGAATCACCAATCATGGCACAGTAACTATATGTCTACAGTTTGTTTATTGCAGTTATTTCTGTATTATAACTGTACTATTTACAGTTCAATATCCAAAGAGATTTTTGTTTTGGGTTCATTTTGTTGCTGTGACAAAGTGCATCCCTCAAATATCACTTTTTTTTACTATTCTTCTAACGTTTGTTTTTCATGAAAGGAGCACTTAACAAAGATTTTGGTTCATTTGGGAGAGGGAGAAAAATTACATGCTACTGATACCCCACAAGTGAAGTGATATGATGTTTCAAGCTATTTGGTTGCAAACAAATAGATTACTTACTACTTACTGTACATTGTTTCATGAATTTAGAGGCCTTTAATAGCACCACATCCGATTTTCTAATACTGGGGTAAATTGTTATAAAACAAAAAGCTTTTAACTTGACTTGATAAAACCAGATGTTTGGCAATGGTTTTGTTCATTTAAGGAGCTAAAATGGCCGAAGAACCTTATTCCAGCGCCTTGGGACATCCTCTTGACGTGAAAGGCTCTATACAAATGTAATTTTGTATTTAAAAAAAAGATGTACTTTTACTCAGACATTGTTTCTTTCCAGCACATTTTTAAAAAATGAAGTGCATTTAAACAGTAAATCAGGATTAGCATGCTTTCTCGAGTTGACGGAGAGCAAGAAAGCAATTCAAGTAAGTTAACTGCAAATTAGCACAAGAAGGGATGCATATTTTGGTACATTTTCCTTGAGAAGCCCGATTCTAGAAATTAATGATTCTATGGTTTTGGTCTCAACCGACAGACTGCAAAAGCTATGGCTAATTAAGTTAGTTCATTTGGGTAAGTATCAAGAATCGATTAAAAAAAAATGTGAATGGACCAAAGCTAAAAGTTTTAATTATTTAAACAATGCTGCTGATTTCCTAAGAGAGGTCTGTTCAACTAAATTAAGTCTGCAATGTCGCAGAATATAAAGTAAAGATGACTATGAAGACAGCCTGCAAACTGCAACTGGAATGGATATGGCAACCACACTGTTGAAAGGATACGATTGCAAAGTTGTGATATAATATGATAGATTAGCTGTACTTATTTCAGCTATCACAAATATAGATCAATTCAGTTAAGGAAAGATCATGAGAAAAGGTAATGAATGACGAAGATGAAAGAATTGCTTATTTTCTTAGAGTATGGACATACTCTCCAACTCCAATTAAATGGCCATTATTTAACCCTTTCTTTACCATCACTGGATGGTTCTGAAAGAAAAGGGTTAGAATGAACTTGCATTTTACACGTGAACTTTCAAATAATGAACATTGGTTAACATCAAAGAAAGGAGAACATAGGAACATTCAGCACAATTTTTTTCCTTCCCCAGCTCAAGAGGATGAGACTCTCATTGTTTGTCTGCCTCAGCATAAACTGGCGATCAAACCAGGGACATTCCAGGTCACAGGTTCACACTTGGTAATTTTTTTTTAAGCCACATTTGCTAGACAAGTCTTTCAAAAATTTTAATAAATGGGATAATGTAGGTTTAGCATTTTTACATTATACTAGCTTGATGGTCTCAAAACAAAAAGCAATCCTACTATTAACTTTTGGTATTAAATTGGCATGACATCGGTGCAATTGTAAGTTGTCCAAAGTGATGAGTTAAGCAAAAATGAGAAAAGAAAGTCATGCATTATTCACTGGTGTGAAACGAAGTGTCTTGAATTTAATTCAGAAATATAGCACATTACCATTGAATCTAAAATAATTGCAACATTAAAAATGTATTGCCCAAATGCTTTTTATGTAAAACACTGATCAAATAAAGAAACACACTAATGTCATCCGTGTTCACTTCATTATATACTAAGTGCCATTGATGATGATACTGAAAATTCCATAAATCAAAGATTAAGTTACTCCATGAAATAAGGAGAGTTATAGGATGACACGTGGGTTGCATGGGTCACTTAAGAAAAGGATACTTTATTTTATGGAGGCCTTTTTTTGTATTTATTAACGTGAGACTCATTGTTAGGGAATGGAATACTTTTATCAGCCAGTCACTGAGGATTCCCATGTCAGATAAAGCTCCTTCTGCTCACATAGTGTGCCTCAATCATATCCACCAGGAATTTTTACACTTCCAACACTAATGACCTTTTCACTGCTCCAGATTTCCACATTAAAGTCAAATTGTATTAGATTAAGAGGAAGCTTTATGGGGATAATATCAGCTATCTCAGCACAGTCTAGCTATCAAATGGAGGATCCTTCTGTGAAGAAAACACATTTAGTGAAAGAAAAAGTCCACATTTTTCAAATAATTTAAATCTAAACTTCCTTCTGCAGAACATCCATAAGGAGCACCCAAATGTCCAACTGACTTAATTTTGCAGGTACTTGGACAGGTTCCATAGAAGCTTACAGACACTGGTCTTTGAAAGAAAGCACAAATCTGCACTATTACACTTTGTGGCCTTCGTAGCAAAACTAATTTAGTTCTGCAACTAAATCGTACTGTCAGCAATATACATAAATGGAGCCTTAAATTTTAAAGTCACTGATCCCAACTTCTGTTGCCTCTGTAAATAAATGTCACCAGATTGTGGTACTAAAGCACACAGTCCAGGAAGGTGCTAAATTTAAGCTCTGAACTTTACTGGGTAAATTAACCTTAGCTGCGGCAGCAATATGATACTAATGCTGGCCTCTTGCCTATGAGGATTCATTCCAGCCACATCTCTGCCCAATTACTCTGCTGGAACATGCGCTTCTATGGGCATTGGTCCAGGACAGGATCTGATTCAGTGCCTCCCACAGTTTGAAAAGCCTACAGACACTTTTCTCTAATCTATCACAAAGAATAAGCACTTAGCAAAGTACAGTAGGATATCCACAGTATGAGTCACCTCCTTCAGGAGAAGAACTGATATAATCAGAAGAAAGTGATGTGCATGCTACCAAGAAGTGCTGCTTTTCATGTCTATTAAGAAAATACTAGAGCCAACACTGACATCACCCATCCACAAGCAGCTACGAAGTAAAGTAAGAGTTGAAAGCTAAGACCAAATCTTCCCTGACCAACAATCTTAAAAATAATGACCATGCTTCGATTTTAATTTCTAACAATTTCACAGAAGGCCACTTAGATTACAGGCCATAGGCAACAAAATATGTTACTACTATTCAAAAACACACTAAGTACAATTGTAAACCAAGGAATCAAGAATCCTATAAGCTAAAACTACAGGAATAGGCAAGACTAAGCCAGCAGTACAAACTCAATAAGACAGACATGACCAGTACTCATTGAACCAAATGTTTCTCCAATGCACAGTCATACATATACTTTAGTATGATTAGCAGTTGCATCAATTTCATATGGGTCCTATATCTCTTCCTTACATGTAGGAAACCCAATAACAGTTCAATACTGTAGTTTATATGAATCTTCAAGAATCATTTTGTTTCATCTTTAACAAAGTGGGTGGGTAAAGTCTTTTCTGCATACAGGCAATATTACAGCCATGGCTGATATAGGAAAATGATAACCTGCAGTTTACAACATAGTCTTTTCACTATTAAGTCTCTTTGATTGGTTATGTGATCAATACATTGGAACTTCCCAGGAATGCTGAAACATTACTAATGTGGTTTGAGAAATTGCTGAAGCAAATGGGTCCACCTCTATTCCGCAGAGCTGAGATGAGAAACTCACCAAAATCAATCATATTTAAACATCAGGTAGCTGAAGAAAAATCTCCGGTGTCATTTAGTCGGTGGCTTGTTGATGTCAATGGAAATGTACATTGCGTGAAAGATTTATATTTTATAGTCTAATTTGCCTTTTTGCTTTGATTGGAAACCATTTTAATTTATGTAAATATATTTTATATTACACAAACAGATCAAAATTCCTCCTCAACAGATGGGGAGGACCATATAATGTTTGTGTTGTGTACCTTGGTAGTAATACGGATCACATGGATTATGTTTGTGTATTATTATTGGCAACATGGATTTTAAAAATCTGTGTATATATAGTTTTGAATTTCACACTTGAACTCCGCACCATCAGTGTTGTTCTTTGATGTCTAACAGAACCATTGATATTTTGTTCACCAGCTTTGTTCTTAAAATACCTGCCAGCACTTCTGATACAGAAAATTGTATTCCGCCAGCAACATATTTGAAGCAAACATGTTTCTAGCACTTGTGAAAAAAAATTAGTTACATACAAAATGCCAAAACTATCATGAAGATAAACCATCAAACACACAAAGCAGGGAAAAGTTAAGAGACTGCAGACATCCATTAAATATAATTTACTAATATTACCAGATCAGGGAAGGGGTGCGGGGGTGGGGGTTGAACAGACAAGGCATAATTTTAACTTTGATAACTGCGAGACAAATTATTCCAATTGTGAGGAGTATGTGTTGCCAACTATTTTATTTGCGTATTACGTTGCTAGAGTGAAATCTTCAATGCTTTTAATTTTACTCAATAAATCTAGAGTCAATGAATGAAACCCACATTGATAACTCTTCAAATGTGTGTGAACATTAAAATGTACTGTTGTCACACAATAGTGATGACGCTTCCGTTTACAAGATACCAGACTTGGAATGGAAGTGTAATAAATATTTATAAATAAAATGTTCCTGTTAAATAGCACTTAGCTAGTACCATGAAATAATATGTTTTCAACAACTGCACTTACCTATAAGCAAGTGCGAGAGCCCATGCACTTGCAGCACAATAAACGCTGTCTCGAATCTTAACTTCTTTACAATCAGCATTTGTTCTGACAGGAAAAAGGCCTGTAGCTGAGTGTTGATGGTTTAATACAGTTGATTTTACTGAAAATCAAACAGACATTCAAATCTTAATTCAACAAGTGTGTGCTCATACATTGTCAATGTGGCTCAGAAGATTAAAATATCCATTCTGCAGAGGGACAGAAAAATAATCCAATATACATTACCTTATCAGTTCTCACACCATCATAGCATTTGCCTCTGTGACAAGATGCGAGCACTGACCACAGGTCTGAATTGAACATCTTTTACAGGTTCTACCATTTTCTAAGGATGATAAACACTTTGTGATGTTGCTTATGGAGATGAAGACAATCTACCTTCCACATTACTAGTCAAACCACTCCTGTGCCTATTGGTCACTTCTTAGCTTTTAATGTGCTGCTGTGGTATGTTTTAAGCAAACTATATTTAATAGATACAAACTTTAAACTATACAACCAAATACTGTTCACTCAGCGTAATACAGAGCATTTTTAGACCTGTGTGACTCAGTAAACTAACTACACATTGTACTGTTGGTGAAAATTTCTGCATAGCCTAAACTCCGGCACAACTGGAGTCTTTCAATACAGGGGTTTTATCTCGGAGACTCATCTTTAGTCTATATTTGTCTCATCTCGTCTTGTTTCTGAGTTGCTGGTAATAAAGTGGAGCAATTTTAGATTTATGTGAATAAGTATTTGGGGGACAATTATAGAATTGATGTGCAATTAAAGTTTTTATTCCATTCAAAAATCATCATTTTCCCACTAATACCATTTGTTGAGTCCTGTAGCAAAGATCCACCAAGTATGATATTTCAACATTAGTTTTCAGAGCATCATCAGTGGCAGGAAAGTGGATGCAACAATGCTTGTTGATGCAGACTTTTTTTGATAACCAGAATACTTTATATCTCTTCCAGCTACCTATATTTCAACACCTGGCTTCTCATATTCTGATTTCACAATTGAGCAAGGCAAGTCTATTTATAGCTATCCTATAATACAGATTAATAAGGATCCTAATTGCTGTAATCAAGCCACAGGTCTTGCACTCGACACAAGGTTTGTTTAAAAGGTAGCTCGATGTGAAGTCATTGTTTGACAACACCAGTGCCAGATAATGGTCCAGCTACTCACCTCCTGGCTTTCAGCTTCCTTCTAAGCCTGAAAGCAGTCAGTCCAGTGTCTACAGATTTATAGGTCATCATAAAAGCTCTGAAGGCATTTTATACAATGATTTAGTTTTGTAATAAATGCTCTGATATCACTTGAAAAGTACCTTGCTGAAGGAAGCAGCAGGAAAATCAATACAAAGCGTCAGCAGTCAACTATCAGTTCAATATTTTGGCCTTCAAATATACAAGTCAATTCACTTTACAGTTTATTCTGTGAAGCGCTTTGAGACGTCTGGAAGATGTGAAAAGCGCTATATCAAATGCAAGGATTATTATTACCATTAATATTAGATTTCTAAAAGATAGTATTGGCAAGCTGAGGACAAACAACTTGAGAAAAATGGCAAACTATGACATGGAGACATCTGCCCAGATTGTTACTGTAAATTGAACTGTCACCTGTTCAGAATGAGGGAAAAAAGCAATCACCCTACAAGGTTGAAGCAAAACTGATCAGTTTCAAAAAATAATATCCTCGCAACGTATTTCTATACCAGATTTCCAAAAAGCAATAAGAAATTTGAATAGCACATTGCAGGCTACCGGTTGAGAAAATAGCTTTAAGGCAAAATTCAGTTGAATATAAACCAGACCCCAGCACTTGTAAATTCATCCCCAGTGTTTCATGCGCCCACACACACAATCATCCAATCGCTTGAATGCCAACACAATCATCCAGCTTCTCAAACACCCACATAGTCATCCATTCAGTATAGAACCTTTTAAAAAAAGAAATCGTCTTTCTTTGAGCCACTAGCTCGCCTTCACCTGTTTGGGATTTGATGTTGGCTCAGTGAGTTTATTCAGTGAAACAGGAAGTTCCAAGGTTTGTGCTGAGTTATCTGATCTTTACCGAGGTTCCCACTAATAGTTTTCCCCACAAAATATAGTCAATTCACTTTATAGTATATTCTGTGAAGCTCTTTGGGAGGTCAAGAAGACGTGATAAGTCACTATATCAAATGCAAGGATTAATATTATTATAATTGTCCCTGGGGTGGGAGGGGGTAGAAAATCAATCGACAACTGTTGAAAATCCGCATGTGGATATTGGGTGAGGACAGGATTGTGCTTGGCTATGATTCAACCTGTGGTCAAACAGCCTGCTAACATTTAATATTAAGGCTTCTGTATGAATCATGGTGACTTGGCCAAGGTAGGGGAATGTGCTTAATACTCAGGGAACCATAACCCAGAAAACTACTAATGTTCTCAGGAGAAAATTGGTAAGAAAAAAAATGATGTTAGTTTAATGAGGTGTGAACATTTAGCAGCTGGACCAGGGAGAAAGCAGGATTTGCAAGGTTTGAATTATAAGTCATTATATCCCCAATGGTATTTCTATAAAATCAATAAAATAAAAAAATGAAATAATTTGGTTATTCAATCCATGACTGTTTGTGGGACACTGCTGTGTGCAATTGGCTGCCATGTTTTGCACACAAAATATACAGTCAATTCACTTGAAGTGCATTGAGACATCTCAACAACGTGATAAAGCACTATAATCAAATTCAAGGATTATTATTATTTACATCAGAGTGCATTGATGTTATAGAAATACATTCTAGGCTTGAAGGACAGTGGAAGAAATGTTCATAGTATAAACCTTAGTGCAATCTTATTTTCTTTTGCAATTTTAGTTTCTCTGGTCAATTTCATTCTTTCCTTTATAAGGTTTGACTTAGTTTTTAAATTCAATATCACTTACTAATTATATCAATCTCTCGGTTTCCAAACACTTGATATAACACAGTTTTCGTCACTTCACCATGATCAGTGATGCTCCTTTACGTTTCTTTCCATCCTGCATGGGCTGACTTGGTAACAAAAGACACATTACACTCTCCGATTCCAATCAAAGATAGTACCTGAAATTTAGTTGTGCCTTCTTACTCGCCATAACTCTAACCCTAATGGGTATGGGCAACCCACTCATTTATGTGTAAAAGATTATTAACGAGCATGGCCAAAGGTCAGTCTGCAGAAATCCATATTCTGCTGGATTTGTTGATACATACCTCCAAAATCTCTACAGGATTCAAATGCTGGGAATTGTCTGAAATGCTTTTATTCCCTGCCAGGACATGGCATGATTTTGTAACCATGGGAACCTGTTATAGTTTCTAGCTAAACTGCCATTAAATGTTTCTGGCTACCAATGCGTGTGAAATCTGAACACAAAAGTAGAAAAATGAAACAATCAACACTTTCATTCAAACATCCAATTATTGCGGAGGCTGTGATAAATGACAGAATTTGACAACCAATAATAAAATTGGTAAAACAGAAATAAAACCTTTGGCAAGATTTGTAGTTATCGGTACGATACAGTACAATCTGATCCAAATATTTAATTTCCATTCTGACAACGTTGAAAATCACAAACACATGCTAATGAATACATTTCTCGGTGTACTGGCATTTGTTCAGTATTATCACTGGAATGCGACAATGTTTTTATAGACCGGGATAGTCATAATTGACCAAAATATGAATCCATCGTATTTTAAACTGAAAAACAAATTTACGAGGCAGTTTTTTTTAATTAATTGATACAAGTTGTCCTAATTTCAACCCATCGTTCTCGTTTGTTGAAGTTGTAAGATTTAAGAATCCTTGCCTTTGATTTGGTCTATAGGCAGTTTACCGTCCATCGATTAGGAAACATTTCAAGACAGCTAAGTAGCTGCTTAGATTAGGTGACCTAGCATCATAACAGTAATGCACCTATGCATCATAATAAACTTAACAGGCACCAATCAACTTTGTACAAAATAGGAAATGTAGGTCACAGATTTGGGTTAGCTCTTATGGCATCCCAAGTTGTGTTTATTTCTGTGGTAGAGTTCGCAAATTCCCTTTATAGCAGATGCCCCAGAGACTGAAATTCACATCACATGGATTCCATTGCCTCAGTGGTGTAACTGGCAGTAAAGCAGATAAATATTTTAAAGTTTCTTATATGCTTTCTTTTTAATAAACAAGATGGATTAAATGCAATATAGATACAGCTATTCACTTACATTCCCATAGTAAGGAGGCTCAACAACATTCAATTTTTAAATTTTAAAATTCATTCCAAGTTTTGAATGCTGCTTTGAAACATAGGCCAGAAACATTTTATTTTCAACGGAGTAAATTAGATGTTTTAAAAGCTAGCAATGCTTCTGTAAATGCTTAGAAAATAAGTTAGGCTCACAAATCCAGTTTGAGCGACTAAATCATAAAGATATTTTTCTACATTTCTCGCACAATTTAATTGAATACTTTATGGTTGTGTGAGGGAGTAAATCAGAGTTTAGAAACTTGTGTTCTCATAACAGATAAAGCAACCACATTGTACGATTTCTCACTGATTCGCAAATTTGCTTATAACATGGATGTTCTGTAGACTTGCAATTATCAGAAGTGTACTACATTTCTAGCCTCTAGCCAGTGTCACCACTGACATGATGTCAATGGTGACTCGGAAGCAGAACCTGGACCAGTGAGCAATGATTTTTCATAGTCCTATTGTAACATGATGGCCAATTTTATGGTTTGATTACACTAAGCTTTAATAGGTTGTGCCGTATCATTTTGTTTGTGTAAGATAACTCATTACCAGATTAGAAAATGTTAAATGCTCTTTGACAAGCGTTAGTGTAAACAGTAAGGTTGATCGTATTTGTCTTGTTTTGGGTTGAGTAACTTAGATGATTAAGTGTTCTAGCCTATTGTTCGTAATGCATATGTTTAGAAGTGAAGAACAAAAAAATCTTTGGCAGGTTGAGTTAGTAACAGTGAGCCCATCAAATCTAAAGTCACATTTGATAATCTGCAGGCAAAAAAGCAAATGACAGCGAATTTTAGAAGATTAATAATGATGTGTTTATATTGTAGAACCATTGAAGAAGAAAATATTTTGGAACATCTTCGCTCCAGGGTTGGTTTAATATTTAAGTGGTAATTGTGAAATACAAGCTGAATTGTAGAAGGTTTTAGTACAGGTTCCTAGTGCACACTACAATTAGATAACAATAGCAACAACATTTATATAACGCCCTTCACACGGAGCAGGGTCTGAGGTCTTAACTGTGCCAGAGCTTGACCCTGAGCTGGGGAGAGGGGACAATAGGTATGATCGAAGAGGAAGGTCTTCAGGTGTGATCTGAATGGCATTATACAAGTACGCTTTTTGAACATTTTAAACAAGCTGTTGGTCTGTATTCTTGGCACTAGTTAAATTGGCTGATGACATTATTCTAGCTTGATTTTCCAATAACTTGCATTTATATTGCACCCTTCATTCAGGATAGCATCTCACAGCACTGATAGTCATTGCAGCTGAGGCAAACCTTCACCTGTAAAGAAAAGCAATCATCTGAAAAATAAAATAGTTATAATTTCTCATTTTCTTCTTTAGAAAAGTTATTATGCTTACTAAGTGCTTATAGTAAAGTTCATTGAAAGAACAGCTCTCAGCAAAGTATCTTGGGTGTCCTCTCTCAGACGAGCACACAATGTTTTCTAAACTCAAAGTCTGACAGCAATATTATGTGAACAATTAATCATTAACATTTTATATGAATACATTTCTGAATATGTTTTAAAGTATCCTACCATCTCTGTAGTATTTGTCCAATTTGTCGATAACAGAGAAGGAGCTGTCGGTCGTCAACCCAATAAAACTTCTGGCAGGTTCATACACAGAGGCTAATTTAAAAGAAAAGGGACAAAACGGTCAATTAGATAAGTAGACACAGAGAAATTGATTCAGGAACAATGCATTACTTGCTTACATAGAATTTACCTTTATGTCATCATCGTGTGTTAATGTACTGCATATCAAAAAAAATTACATATGCCTGAACATTTCAATGGTTAAATATGAAATTCACGTTTCTGCTACAAACCGTTTCTACAAAATATAACAAAAGAACGAAATAAAACATATTACTATGCAGTACTACCACTATGACAACTAATCCCTGTATTTGATATAGCGCACTACCACGTTCTCGAGATCTCTCAAAGCGCTTTACAGGTCATACTGTAAAGTGGATTGACAGTATTTTGTGGTGAACTTACTAATAAATTATCATGAGATTTAGACGGAAACAGACTCAAAAAAATTCAGTTATTCATTAAGTAAATGGGAAAAATGTGCACTCCTCTTCCCCTCCCCCTATGTTCAGCATCTATCCTGTCATAGTGAAGCGCTCCGAAAAAAATTATCTTGCTTGAAGGGCACTATACAAATGAAAGTCAGTGAGATTTATTGAAGACTACTTTTTTTAAAATCTCTTAAATCTTTTCATCTTGAGCTGCAAAACACAGTGAAAATAGGATTATTCATTTTGTTACAGTTTAAATATACTGACCATGTACTTCTGATCTAACCTTTTGCTCCTCTTAAAATAAACAGAAGGGGATATAATTCTGTGTGATTGGTTTCACTGAATCATCATACTACTGTATCTGGTAAATTTACTTTTGACAATGGACATTTCTTCACAGCCCAAAATTCTGGTGACTGAATGTTTGCTTAACGGGCAATTTAATTTTTCATCCTGTGTTTCAGTCTAAATAAAGTGTTTTCCAAATTATGCTTTCTTAGAAATGTCCCTCTAGTTACTGTAGGAAACAGACAAATGGCTCATTACTAAAAGGTCAGATTATTGGGGGGAAGGAAAGAGGAGAAAAAACAAGGAGCTGGAAGACAGAATGTCTTGCTGGATCACATATGAGGGATTTGCCCTGCAAGTGATGCTGCAATAACTTAATTAACTTAAGTCCAACTAAAAATCAACAAAGTTTAGCTTTTATCCCATGAATCAGACTAACGAATTCACAAAGCATAACCTATAAATCACGGTAATTTTGATTTGGCTATTTTGAATAAGAGTTCTCCCCAGAGAGGATTAGTTGCCCATTTGATTACATAACCGTCACAACACTTGAAATTAAGTGCGTGAAGCACCTTGAAGTATTTTGATGTTAAAGGCAAGATAATATATAAAATGCAATTTTTTTTTGTTGATAACTCTTGTGTTGCTTCTCTAGTTACAATCCTTTAAACGGATGACAATCTGACCACATTGTTCTCGTGTTCTGGAGGATTGACTCCGGCACAAATTAATCCATCATCCAGTTTGGAAGTCTTAATGGCACAAAACTTTTTTTCTCTTAAATCTGCTTATGACTATGATATCCCAACATTTGATAGATGTGGGCTTTGTACAAAACTGAAAATGCTACCTGTGATAAACTGAGCCAAATTTTCTTAACGTTTCAACCTAAATCTGCTGCAACAGAATGCCCAAACACAGGTTAGTTATAATTACCAATGCAATGAGCTGAACATACTCATTGAAAAGATATCCCTATCCTTACAGAAGGGAGATTGGACCATCAGTTGAGTTTTCTCTATAGAGTTGGTAACTCACTTTCAATTCCCCAAATACTGACAATTTGTCTGCCAACTACCTAGTTCTGTCCACAACTGGCTGCAGTCCTAAAAAGTACGTTTGTCTTCTAAAAGTTGAATTATTCATGCATCGTTCAGGTTTGGATACTCTTAATTATGGTGATGGGTTTCCACATGTGTGAGACAGCCTGCTGACCAAACAAAAATGCTGCATATGGTGGTGCCATCAGCAGAAAGGAAGTGACTTTGTCACTCATAGTTTACAGCTCTATCTCCCCACCTCCCCCCCACTTCCCGAAAAGCCAGCAAATTCTATTGATTTAGGTAGGCTATTTTCAAACGTGCCAACTTAAAGGGTGCAAACTAAAATATTGACATTTTCCATTGTTACTTCACGTTTCTGGTATTTGCAATTTTTCCTTTCACCTGAACTGTTAAAACTGGTCTGTGATATCATGGGAATGGAACTGCACGACTGTAGAATTTCAATTAGTCTAGAAAAAAAAACTAGTGCAGTACACCAGAGACATAGCTAACCCTGTAACAAGTTTTCACCAGGAGAGGTACAAGACATTTCATCTGCTGTATCGCCATTCTGTTTCCATTAAAAAAAAGTTGAGCGCAGGCGGAATGGTGGCGTATAATGAGTGCCAATTGAAACATAAAAACAAAAGATTATAACTAAGAAATGCCCTGTATTCCTTTGAACTGTGGAGGTCTTTATTTCCTTTGCTGGTTTTCATACTGATGAGCTTATTATTTAGCTACAAAAACTAGGATCATGTTCTTACTAAACCTTTGCCTCCCACGACTGAAATCTAATATATTCTCTCCCAAAACCCATTTGGCAGTTATTATAAGTGAAGGAATTTCATGTACTTGCAAATGTTTTCAGTAGACAGACATACCCAGAATTCATTCAAGCACCATTATTCAGCATAATCATTACAATAATTAACCCATCAGCCAATATATTATGAGGTTGGGGGAGTAAAGTGCAATAATTGCTTCAGAGGTTAGGTATTAATTAAGTCTTAATCATTCTATTCACCATTGAATGTCATTATTTATCTCAATGACCTCTGGTCCTTGACCAGGACCACCTTCTTCCACCTCCACCACATTGCCAGCTTCCGACTGGACCTTTCCCCGAATGCAGCTGAAACCCTCGTGCATGCGTTTGTTACTTTCCGCTTGGCTTACACCAACGCACTCCTCTCCCCAGTTCCACCACTCCAAAGATCCACCTCATTCAAAACTCTGCTGCCCGCATGCTGACCCAGACCAAACTCCATACCCACATCTCACCAGTTCTGGCCAGGCTCTGCTGGCTCCCCATCACCGAACAGATCAACTTCAGGATCCTCACTTTCATGTTCAAATCCATTCACTCCCTGGCACCTTCCTACCTCTCCGACTTCCTCACTCACAATCTACCACCCGGTGCCTCCGCGAGACTGGCACCAGCCTCCTGCTCATCCCTCACACCCTCCGTCCCACCATCGGAGGTCGGGCTTTCAGCCACTACGCCCCCAAACTCTGGAACACTCTTTCAATCCCTCCGTCTTGCCGCCCCTCTCCCCTCTTTCAAGTCCCCCCCCCCCCGAAAAGTTTCTTGTTTGTCCGTGCTTACAGCCAACTCCCCCCGGCTCGGATTCAGGCTCCACCACTGTTAGGGGCTCTAAGACGCTACCCTGCTTGGAGAGTGCCATATAAGTGCAAGTTGTTGTTGTTGTTGATACTCCACATACATGAAGATTAACAATGTTTGGAGCAAAAAGCTCCCTGTTCCTCCCAGAAAACCAAAAACAATAATAAATTGGTCATTTCAATCCACGACTGTTTGTGGGACACTGCTGTGCGCAATTGGCTGCCGCGTTTAGCCCACAAATATACGGTCAATTCACTTTACAGTCTATTCTGTGAAGCGCTTTGAGACGTCAAGAAGACGTGAAAAGCGTTACATCAAATGCAAGGATTATTATATTATTATATTTTTAATAAGTATAATTGCTCTGTATCATTTCATGGCCAAGAAGTGGTCCAGCGAGTATGTAGAAGAATGTCCTGGATTGACTCATACCCTCATTTTTCCTCAGAGGTTGGGATGGTGATGGGGGGGGGGGGGGTGGGGAAAGAGAAGGAGCTGAATCTGGCTTTTACTTTGTTCAAATTAAACAAGTTGAATGTGTACCTAATTTGCACTAATTGCGCCTGGATTTGACCAATTTTTCCTCAGACAACTGCATTTGTAGGACATTCTGCACAAACTGCTAGCAGATTAATCATGAAGCGGATCATTTCAGTCAAGATACAGCAATGTTTAAAGTACTTAAGATTATTTTCTTTTAACCATAATTATGCTGAATTATGATTTCACAATGGAGTAGCCATGGCAAAAGTTTGTATTCTAGTACAATTAATTTCAGTCAATCAATAATTTCTGCACCAAAATTAAGTTTAGCACTTTTTTCTCATTTATACTTTTTTTTGGTATTGTGACATCCCCAAGAACACACCAACAATTCGTGCAGGAGAGGAATAATCCGGTAATACAGGAAACAGTTAAGAGATTCCTTGAGTATATCCATCGTCCCCTCTTTTCCACTTCACTTTCTGAACGAGGCTTACAGAATATTTACTGAGAATCAAATTGCATTTTTTTTTCTCTATTGCAATCATGAAGGTTCTCACTTCACAAAATGGATGGAGTTTTTGTGCTCTTTGTTCAAAACCAATAAAACGGTTTGAACAATCCTTAGAGTCCTGTAAATGTAATATCAGTGTGTTAAATCTGTATCCTGAACTGTTATAGCATCCGTGTTCCACATAGTTCACATTGGCTTCATGAATCACAATTAAGTCAAATTCCATACAGGGGCTGAGACTGGGCAATGAATTTAATAATTAATCCCTGCTAATGAATGGACTTACTGAAAAATGCAGAGAAATGCAACTCTTGTAACGCAATTGGGATTAATAAAATGCCTGTAATGGTTTGCATTAGAATTGAATAAAATACAAGCTTGAGACTTTAAACCCCAGGCATGAACAGAAGGCCTTGTGGCCAGCAGGATTTGCTTTTCTACTTAAGTTTCATTAGTACAAACAGCAGTTAAATTTCAGTTTGCTATACGTCTTCAGTTGCAAAAACTGGTTTGCATTAGTACTATTTAGTGCATTTATTTGGGGAGCAAATGGAATTTGATTTGAATTTAGATCTTCATGTTAAACAGTGATTACAAATTATTGTAAGCAAACTGGTTTCAGTACAAACAGGATTTTG